AGACTGATGACCGACCGATCGCACCAATTTGGACGGTGAACTCAAAAAAACGGAGAAGGGGAACTCTTCAATTTGCGCACTCGGCTGCATTGCGCCATTCGTCGTCATCGTGGACAGTTAGTAGCCTGGTTGGCATGCTGGTTTGTACACTCTTGTAGATAACGCTGTACTGTGGGGGAAATGACAATGAGCGAAGGAACGTTGCTGCAATTGAAATTTGGAACGAAAAACTGTTCAATGAAGCAACGAGCTGAACAAATTCAAACCCTCAACAATGATGCAGATCCAGCCACATCAGCAATGAGAGAGAGAGGAGATGAAATCATCAACGAGCTTGACTTTGGAACAGCTGGAACGAGAGCAGGAGGGGCGCGGAACAAAAGGGTACAGTAGGAAACGCAAAGCGCAACACGACGAAATGGTAGATCAACGCGCTTTTCCTTCAAAATCCCATCAAAGCCTCGTTCTCGTTTAGCGAGTGCCAGCAATGAATGGGGCAATCATGTCGGTGATTTGCTCGAGCGACCAGGCAGAGCCGTAGCTCGCCTCAATGATGCCGTTGACCTGGACCGTGGGCGACATGTGGATGCCGAGCTGGCGGGAATAGCGGACCCACCACTTGACATCGCCGATGAGCGAGTTGCCATTGTTGTCTGAGCCGACGAGGGCGAGCAGCTCGAGGAACTTTGCGCGGTCGACGCCAATGGGAGCAGCAGCGGCGAGATCGGCGAGCTCCTCGTTCAGCTGGCTGCGCGACTTGTTCACGACAGCGCGGTCTGAGAATTGCTCAATCTTGTCATAGAGCACGCGCGAGAACGACCACACGGCGGCCGGGTTGAGCCGCTCGACGGCGAGCGCAGCCTCGGCCAAGTGCAGCGACTGTGCGTGCCACGGCTGGATCTGGTGCATCAGCCAGAACTGGACCTTGCCAGGCAAGTTCTTGTCGTAATGCGGGATGACTTCATCGACGACTGTGTGTGGAGAGTGAGAGTGTGAGAGAGAGAGTGAGTGAGGATTGAGCGTAAGATTCGGCAAGAGCTACTCTCGTCGTCGTGCTTACACTTCAGGAAGGACTTTTTGCAGAACGGGCAGTTGTAGTCCATGCTATGGAAACACCATGACGGGGAGAATCAAGCGAGTTGAGCGTGCAGAGATTCAGACTCGGAGTGAGTGAAAACCTCCAGCAACTTTCCTTCTTCTCAATCCAAGAGAGGTAGAGCGAGAGGACGGGGGAGTTTTGACATGGTTTTGCTTACTAGAGCTGGACGACAACGGGTGCAGCGGCGTCACCCAAGCGGTGGCCTGTGAAGCGAGCTGGCAAAACACTCATGAATTGGAAACAAAATCGGAACTGAGCGCTTCTCAGAAAAAACGAGCAAAAGCTAAATTCACACAATAAGTCTAATTCATCAAGAAAGGACTTGTTTCGTTCGTCACTTGTCTCAGTCTGAAGTCTGAGATTTTGGCCGAGGTTCAGTTCTCCTTTTTTGTGCTCTATTCGTTCTTCAGCAGCGAATTTACCGAGACTCCCCCTCCCCAACACACACACACTTACACACATCAAATGTCGTCGTACAAGCAGTTCTCGTCGTACGGATCAACATCCGCATCCGTGAATGTGAATGCAAACCAGGCAGACATCCTGGCGCATGACCGAGTGGTCAAGCACGGCCCGTACATGCTCGACCTGCACGTCGACCACCTGCACTCGACCAAGTCGCCCGAGATGGCCCAGAGCGACTCTGAAGCGAATCTGTCGCTGCGTGAGGAGGTCGTCGAGCTCGAGAACGCCGCGCGCACGGACGCCAGCGCCGAGGCCGCGGAAAAGTCGCGCGCCACCGTCCACATCCCCGACGACGAGTCCACGGTCAGTGTGCGCCATTCTCTTTGTGACATTTTTTGTGCTGAAGTGTGTTCAGAGTCGAGTGTGTTCAGAGTCGAGTGGTCGTGATGTGGTGGCAGTGCGAAATGTGGACGCCCGTCGGCAAATGGAGAGCGCCAGTGCTCCGCTTCCTCTCATCGTCGTCGTCGTCGACTTGGCTTTTGAGCAGTGTGTGCTTGAACAGTGTGTGTGCGCTTGAGCATGGTGCTTTTCTGATAGTTGTCTCTTTGTATGAGACTGAGATTGAGTGTATGTGTGTGAGTGAGTGAGTGTGATTGAGAGGGTGACACGTGCCTGGTGCCAAACAACTCGCTCATTAAGAAAAAAAAAGAGCAAAAGAAAAAACGAAAAACGAAAAAAGATGATGGAAAAGATGATGAAAGAAAGATGTGGAAAAACTGCATGAAATGAAGGGTGGGGAAAGAGAGAGAGAGCAGAGAGCGGAGGGGAGAAGTAGCGGAAAATGCTCATCATCCAAATGTAGCACGCTCACCCCACCACTTGCAAAGACAGACCAACTTAGAAATGACTTGGATGCTTCAGAGCAAAAAACACTATGGGAGAACTGGGTCGTGTTGGAGCTCACTTTGTTTGTTGTTTGAACTTGACTCTGCAGGCATTCAGCTTCAAGAAGCTCTGGGCATTCTCTGGTCCGGGCTTCCTCATGTCCATCGCTTACCTCGACCCGGGCAACATTGAGTCGGATTTGTCGGTAAGGTTGTTGCAGTCGCAGCGACGAGCGATTTTGGAAGAGGCGTTTTGAGCTGGTTCCTAAACTCTGTTGGTTGATACTCTTCTGCTCTAGGCCGGCGCAACTGCCGGATACAGCCTCATCTGGGTCTTGTGGTGGTCGACCATCATGGGTCTTGCTCTGCAAATTCTGGCGGCGCGCCTGGGCGTCGTCACGGGCAAAAACCTCGCGCAGGTCTGCCGCGACCACTACTCCCGCCCCGCACGCTACGCGCTGTGGGCCATGACCGAGCTTGCCATCATTGGCAGCGATATTCAAGAAGTCGTCGGCTCTGCCATTGCCATCCGCATCCTCTCCAAGCAAGCCATCCCGCTCTGGGGCGGTGTTTTGATTACTGCCGCAGACACCTTTACCTTCCTGTTCCTCGAAGGCTATGGTATGTTTTGCTTGTTTGTCGTTGGGTCGTTGGCTGCTCACACACGAAGAAAAAAAAAGAACTGACTTTTCTTTCTTTTTTCCCCCCCCCCTCCTTCCCGCCAGGCCTCCGAAAGCTCGAATTGGTGTTTGCCATCCTGATCGCCATCATGGTCGGCGCGTTCGGTTACATGTACGGAGAAAGCACAGCCAGCCAAGTGGACGTGCTCAAGGGCCTCGCCGTCCCTTCCATTCCTTCGGGCACGCTCGAGCAGGCCGTGTCCCTGGTTGGCGCTGTCATTATGCCCCACAACATCTTTTTGCACTCGGCCCTCGTCCAGTCCCGCCAGATTGACCGCAGCAAGGAGAAGAAGGTCACCGAAGCCAACATGTACTACCGCATCGAGTCCACCATTGCCTTGGTGCTGTCCTTTGTCATCAACGTCATGGTTGTCGGCGTGTTTGCGTCGCTTGTGGCGTCGGGCTCGGATGGCAACTGCGGCTCGGACATTGACCTCTTCAGCGCTGGCAACTGCCTCGCCCAGCAGTACGGCGACACCTTCCTGTACATTTGGGCTGTCGGTCTCCTTGCTGCCGGCCAGTCCTCCACCATGACGGGCACCTACGCTGGTCAGTTTGTCATGAACGGCTTCCTCAAGCTCGACATTAAGCCGTGGAAGCGCGTTCTCCTCACCCGTTCCATTGCCATCATCCCCGCCGTCTCGGTGGCCGCCGTCGCACACAATGGCGACGGCTCGCTCTCGTCGCTCGGCGAGTGGCTCAACATTTTGCAGTCCATCCAGCTCCCGTTCGCCTTGCTGCCCATTCTCATCTTCACCTCATCCGAGCGTGTGATGGGCTCCTGGCGCAACGGTCGCATTCTGCAGAGCGTGTGCTGGGCCATTGGCTTTTTGGTTCTCGGCATGAACGTCTACCTCATTATCGATTTCGTGCAAACCTCCTTCCCCGACCTGATTGAGCTCTACGTCCTTGTCGGCGTTCTCGGCGCTGCATACATGATCTTTATCTGCTACTTGATGAAGGACTCGGTTTGGTACATCTGGCTCGTCTCCAAGCTCTTCAACCGCCAAATCCACTCCAACCTGTACGAGACTTCTCAAGCTGGGCAACCCTCGGACAAGACCAAGCTGCTCGGCGCTGCGTATTAGGCTGGCGTTTCTTAGTTAACATTCTTTCATATTTCTTTTCTTCATCTTTTTTGAATTCTTCTTGCTCTGCAGAGAACACACCCTGCAGCGGCGCCCGCGACGGTCGTTCTATTCGACTACCGCATTATCGTTAACAACCTTTTGTTTTTGTTTGTTTGAAATCTTCAGTTTTGTGCTCATGGTTTGACGGCGAGACTATCTCTCGTTGAAACTGCAGCATTCTCTCTCTTATTCACCTTTTTTTTCTCGGTGTACCATTCTTTTGTTTGTATGTGTGCGTGACGTGTTGTTTGTTGCGATTTTTTTTCTGTTCCCCTTGATCTTGAAGGTGCTTCGGCTCATGAGCAGCTTTTTTCTTTCTGCTTCCCTTCTCTACTCTCCGACAACATTGTTGGGTGTCCGGCTTCTTGCGTGCAACACCAATGTTTGTGTTCATGCCTGATGTCTGCTATCCCTTCCGTTGCTCGAATTGGAGGAAGGATTGCGGTTGGTTGTTTGTGAGTGGAGAGGTGGCCCGCATGCATCGTTATTTGTTTATTATTTTCATTTATAAACATCTCCCTAGACTCAATGCTCGATACCCGAGAAACAATAAATTGAGCGCACATCAACCCTGCAGCTCGAGAAAGCGGTTGGGATAAAAGCGAAGTCCCTCTTCCGAGTCGTCGCGACAGACCAGGCCTCGGGTTTCGGCTTGAAGCAGCATTTCCTTGGCAAGCGTCACGCTGACGTTCTGGTTGTGCGCGAGATCACTGGCAGACATGTTGGAAGCCTGGCTGACAACCTGAGCAGTTCGAGCGGCCATGCTCTCGTCGCTGAAGTCTTGCAATTGTACGACGAGCACGCCAGATGCAAACTCGCGCAATCGAACCTGCAGACTCAAGTGCTCAAAGAGATTGCATGCGCGCAGCAAGTCTTCCGGTGAAATGAGTGCCGTGCCACGAGCGCGGTTGAACAAGCAATAAACGTCCATCAGCGGCAGAATGCCACCGTGCTTGGCCAGCGGCTGTGCGAGGAATCCTGCCAGCTGTCGTGCGAGTTCCTTGTGGTAGAGCTCACCTGTTCCGTGCGTAGCTCTGCAGGAATGTCCAAACAGCGATGAGCGTTGTTGTTTCGATTCTGCTCAAACTCTCTCGCTTTATTTTTCGTTTTGGTTGACTTGCGTACCTGGTAACTGGACTGGCAATGCCGAGACTCAAGAGGTACTCTTGGAACTTTTGCGAATCGGCGTCGGAAACATCGTTCGACGACTTGGCAATCTTTGCCGTGAATCGTTCGGCGATCGAAACCATGGCTTTGGCCTGTCAAAAGGTTGCGATACAGCCAAAATGATGAGTGCACCCGACAATAATCCAAATGAAACAGCCTCCGAATGAGCAATGTACCTTATCCATCAACGCGTTCAAATCTTGGAAGGCATCGTTGATACTAGCCTCGGCTTGTTTGCTGTCTTGCTCCATTTTCGTCGAGATTCCATGAATACCCACCATCCTGGGCGCTGTCCCAGAGCTCAGCGATGTGGTGCCGGCACTGCTTGATGCACTACCTGAAGCAACGGATGATGATGAGGATGCTCCAGACGCCAGAGTGCTCCGGGGTGGAATTGGCGGGGCCGCCAGCCAGCCTTCCGCGTGAATGGAAGCATGCAGGGCGTTATAGACCGCATCGGAGCCTCCACTTCGGAATGAAAGCTTGACGAGCGGCGAGTTGCTCGTGCCTACAAGACAAGTTGAGAAGTTGAGCAAGTCATAGATCAATGAAAATCTAGTCGCGTTTGCGTTGTTTACCTGGCGCAATCGGTCCGGGCATTCGTGTAGTAGTTGCAGCCGACATGTATAGAAAGACTTTGGCGCTTGATTTGAGAAAGGCAGCCTGAGAACGACCGAGAGAGGAAACGATGTCAGAGATCAAGATTGAGCGAGGCAATGTCCATCGCAAGCCTCAGACACCCGCTTTTGCTCAACCTCACCTTGTGGTCTAGTTGAATTATTTGAGCCATTGGCACGGCCATGCACTGCCGCGCCGCTGGTGGAAGCTGTTGACTGTCAAATTTTCAATGGCAAAGTGAGTTACGCGCTTTCCATCCTCTGCCAACGCGACGCCAGCCAAGCAACCAAGCACGAATGATGGCCAACTGTACTTGTGTGTCCACGCAACGCGGTGGCTTGTGACGGTGACGATTCCGTCCACCCATTCAGTCTGGTCGGTCGAGCCAAGCCAAGCCAAGCCAACCGGTGAGCCTACCACCCTCCATCCGCCACTCACTCAAACAATGGAGCTAGACACGTCAAACTCACCAAAATGTCGCCGGCGTAGAGCGCAACGTTGCTTTGGGACGCGAGCACGACTTCGCCTGGCAGCAGGACAAGCTGACCGGTCTGAGCACTGAGCTCGGCCCATGCAAACCGATCCATGCCCTCGGAAATAACGAAGAGTGATGCGAAATGAGTTGCAAATGTAAAAGGAAAGGCAGTAGGACGACTGAATTGCTGAGAATTGCTCCAATTTTTAGTAATTCATGATCAGAAACAGGCTTTTTGGAAGGGATTTCGAGCTGCAATCCATCAATCCACTTGTTCAGCGGATACTAAAGTGTACAATACTGTGACTAGTCAAGGGAACCTTCCCACTGAGCTGTCCATGCCTCGCTCAACGTCAACGCACCCGGATCATTGCTTCCGTCTTCCCTATTCCCTCGGGAGCGAATACCGTACCTCCAGGAGTACTGTACCATTGGACTGCGGTTCCAATGCAATGTGCAATCTCATGTTGTCATTAGTAGGACGTGTCGGCTGTATGCTGACGAAAGACTAACATTCGATGGCGGAAATCAAAGCGATGAAGCCAGTTTCTAAGAACCAAGCTTGCTGAGCTTTTGTGTTCACCTCGTCCAACAGCATTAACATTTGTCTACACTTTATCACTATACTGAGAGGTTTTTGCTCAGGCCTCGACACTCTTCTCTTTCTCACATCTTCACTGATCAATGTCAAAGCCGCTCGCGCCGACCAAACGCCTGTCGCCAACGACGTCGCACGAGAGCAGCGTGCTCAACGTCGCTGCGATGCTGGCAAGCACTCACATTGACGATGGCACCGCGTCTGCAGTGTCATCCAAGCAGCAGCAGGCGACCATGCGAGTGCTGCACAAGGAGCGCGGCGCTGAAAACGAGCCAACGGCGTCGTCGACCAAGCTCAAACCCAGTTCCGACCGTGCTGGCGATACCACTTATCAGGATGACGAGGACAACTACGACGATGCGTTCTGCATGGACGATGATGATGAGGATGCTGATGCGCACGCGGAGGCACTCCACCAGCAGGTCGCTGCTCGGCTCCAAGCCAACCTCGCGTCTGTCGCCAACACGAGCAATGCCGTCGCTGCTGCACCTGCACGCCGCCGCGTCAAGGTCTCCACTGCCGACATGTGCACCGCTGCCAATGTTTGTAAGTTTCGATCTGCAAAATGTGATGTGCTTGCGATTCATTGAACACAATCCGAAAATCAAAACCAACGATCAAAGTCGAGATTGAAAATTTGATGACAACGAAACAAAACCGTTCTTTGTTGAAAATTCAAAAAAAAAAAAAAAAAAAAAAAAAAAAAAAAAAGAGTTGTCATTTTGAGACAAAGAATGGAAAAAATTATCAGAAGAATTTTGTGATGCGTGGAAATCTGAGAAACACGAGAAGTTCTCATTTCGAAATTTGGAGTGGTTGTGAAATCTCAGACAAGAGCTCGAAATTCGTTGCGTTTGTTGTTATTTTCGCTCATCGGTAACGCTTGTTTGCCGACTGACAGATTTCTTGGACTACTATCGCGACCTGTTCACGTACTTGGCAAAGCGCAAGCAACGCACGGACACGTTGAAATCGTTCATTGCGTCGGGCAAGGTCAGACAACAAACAACTCGAAGTGATTTCGTTCTGCACCAGCTCACTTGTTGCTTCTATTTGGGTTTTTTTGCCGTCTTGTTGCTGTCGTGCAGATGCCGCGCGCGCAAATTGAATCGGAAACCGCGCGCCACCGCTCCAAGGAAAGCGACTTTCTGCGCAAGCGCCGCACGCGCATGCATCTTGGTGACTTTCAAGTGTATGCACAGATTGGCCAAGGAGGCTACGGATCGGTACGTCTGGTGGACGTGTTGTGCTTGTTTGTGGTGTCTCGCTGAAACTCACAACACGCGCTCTCGCTCTCTCTCTCTCTATCTCTCCCTCCCGCATCCTCGCAGGTCTTCCTGGCCCAGAAGAAGGACACGGCCGAAATCTGCGCAGTGAAAAAGATGCGCAAGGACGTGCTGATCGCTCGCGACGAGGTGCACCACATTCGCAACGAGAGGAACGTTTTGGCAGCCACAAACAGCCCCTGGCTCATCAAACTGCTGTACTCCTTCCAAGATCGCTCGGACATTTACTTTGTCATGGAGTACATTCCTGGCGGCGACATGCGCACGCTGCTGACCCAGTCGGGCATCCTTCGGCACGAGCATGCGCGCTTTTACATCATGGAGGTTTTGATGTGTGTTTCCTCGCTGCACCAGCTTGGTTTTATTCACCGCGACTTGAAGGTAACAGTATGGAGCTGGAACCACGTGCACCATCAGACTCACTCACCACCGATTGCCCCCCACCCTGTTGTAGCCAGAAAACTTCCTCGTCGACAGCTCTGGCCACTTGAAGCTGACAGATTTTGGTCTCGCCAAGGGAACCCTGTCCGAGGCGCACATTTCAAACATGCGCGAAAAGCTGGAGGCCGCTCAAAAGTACGCAGAAACACACGAACTCGCAACGCTCCACTTGACCGCCAAGGAGAAGCGCGCCATGTACCAGTCTGTTCGCAGCGAAGACCGCTCGAAGGCGTACTCGATTGTCGGCTCGCCCGACTACATGCCTCCGGAAATGCTCAAGGGCGAATCCTACGACCTGCTCGTCGACTATTGGGCGATCGGATGCATGCTGTTTGAGTTCCTCGCCGGCTACCCGCCGTTCGCTGCACGCACTCTTGAAGAGGTCTGGGCGAACATTTACAAGTGGGAGCAGACCCTGCAGCGCCCCATCTACACTGGCGTTGACGAGGAATTCAACTTGACGGATAACGCCTGGAGCTTTATTACCAAGTATGCTCCAGTTTTTGACTTGACTGCGTGTGTCTGGAGTGTAGGGCATGGCTAACGCACTTATTTTTGCTTTTATTTGTCCTCGCAGGTTGCTTTGCGGTCACCAAGTGCGCTGGTCCCGTCCCTCTCAGATCAAGGTTCATCCATTCTTTGAGAACTCAGACTGGGATTCACTTCGCGAATCGGTGGGTGCCAAAAAAATGATGAGATGCTATTTGGCAGGTTGTGCGCTCAGCTCACTTGTTTGTTTGTTTGAGGCTCTGCAGACCCCTCCGTTCACCCCAGAGCTCAAGGACAAGTTGGACGTGTCGTACTTTGACAAGTTTGATCCTGCCGACATTGACACGACCACGCCCTCGTCTGCAGTACGGAAACCAGATGTGTTGGGCTGTGGTTGTAGTCTCGATTTCATTTCGTCGATACTAACAAAACTGAACTCGTGTTCCTGTTCCATCCAGAGCCCAAGCGAAGGCGAGGCCCATCTGTTTGCTGGCGTGACTTTCAAGGGACGCAAGGGCAAGCACTTTGACGTGCCTGCTCCTTCCTCGTTTGCGAGCTCGTAATAATGAAATGAGCTGCGTTGAGCGTGCCGAGCGTGAATGGAATGGGGGTTTTTTTTTGTTGAGATTGAGTTGGTTGCCACGATGCTTTTGGTGTCTTGTATTTTTATCTCGTCTAGTCGAAATCATAAAATGTATTTGTATCCAGTCCTCTTTTGTCTATTTTCTCAGACTTTTCTGAGCCTTTTTGCCACCTCGAATGGAACAGCAGCACGCCGAGCAAGCTGCACACGCTGAGGCTCACCCAGCTGCAGCAACTATGAACACACTCAACGCTGCACACTCGACCATGCCTGACCCACGACCACAGCACGCGAGCGACAGCCATGCTGAGGAGTCTCACTCGGACACGGCTCGGAACGGCGGCGGCAACCAACGGCATCCGCACAACCGCGGCCGAGGCGGTGGTCATCGTCGCGGCAATGGCAATGGCAGTGCTCACGCTGGTCGAGGTCGGGGTGGTCGAGGCGGCGGTCGCGGGGCTGATCATCGCGGCCAGAAGCGCCGCCATGAGGACGACAACGACGGCGGCGATCGTGCTGCCCGTGCCAGCGCCAGTGCCAGTGCCAATGGCGACTCGAGTGAAGATGAGGCGGGTGCGGGCGATGATGTCTCACGCAAGCGGTTGCGGATGGAGCGGCGCGATCCGACTGGTACGTGAGAACTAGCTGAGAAATAAGCTGAGAAATAGCTGAGAAACGAGTCGTTGATAATGCTGATCAAGTGATTGTTTGCATTGTGTTTAGGTATTCGGATGAAGGCATACGAGGAAGTGTACACACTGGTGAGCCATGACACAATCTCGACTTGGAATTGCAATTTGATGCTGATTTCGAGTTTTTGCGTCATTCCATGCAGACTACACTGGATCCCAAGAAAGCATTCATCATTCGGTTGGATGGACACACGTTTGGCACCTTCCAGCGCGGTTTCAAAAAGCCGTACGATACGCGTTGTAAGACAACCAATCTGCTCAGCTCGGCTTTTGTTTGTTCGTGCACCCGCTCATCTTCTCCTCCACCTTTGGGTGTCATCCAGTTGCCGACTCCATGGCATTGACTTGCGTGGACCTCGTGAAAGAATTTAACGCAGTGTTTGGCTACGCCCAGACCGACGAGATTTCCCTCGTGTTTCTGCCCATCAATCCAGACGTAGCCGGAAGCGAGCTCCAGCATGCTGGCAAGGTCTTGAAACTTGCCACGCTCGCGGCATCGTTTTGCAGCGTGAGATTCAACTTTCATCTCAATCGGCAAGAATTTGATCCGCAAACCGAAGAGAAGGTGCGTTTGTTTTTGTTGATTTTGGACAGGACAGGGCAATTTTCTCACATGTGAAGCATTGCATGAACGTCATAGGTGTATGAACGAGTTCGAGCACATATGGCACACTTTGATGGTCGGGTTTTCAGCGTTCCCAGCTTTGCCGAGGCAGTTGTACGGCCAAACTTTGTGGACTAGAATTTTGTGGTCGCATTGGGTTGGATATTCGATCTCAATTCACTCCAATGCTTGCAAATACTTATATGTGGTCGCCAACTCTCCAGGAGAACGTGCTGTGGCGTGCAAAGTTTGATTGCTACCGAAACTCTGTCTCTGCGCTGGCGCACCACTATCTTGGGAATCGGCTATCCTTCGGGCTATCGACCAAACAAAAGCTGTCCAAGTTGATGCAAATGGATGTGGACTGGCGCGAAATGCCAAACAAGTTTAAATTTGGTGTAAGCAGCTGAGATATTTTGAGATTGGTGTTTGCCATTTTCAATCTCACATGCGTTTTGCCGGACAGACTTTTGCCAAAAAGGAACAATATCCCAAGGAATGCGAAGATCCTCGGACGCACGAAAAGCTCACAGTGATGCGAACCACAGTGTCGTCGCGATCTTTCGACATTGACATGATTGCCAAGCCGCGGCTAGTCTCGCTTTTGTTTGCACGCACTTGGAACGACTTTGATGCACACGTCGTTCCGAGCGAGCCCTTTGCTGAACTAGCTCAAGCGGCTGATGCAGCATCATCAGTTTCAGGGACCGCTTCTTCCGAGTTGACTGCACCGCCAGCTGTTGATGCACAATTGCAACCCGAAAGCTGAAATGACATTGGTGCGTGTAGTTGTCAACAAAATGATGAGTTAACACATCAACTTTGAAGCAGAGAAGTCACTTGTTCCCCTATCATTGCTCGAATCATCAACCCATTGCTCGTATCTGCGATCTCTGATTCCTGGTTCATAGCAGAACTATGTATTTTTGACTCAGATCACAACAACAACCTCAGACCAAATTCAACCCAGCGCGCAACCTCTCCAGCACGGTGGTGGCATCCTGGTCAAAGGAAACCGACCGGTTGGTGAGCGAGCTTGGCACCTCGGAATGCTCAGTGTTGATGCGAATAAACCGCGCCTGCGGGTTGTGCTCCACAGCATCCTCGCACGGATAACGAACCACCATGGGAGTGTTAAACCCAGCGCCAACCTCAATCACCACCAAGCGCTTGTCCCGCGTCGACTTGAGCCAGTTGTGAAAGGCCGCTCGCAGCTCGCGATACGGCTGATCGATAAACCAGTTGCCACCACGCACATTCATCATAACGGGGCCACCGCAGTTGGGACACCGCGGCACCACATCGGCGTTGGTGATTTCCTGGGTGGCGGGGTCGACGAACGGCAAGGCAGCGTCAATCAGCGGGCGAGTGGGCCACACTTGTTGTGTGCACGGCTTGAGGCACTGCATCCGTCCATACTCGCCTTGCGCCGTGTACACGCGCGTCTTGTCAAAGCCATTCCGCTCAAACATGCCATCGGCGTTGGAGGTGAGAACAAAGTGGTGCTCGGCGGCTCGGCTTTGGGCGATGGCGAGCAGGTTGCCGTACACGGAACTGAGCGGCCAGTTGTACCGCGCCTTGTCGAGCTGCGACAGCAGGTAGCCCCACTGCAACTCGGGCGTCCAGTTGGTAAAGCCAATAAACTCGTACATGCACCTGTGGCCACGAGCGGCCATGGCTGGGAAGAGTCGCTTGAAGAGGGCGCGGTCGTTGTAATCGAGCCCAGCAGCCGCGCTCAGACCCGCGCCGCCAGCAATCAAGACATAGTCGGCGTCGCGCAGCCACTGTGTTGCCTTCGATAGCTTGGCGTTGAACGCAACGTCGGGCTGTCCGTTCGAGACGGCAGGCGCGTCCAACGGCAGACCGAATGCCCGACGAAGCGCGGCAATGTACAGCTCTTCGTCCTCTGGGCGGAACACGTTAAACACGACTCGATCGAGCGTCGGGTTGTTGGCCAAAAACTCGAGCACGGTCGCGACGGCAATCCGAGCGCCGCGGGCAGCAGGGAACCCAAACACTCCGGTTGAAACGCAGCAGAGCGCGATCGAACGAGAGTCGGGCAACTCGCTGGCGCACTGCAAGCACGAGCGGTAACTCGAGATCAAATCGGCATCGTCCCGCGGTGTCACATCCCGGCCTCGCTCAATCGCAGGGCCCACCGTGTGCAGCACAAAGCGCGAGGGAAGATTGTACGCGCGAGTTGCTCGTGCAGTGCCGTTCGGCTCGGGTTGGTACTGCTGAGCACGGCGGATGAGCACACAATCGTCTCTCAGACGCGGACCGGCTGCGGCGTGGATGACATTGTCGATGCAAGGGTGATTCGGGCGGAAGCAACCAAGGAGACCCGAGTTGGCGGCATTCACAATCGCATCCACCTTGAGCGATGTAATGTCGCCTCGCCAGAGGACGATGCGTGAGGCGAGCGGGTGCTGGGTGATGTCCAATCCCAGCAAATCTGAGACGCTTGGCAACGTTGCGGCATCGACCACCCCGCGCGCGACCGAGGCGTGCTGGAGCAGCAGGTCAATGTCTGCTTGCACCTTGTTGCCGAGTGGCGCGTTCTCCATGGCGTCGCGCACAGTGAGCAGCGCGCGCACCGTTCGCATGCGGTGACCAAACTCCGAATCGGCTTCGTCTTGGTCGTCGACGTCGTCCGTATCCAGTTGGTCGTCGTCGTCGTCGTTGTCGTTGTCGTCGTCGCTGTCTTGGTGCTCGTTGTGGTTGTGGGAGTGTCCATGGCCAGCGCTGTGGCTGTGGCTGTGACTGTGACTGTGACTGCTGCCGTTGGTACTCGCGCATCAGTTTGCGCTCGACGCGACGCAGCGCTGCAAGCAAGGTAGCGAACGGCTGGCTTCCAGTGACTGCAGGTGACCACGGTGTGTTTAGTTGCAGTTCCTGTGCGGACATTGGTTTTGTGAGTGTTTTTGTGATGTCGGATGAATGGATGATATGAGGAGTGATCCGTCGGGAATGAAATCTCCGTGCGTACTTGAGCGCAATGGCACACGTCAATCCTGTCGAGCTCGAAAATGACAGTGGAGTAGCTGTTACGAGATGGGAGTAAAAAGTTGTCCGCCTGTGGGTCGTGGTGACAGGGGTACAGCGCGTTGCATTGGAATCGCGGAAGTTTTCGTTGAGGTTGAACAATGGTTGCGCATGTCCACCTCGGACCTCGAGCAGGGGGGGTTTGCGCAATCGACTGCTGCACTACCGCTGCACAACCACGGCAGGTGCTGTACCAATGTGGAGTGTCATTTGCTGTATTGCTACGGGGACTGTGGGGGGTGGGTGCGGCTGTATCTCAAGATGCGGTTTTGACCTGAGAACAACTAATGCTGAGAACATCCGAACGCAAATCTTCTAAATTTTGAGAACCATCCAAACGCAAATCATATTTCAAAGCAAGCTTGACAGATAGCTCTGGAGTTGCATTCTTGGAGCGTGACAGCACGCGATGGCGTTGTTCGACTGATCAAACAAAGCCAAAAATCCGCACAAAGTGCACACACACACACAATCGGCGTAGAAACTCAGAATAAGCATCCGCATCCCTTACATCCATTCTCCAAATGTCGTAAAAGTCGCTCATCTTCAGTCTTTCTTTTGACGTTTTTCCTCAACTGTAAGTGTTTTTCTTAGCCGTTTTCCCGCCATTCCTTTTCCATTGTTCGTTCTCTCTTTTCTCCCCCACTTCTTGCAATACTTCTTCTTGACCTCTATGTGTGTGTTTTCCTATCTGTGCGAGTCCATGTCGATGCTCTTCACCTCCCTGCATCATCATCATCATCCACAATCAATGAGAAAACAAAGAAGCCGTGTCGACCTTGCTCTTTTCACGTGTTTACCACCGTCGGTCCATTTTCGCTGCGCATCGGAGCGGCTCTCTCTTCCCCCTGTTGACTTGTACTCTTCATCACAACCCTTCTCGTACAAAATGTGTGTGCATCATTGTGTGTCTTTGTGTGTTGCTTTGCTGCCCGCGGTTCCAAACACCACACACGCTTTGCCGACACGCACTTTTTTCGTTACCTCTGTCATCACTCCGATTCACACGCAACTCGCCTCCCAATGGTCTTTCCCCCCCCCCCCGCATTGCAAACCCCAACCACCACTCTCTCCATCTCATTCACTCTCACTCTCATTCACTCTATTTCCATGTCAAATGCTGCTGAGTGTTGAATGCTGTCCGAAGCCAATCAAGCGATTCTACATCCCTATCATCTAGCTCGCTTCGTTCCACGCTCAATCCAAATCCCCAACAATTGCTGCCAACGTGGTGCATGCGTGGTACCCCCCTTTTTCTCACCTCTCTCTTTCACTCACTCTCTTTGTCACCACGTTGTCTTTTCGCTGACGCGCTCCTTCTAAAATTGCGGGTCAACGTGGGACTTTTTCTTTGCTGCACAACGTGAAAAAAAAAAAAAAAAAAAAAAAAAAAACGCATGCAATGAAAATTCAGAGCTTTTTGTGATTTTTCACGTGTAGCTTTTTTTTTTTTTTTTTTTGATTTTTGTTGATTTTTGATTTTTGACTTTATCACTCTTCATTTTCTGTTCACTTCTTTGACTTTTTTTTTTCCATTTTGCCGTTTGGGTAATGTCAGATTTCTTGCATCCTCTCCTTGTATCATCACATCATGTGGGGGGGGAGGGAAGTGGTGTTGCAATGGAAGAGAGGAAGCGGATTTTCAAATTCGCATGGGAATGCCAATTTCACCTCCTCCTTCTCTCCTTCTCTCCCTCTCCTCTTCTCTCATGCTTCCTCATTCATCACACTCTACCTCTTTTTTTTTTTTTTTTTTTTTGATTTCTTGCTGGTCATGTGTCTCCCATTTCCATTTCCATTTCCCCGCCCTTCTTTTTCCCCTTGCATTGGCTGCATTGTGGTACGTCGTCAAACGTGTGCTTTTCCCTTCGTCTGATTTGCTGAAAACTCGCCTCCTCCCAAAAAATAACAAAATTCACCACCGTCGTTGTTATTCACAAAATGTCAAAACACCACGACTCACACCTCGCAACAAAACACGCAAAAAAACCCAACCCTTCTGTTCTCTTCTCTTCCACACCTCGCTCGTTCGACTTGGCACGCGCCATTACCACCAAACCCCAAACACAGCAAGAACAAAACTCACCTCCTTGCTTCCCCCATTTTGCTATTCCAATTGACAGAAAAACTCTTCACTCATGTCTGCCGAGTCTGCTGCCACCCCCGCCGCCTCTGCCTGGACGCTGATTGCGCGCGTCACCTCGCTCCCCGTCGTCCACTCTGCCGTCGACAAGATGACTGGCATCTACGAAAACACAAAGTCGTCCAGCGACTATGTCAAGCGCACGCTCGAGTCTGTCGAGGGCTCGGTCGCCCTTGCCGCCGCTGCCGCCAAGCCCCTGATCCAGCCGTTCGAGCCCACGCTCCGTGGCATTGACACGTTCGGCTGCCGCCAGCTCGACCGTCTCGAGGAGACGCTGCCCATCATCCGCAAGCCCACCGACGAGATTGTCGCCGACTCGCGCAAGCTTGTCGAGGACGCCGTCACGCAGGGCAAGCACCGCCTCGAGGTGCTGCGCGACACAAACGAGAAGCTCGTCAAGGACGTTGTCCGCGCTGTTGTCGACGAGCGGGTCAAGCCCCGCGTCGAGCACCTGCTCACCACCACTGAAAAGACGGTCGACTTTTACCTGCCCAACAACGCCTCGGCCGCCTCTGCTGCCGACGAGGCCGAGGTCGAGACGCTCACGCGCGTCCAGAAGCTCTCCACCAAGGTCCAACGCCGTCTGTACAGCCGTGCCATGACCCAGATCAAGGACGTCCAGCTCCGCTCCCAGCAGAGCCTCGAGTCGTTCAAGTTTACCGTCGACCTCATCCAGTACGCGCAAGAGAACATTGACCTGCAAGCCGGCCGCATCCGCTCGACCATTGCCAAGGGCAAGGCCTCTGTCGAGTCCATTGGTGGCATTGAGGATGTCCGCAAGTCTGTCGCCGCCGCCTCCGAGCTCGTCCTCTCGCTGTCCGAGTCTGCCATTGGCGCCGCCAAGCACCCCCGCACCTCTGCCGCCCTTGTTGCCGACCACGTTGCCACCCGTGCCTCTGCTGCTTCTGCCAAGCTGTCCTCCACCGCGCAGGCTGCCTACACTCGCTCTGTCGAGACTGTCACGCCCTACACGACCGCCGTCACCAACGCTGCCCAGTCGGCCTACACGCGCTCTGTCGACACTGCCGCTCCTTACACTAACGCTCTCCAATCCAAGGCTGCCCCCTATGTTGCTTCCCTCAAGGCCTCTGCCCTGCCGCTCGCTCAATCGCTCCAGACACACATCCAAAATGCCACCAACGCGCCCGCTGCCGTTGCCTTGAAGGAACGCGCACAGCCTGCCCTTGCCTCCCTCCAGCTCGCCTACACTCGCCTGCACAAGGACCTTGTCGACCTCGCTGCTGTCCTCAAGTCTGCCCGCACCACCCAACCGGAAGAGGCTGCCGCCAACGCCCAGGCTCACGCCGAGGTTGTTCGTCTTGCCGCCCTCCTCCAGGAAGGCCTTGCCACTCTTCAGCACCTGACTGCTTCGATTTCTTCCCAGTACACTTCCACTTTTAGCCAGCTGACTGCTCTTGCCCAGCGCGCTGCTTCCTTCCTGCCCGCCAACCGCTTCTTCTCCTTTGCTGCCGCTGCTGCTGCTGCTGCTGCTCCCCAAAACGAGGAGGCCGCGTCCTCGATTGAGCTGGAGGAGGTTGCCGCCAAGGCCGCCCCTGCTGCCGAGTTTGTCGACGCGTCCGAGCGCCTCTCCGAGAGCGAGGAAGACGAATCCAACGCCCAGTTTGAGGAGGCTGAGGAGGTTGACGACGAAGAAGAAGAGCTCGAGCAGGACGACGACGAGGAAGCTGACGACGATGAAGATGCTCAGGACGAGTAAAAGCGAGCAAGTTTGAGCTCGATTCCGCTTCCTGGTTTTTTTCTCTCTCACGCTTTGTTGTATTTTGATGCTTGATTTTTTTTTCGTTTTAAAGCCCATTGCGATGCACATACACACTGAAAGTTGGGCAATACACGCTTTTTTGCTTCAGAATCGTTCAGAATCAGGTCACTCATTGTCTGTCTTTTGGAACTGCATTTTGTTTTTTTCTTGGGTCACCCACAGCCACTCGTGTTTGTGCCAACTCATTTGCTCTACATTGTGTTTTGTTTTCTGTGAGTGATTTGAATCACAAAACAATGCACAAAAGTACACAAACAAAAACAAGAAGAAAATTCCGGTGGCGTTCTTTTGTTGCGATTCTCGGTCTTTTGCTGTTTTTTTCGGTTTCATCGCCCACCCTATTCACAATCTGCATTGAGATCCGCATTTGTGTGAAATGACGCGTCTTGTTTGATCTCATCGATGATGGCGTGGATGGCTGTTTCGTGGGGCGCGGGCGGCTGATTGTACAGCTCGAAGCGAATGCAGAATTTGGGAATTTGCCATTTTCGCACCTTTCCCCATTTCTCTCTCACTCATGCGGAAAGCGCTCCCGGCGATCCGCGATGCTGTAGAATCAACAAGTCGCTGTCGTTCAATGCGCAATGGACGACTACTCGACGTAGCCTTGAGCGCATAGTGCTTGCTGCTTGGGCAAACTTGAAAATTCGAAAAGTACGCAGTCCTCACTTCACCAAAAACGAAAAATCGGGGAGCCGTGCCACATGGCCGCCCTTTTAAGTTAAGGTTTGGCAAAAGCGAGTGTTGTTTGGATGTTTAGGCTCTACGACCTTGTACGGAAAACAATAATTATTCAGTGGATGTGCTTATGGCGAACAGCAGGCAATTCGCATTGTTTTCGTTTTAGAACTTTCATCTCTGCTTCCTTCTCTGCGTCCTGTATTTGTGTGTTGTTCAAGTTGCCCTTGAAACGCCAAAGTTATCGGGAATACAACCCTCCAGGTCTCACTCGTTGCTCACTGTTTCGATTTTTGTTTGTCCCTGTTTTTTGTTTGTTTTTGTTCTTTTTCTCGTTTCTCCAGGTTTGTATCAGCTCGGTTTCGTTCCTCGTATACACTTTACAACCGCTGCCCCCCCCCCCCGCTCAACAACCATGCCGATCGGTGCGCAAGCACTTGAAGTCAATGATGTAGCACGACGTGCACCGCATTCTGCCAAAGTGGTTGGCACGTCAAACGCGCCTGTGCAACCTCAGCCACAGCAACTACAACAACACTTCCACAGTCAGCAACACCAGCTCCAGCCGCAATCCCAGCAATCCCCGCAGCAGCAGCAGCAGCAGCAGCAGCAGCAGCAGCAACAGCGTTCGTTTGCAGAATCTCTCTTGCAACAACCGCCAACAACCTCTGGCGGACAGATATTTTCTGCGCGCTTCCCATCAGCCAGCCCCGGTGCCCAGCAACAACCGCCATACCTCTCGAGAAACTTTCTAGACGCTGGTTCGGGCCAGGCCGAAAACCTCAATCCACTCGCACGCGCCGAAACCAGATCCGCTGACACCCAACAACCCTCCGTCTCCAATAACAACAGCGCGCGTCAGTCTGCGTCCTCCATGTTTGACCTCGAGCCATCGGGAGGGTCCTCGCCATTTGGCCAGTTGATGACCAATGCACCTGCTCAGCCATCCGCACCGAGCGCACCGAACGCGCCGAAAGGGAAGCCGCTTGCCATGCCCCTCCCGAGCCAGGTGAACGAGTTTGTCAAGCTCCAGCAGGCTGCGTTGCAACGGCAGCAAGAAATTCAAGGCCAAAACCCAGCTTCGTTGGATGCGAATGGTGCGATGGGAACTGGGCCGGACGCCATGACGCCAATTTCCAGCGCTCTCTCGTCGTATTTCGGCATGCCAGTGTCGAATCAGGGCAACAACAGCCTCGGAGGAGTGAACTTGTCAGAGTTGCCAACACCCTCTGCGCTGCTGGGAATACCACTGTCGCTGTCTGGAACGTCCATGCCGTTGCCGATGCCGGCTCAAGAAGGATTTGCGCCGCAGTCGCTCGGCTTCCCTCTTGCTCAGCAGCAAGACGTGCTCAACCAGTATGTGCAGTTGCAGCACTTACAGGAACAGCAGCAACAGCTCCAGGATGACCAGCAGCAGCAGCTGCAACAACAGCGCTTACTGATGCTCGAACAACAGCGCCAGCTTCAGAATCAACAACAGCTGTTACTGGACCAGCACGGCCAAGGCGATCAGCAGCAGCAGTCGCAACCATTCGATGCGTCGCTCCAGGCGCTCAGAACCAAGCGCGCTGCTCCGTCCCGCACGTCCCTCTCAAGCGACGGAGGGGGAAGCGTCGATAATTTGGCCTCCTCCAGCCCGAGTCAACCGCGCAAGCGTGGCCGCGTCAAAGTGCAACAGATTCCGGAGCACGAGCATCAGCCTCTTGTTGGTGGAACGCCAGGATCCGAAACGATGGCCGAGCCCCAGACTGCTGCTGCCCGCCTTTCTGGGGGCTCCTCTGCCGAGATGGAACCACACGCCATCATTTCGGGTGAGCCGTTGAAACGCGGACGGCCGCGACGAGCCTCGGCCCTCGCTGCCATGCCAATCTTCCGACGCGAAGCCAAAGTTCAGTTTGATGGAAGCGACGCGTCTTTTGCGGGCAGCTCCAGCGAGTCGGTCGACACGGATGAAACAGATCCGGCGAGTAACTTTGAAGCGCTCGCCGCGTCCCACGCAGACGGCACTCGACGCCGCGCTCGCAGAATCCGTCGGTCGTCTGGGGGCACCGACAGCACTGGCAATCGAAGCAGTTTCAGTGGAAGCGAGGGCGTATCGTTGGCCGATGCAACCAAAGCAGCGGCTCGGTCTGCCGCAGCGGACGGGTGGACAAAAGGAGCAGATCCGTCCATCACAACGCTTCGGGCACACGATGCTGCGCTGATGGAGGGTGCTCCGGAAGATGTGGCCCAAGGCTCCGTGACGGCAGCTGCAGTGGAAGCAGAGCGCAAGCGGATTGCCATCGAGAGGCTCGACCAGGTCGACATTGACCAAGAAATTGAGGATGAATATGGGGATTCGCTCGACCGGGGCGTGCGCAAGCGTCTCCGAAACCGAAAGGCGTCCAGGCTGTGTCGCCTCAAGAAAAAGTACTACATTCAGCGGCTTGAGGCAGAGTGCGATGACTTGACCGATCGGAACATTGCTCTGGCCACCAGCTTGCGCGAGCACGAGCGGCAGTGCGAAGCCCTCAAACGAGAAAACCTAGAGCTCCGTGCGCGCTTTGGGCTGCTCGATGACACTGGCAGAATCCCGGACGCGACGTCGTTGCCCAGGCTGGAAAGTAGTGTTTGAAGTAGTGTTTGAGCAGGGGGCAAATGATGAGCAGTTCTCTTGTACTACAGCTTGTCAGATGTGGTCGCCAGCTATTATTTTGTAGTCCTTATTTATCACCCTCCTTCCTGGTTGCTGTTCTGCATTGGTTGATTAGCATTTCGCTTTTGCATCGTCTGTTGTGTTGCACTTTTTCGCAATGTTCGAGCTGTCGGTCGATATGCTCCAGCTTGCAGCTTTATGTACATGAATGATATTGTATCAATCGATTGCCAAATACAAAAAGCCTTACCAAACTGAATCCATCGTTTCAGTCGTAACTTTTTTCGGAACGGAATACTAGAATGGGTCGAAGCAGCGGTTTGGGCGGCGGTGGCGGTGGCGGCGGCGGTGGTCCAGATCGCATCGACGCACGACCCATCGAGCATTACAGGCGATCTATTGGTGAGGAAAACGCGAGTGGCTTGTGGCTTGTGGCTGGGGTTGGGGTGGGGGGCGAGATGTGGGTTCAGTGGCGCAAACTGAGCGAGATTGAGATTCAGCCATTGCATCAATGCATCAATGCGTCAATGCGTCTGTGCGTTGATATATTTTGCATTGGATTGAATTTCGGCCATTTGGTAGGACGACAAGAAAACCGAGGACGAAGCAAGCAAGCGACGCTGAGCATTAAAAACACGGCTCAGATCAGACGAACAGGCGAGAAATCAGTTACTGTGCCAAAGGAGGCATATACGTCACTCGCACTGCTGGCACTGGTCATTGTGGCTGCTGGACTCTACTGGTGGATGCACCACGCATAAGAAATGTGCGGACTGCGTTTTTTGGAGCACTTTTGTGTGGAAGGACTTATTGTTATACCAAGTAATAACTGGGGAAAATGGATGGCAGATTTCACAAAGTACGTGCACAGTTAAGCGTAAGCAACATGACCTACATCATGTCTTGGGCGGCAGAGAACGCATCAGATCAGCTTGTAGGAATCCGCAATAGACTCATCGCAAGGCGAACGGCGACATCAACCGCAACCACAGCAGCAACAGACCCTGGTTGGACTGGAGCAGCCACAAGAGCACGCGAGCAACGATTGTCAGCGCAGACGTCTTTTGCAGGCGGAGGCGCGATTGGAGTCGCTTGGTGGCAAGCCGGGACTGCTCGACAAGGTCGCCCAGTGCTGACCAAGCCTGCAGTGACGCTGCAGCCAAAGCAACAGTGATGCTCGTCTGAATTGCACGCGCGCAAAGAGACGCCCAGTACTGAGGGTCGCTCAGCTTGGCCAGCAACCGCGGCAGAAACTTGGAAATTGCTCGCAGCGGTTGCCGGCACTCTGGGCAGAGCCCTGCACCCCGCTGCGACGATGCAAACCACCTCTGCATGCACTCAAGATGTGCGACATGCTGCGGAACGGATTTGCAGAAGTTTAGGAGAGGCGGGAGCGTTGCGGATTCTTGTGGTGCTTCGGTCTCAGGATTGGGTTGAAAATCACCGACATTGGTGCGAACATCGGAAGTGTCTGTATCCGTCGACTCGTCGTCAGAGGAGGATTCTGAGGATGGATCAGAGGACGATTCTGAGGACGATTCTGCGGAAGATTCTGAAGACGGTTCCGAGAACGATTCTACTTCTGCAGAGCGTGACCGTCGCCGGCGTCGTGGTCGAAGAAGCGCTATTTGGCGGTGCCATACTGCTATATCGTGCAACGGCTGATTCCTTTCGAGCAGCGCCGCTTCGGAGGGAGACAGATCGGCAATCGATCCTTGGCAAATGCTGCAATCGGATGCAGGGCGGACAGCAGCGCCTGTGAGATGATGTTCACTACCAGTCTCTGTGCATTGCCCTTGATCCGCAAGACGACCGTCAAGCATGAGACGGTTGCGTTGAAGTAACAATGTTGTGAGCAGGTGTGTGAGCTCCTCCAGGAAGCACACGACTGCTAGGGTTATTGGAATGGCTCTGGTGAGTCGAACGCGTCGTAACAAGAATGCAGCCAGCTTGTTCCGGTCCTTTGGTGGCAGTTTGTTTGCACTTTTAGTCTGAAACACAAAAAGCAAAAAAACAAACATGTCTCCTTGGTTAGACTCTGTGTCAAAGCCGCCCGCATGCATACAAGAATGCACCAAAGAGCCCACGCTCATGCTCGGAACAACTATACGCAATCATGGCACTCGCTTCTTACAAACGTGGCAACGCGGCTCAGAATGGTCGCAAGAACGTACGCCAGAATGAAATGCACGCCTGCATGGATGGGCCGATCCTCGTCGCGCAGATCGTGCCCCAGCGCCAGTCGCTCGAGTGTCAGCGATGCATCCCGCGACAAGTTCGTCCATGCGAGCAGCCTTGCAAACGACGCCGGGACGAACGGCGGCGAAAGGCCGACAATTCGGGTCAGTACATTGACAATCGCACGCGCTAGGACCCGCGACGGCGCCCGGACGATGGCTGTGATGATGCTTGGACTGCCAGCAGCACGATCAGGCGTGGGCGTGAGGTTGTTGGGTGTCCGGGGCTGAATGTTGACGATTCGTGCTGGTTGTTGTGGCTGCTGAGCGGTCAGGCTCGGTTGGTACCGCCTGCCGCTCGCCCAGCAGTGCACAGCCCAGCCAAAGCCTGCAGCACGCACTGATTGGTAGACGAGAACGGTGGCCGTGGACGCAGCCCGCAGACGCTGTATGGCGTCCGATTGCTCCATGGGTGGGATATTAGAAAAATTTGATGACGCGCCGTTCTGAGCGAATCAGAAACTGGATCTTGTTACTTGTTGCCTTAACACAGCAAATAAAAGTGCTCAAATCTGAGGATCAAGCCAAATAAGCAAACAAACAAACAAGACCAAAATCACGACTGGTGGACACCAATCTGCGCTGCCAAATCTCTTGTCATTTTCGCTTTTTCGCTTCATGCAAGTGCTCTTGTACAATGAGATGAGAGCGAGTCGCCGAAATCCATTCGCTCGTGTTTGTGCTGATTTTGGCTGTTTTGGGTCGCGCGATCATCTCAAACGCAAGTGTGCGGAAAAATGAACATCGGCACCGTGCGTTGTTTTTTTTTTTTTTTTTTTTTTTTGTCCGTGTCGGCTCATTGAGTTTAGTTCAAGGTGCGGAACACAATGCAAAAGAGCGAGCCAGCATATTGCCATAGATTGAGCATGTCTAGAAAACAGCTCTTGTCTTGGTCGGTCGGCCCGAGCGCGTTCACGAGATTGTGCATGCTGACGGGTGCCAAAGGTTACTCAATGTTGTTGATGTGCGCCAATTTTCCACTCGACTCAGTCTTAATAATTTTTTATTTTTGAAACTTACGAGCACACAACTTGGCGATCACCCAAAAAAACCGCCTCAATCCGCTCTCAGCAGCGAGCGCAACGGAGACTTTTTTTTTCTCTTTTTTTTTCTTTTTTTTTTTTGTTTATTTTGTATTGAATTTGCATTGCAGCACAGCTTTTTTTTTTTTTTTTTTGATTCCGGTGAGAAGGTCCGTTCTCCAGCATTAACATGTCACTGTGGCGACCACCGGAGCCGGACATCCGAGGGGTGCAGCTGGTTGAGCTTCCGCACGAGGTCCTTGAGCACATCATCATGTTCCTGGACTACGAGAGCGTGCAGCGCGTTGCCGAATCGTGCCTGTTTCTTCGCAGCGTCGTCCTGTCAAGCCGACCGCTCTGGCGCGTCCTCCTCCTCCGCGAGCGCCCCTGCCTCTCGCGGTCCTCCCGAGCGCTCCTCGAGTCACAAGGGTAAGCGTTTCCAACCAACCAGCCGCCCCCTGTGCCATTGTCACCCACCCCCACATCCCCGTGTGTCTGTCGTCGGAGAGAGGACCAATACTTTTTTTTTTTTTTTTTTTTTTTTTTTTTTGGTTTTCCCCGCTCCTCGTCTGTTCGTTCAACTCGTGGCACACTGCTGTGGGGGGAAAGTTGCTCGTCGTCACGTCCTTTCGTTGTTGTTGTTTCTCCTTCTCTTTTTTGTGCTTTTTGCTCTCTTCACGCATTGTTTTGAGCTTCTGGGCTTTTGTGTTTGTTGCTTTTGGCTTTGTTCTACGCGTCGCGGCAAAATCGGAAAAATAAACCACAGCCGGGAACGGAAGAAAAAAAAAAACAAAAAGCCATCAGAAAAAAAAAAGCGGAAAAAAAAAAAGAAAAAAAAAACGAGCCGATTGCTTTGTAGTTTGTATGGCTGTTTTATTCCGCAGGGCAACAACAGCACGAGCGTGCTGATCGAGCGTGCTGATCGAGCTACGAGATGGCATCACTCATAAAACACAAAGCCAAAACAACTCACTGGAGAAATGCCGACGCACTACGAGGATTTTAAGGAACTAACCGATCACATTGAAACGTCTCGTTTGTTTCACTTTTGGGGGGGGGGGGCAACAGAGCATGCGTCAGGAGAATCTTCCTCGCAAACCACCGCGTGCAGGAGCATTGGCGAACGGGCACGGGCAAGATATCCTGGCTGTCCAACCGACCGAGCGCGTTGTCGTCGCGATGCCAGATGCTGCGACAGGTGCAGGCTGCTCAGGCTGCACAGCGCGCTGCTCCCAACCACCTTCATAACACGGGTGCAGTCGACCATGCTGCTGCTAATGCTGCTGCTGCTGCTGGTGCTGCTGCCCTTTTCCAACGGCCTGGTGGCAACGGGCAACAGCCAGCATCACCATCGCTGCCCGATTTCTCGCATATGAGCAACTTTTCCACCCAGGCGCATCCGATGGAGACGTCGCACTCTGCACCTGCATCGTCACAGCCGCAACAACAGCCAGCAGGAGCTCATGGGCACCAGCCACCACTCGTCTCGGTGGAGGAAACCACCTCGTTCCAGATTACTAGTCTACATGTGCGCGGCGACACGCTTGCCGCCGGCTATTCGAACGGCGCGGTCTCGCGGTGGGACCTCGATCCGTGCCGGAAAAAGACCATGACTATGCTCGTCTACCGCTCGCCCGTGCGGCTCGTGCATGTGATTCACACGCGCGTCTCCGTGTACCTGCAAAGCTGCTCGCCGGCGGAGGCCGCCGTGCTCTCGTCGGTCGCCGCATCGCAACACCTCGAGCAGCCAATCCCGCCAACCGCCCGAACCATGCTCACCTTTCCTGACGGGCGGTCGGAGGAGGCGAGCATCGGCTTGGCCAGCGCCAGCAGCTCCAATCTAACGGTCTGGGACATTGAAACTGGGCGCTGCCATGTCGCCCGTCTGCGCACCGGAGACGTGACGAGCATTGCGTCGTCGCCCTGTGCTGGCATTTTCGCTGCAGGCGACCAGAGCGGTACCGTCCGCGTCTTCCAAATCACACGCCAAAACCTCACGTGCTTCCATGTGATTACCGTCAGCGCGACGCCCATCACCAGCCTCGCCGTCGGGAGCAGCGGCCAGTGGATTTTGAGCAACTCGAATGACGTTTGCTGCCGGCTATGGCGCTCCACGCCCATGGACGCGTTTGTGGTTGTCGGGTTGTGGTCCAAGCGCGAGTGCCAGCGCGGCCTTGTGTGCTTCTCGCGCTCTGAAGTGGTGGCGGATCCGCTCAAGACCTGCTCCGAAGACGAGTGCAAGCAATTGAAAACCATGATGAGCGATGCACCGGGCCAACTGCCACGCGAGAAGGAACCCTCCCACAACTCGCCACAAAAGTGTAACAGCATTTTCTCCCGCTGGCCCTTCCTGTGCAAGCAATCCCGAACGGCGCCCTTGACCAACCGAGCTGTCGCGGCGGCGACAACCGCCCCGTGCACGTTCACGCGCATTCTCCAGACCGCCTCCAGCTTTTTCGGCGGAGCGGGCGCCACCTCGGCTCTACCCACACCACCAACGGACGACGTCAAACCCATGGAGGTAGACAGCATGTGTATGGATGAGATGTCCTCACCGACTTTATCGCAGGAGCAACATTCTCCACCTCCGCACACGATGCAAGTGGCTGAATCGCTGCCCAACCCGTGGACAACCTTCCACGCCAATTTGGTGACCATCCCAGCCGAGCCCTCGTCGGAGCTCGTACCGGAGGACGACTTTGTCGAAGATGACGAGACTCTTGCACGATTTGAAGCTGCTGATCAGCAACTTGCTTTGCTCGCCAACTGCCGACTCTTCTGGCCTGGTCAGCCGTCAACCGTGGGTCGAGGTAGGGTTTCTCGTTTCGGCGAGTGTGGTTCAAAGGGGTTGGATTTGTTGTGTTGCTTTTGACTAATCCTTCCTCTTTGCTTTCGTGCTTGTAGTGACGTGTCTTGCACACGACAAGTTTTTCATTGTGAACGGCACGTCGGCTGGTCAGGTCCAACTCTGGGATGTTGCAACCGGCATGTTGCACTGGTCCTGCCATCAGCACGTATCGCCAGTCAAGTCGCTGCAATTGGATTCATCGCGGCTCTTTGTGGGTCATGCCGACGGCACGATCTGCTACATCAACTTTGACGAGTGTCTATGATCGCTTTCATCATTGCATTGTTTATTTATTTATTTCTTTTGATGTGTGTGATGTGTGTTTTCGGTGTTCTACATTGCAGCTGGCTGCATTGTTTTTGTGCAACAAAGAAAAACAGTGAAAAATTACGATTCGTACGCCACCTTCATGGTTGCCAAGGACAGAAATACAGAGGTAGATGAATATTTTTGGATAGGAGAGGCAAGCAACTCCAAAAAAAACTGAACAGACAAACGAGCAGCAAAATAACACGACACACGACGGAATGGTGATTTTAGGCCAGACACAACGAAAACAGGAAAAAAAAATCGGTCTGGATTGGGAAGACACACATCCCAAAATGATTCTACTTTGTTGTTAAAACTCGACTTAATCGAGCTTGACATTGTGGTAGATTTGTCGCACAAATACACTTGTACCTGCGTGTCCGATCGTGCCTGTCAAGAAAACCCATCAACGTGAGTGAGATGAAATCAAAAGCAAATGACCGAGCAGCTGGAACGAAAGGACAGTTAAACGTACCACACAAGACACCGAGGCCGATGCAGAAGAGGGCCATGTAACCGAAATAGAAGCTTGTTTGGAAAAGGCCGTACATTCTGCGTCATGGAAACCAAAACAATCAAAGAGCAAACAAAAACGTAGAAGTGTGAGCTCAAAACGACTATGCTGCAAGCAGAAACCCCAAACAAAAGCGAATGCATCTGGAACTTACGTGGTCTTGAACAAAAAGTAGTAAATAGAATAGCCGTACACATAAAGCGCAGTTGATGCGGCGCTCAAGAAGCTCGTCCAGTGCCTGTGTAGGAGGTAAAATGTGGCTCAATAAGCAATGCGGGCAATCACAAAACAACGAAATAAAAACCCTGCTCGGGCAACAACGCAAAAAAAAAAAAAAAAAAAAAATCCAGGGGCCTTACCAGCGGTAGTCCTCCGAGTTGAGCAAAAAGTACGTGCAAACGATGGTAGAGCACACGGTAACAACGGCAAGAATGAGGAAGACTAACAACATAAAGCCGTAAACGTAGTAAATCTTGTACGCCCAGAAGGAGGTAAAGACAAAGTACATTTCGATGAAGATGGAGCCGAACGGCAGAATGCCGCCGATGAGAACGATGACCCAGGGCTCCATGTACCACTGCTTTTCAGGGATGGGGCGCGGGACTGGCTTGACGCGGCAGGGGAAGTTGGCCGCGCCGCACATGTTGCGACCAAGCACGGTGCCGACCAAGCACAGGGGCATGACGACGAAAAAGCAGATGGCAAGCACCATCAACATGGTAATGAACGGGATGGCACGCGTGGCATTGTAGTAAATGGCGATAAAGTTGATCATGAACGCGGTCGCCGACACGGTGAATGGCAGCAGCGCGGCAGTCAGGAAGGTTTGCTTAATCCACTCGCGTCCGCCATAACGCGCGTACAGCGAGCCACCAGAGAAGCCGGCAACCGGAGACAGCGCGGCATACGCAAAGATGCAAGTGGTGAGAATCGATCCGCGACTGCGGGGGGGGGGGGGAAGAAAGCAACGTACTGTGAGTCAGGAGTTCAAAAATGCGCATCGACAAAGCAGAGAAGCAAGAACATTGTCCCTTACGTCGTGTAAAGGTCGCCAACAATGATAAAGCAAATGACTGCGACGGCCACGGCGACGAGTTGATAACCACTGCCAACAAGCGCCGAGAACAAGAGCAAGTGCGAGGGGGCGCGGAAAACATCGCCGTGAACTTGCTTCCAGCCATACTCGTCACCAAGATCGCGCTCCTAAAAGCGAGAGGAACGTGGAGGTGCGGGGGGGGGAGAAAGTGAGCAAGACCAACCAAAAACGAAAAAAGCAAAAATGCTTTTGGTGAGCCCAATTACCATGTCGTCAATGTCATCGTCGCGGCTGTACCGAGCATAGTCCTTGCGGAGAGTGCGCATCAGAATCATGCTCACGAGGCCGACGAGGAAGATGACCATCATGAACGAGTTGAAGATGCTAAACCAGTGGATCTGCAGCGGACATTGACAAAAGACCGAAAAAATGAGCGACGTGCGACGCTCTAGCACACATTTGAACACACTGACTCTCAATTGCTACTCACGTTGTGCTGGAAAAAGTTGGGGTCGAGGTACTTGTCAAAGCGCTCAGCAAACGAGGTGGAAGACTCGCCCCAGGCGACAGTGTAGGAGAACGAGATGGTGATTCCGGGAGCGAGAATGGTGCTGCTGTCGTGGGTCAGCTTGACGTCCACAATCTGCTTGCCGTTGAAGCCAATGTCAAAGTGCCTGTGCGTCCAGATGGCGTACTGCACATCGGTGCGGTCATGGGTGCTCGCCTCATCGCCCGTCTGGTCGTCGGGAACCACGGTTTCGCCGACGTTGTCCCAGATTGGCAGATCGTCGAGGTACATTTGGTACCAGTAGTGGTTGCGCACTGCATACACGAACGCGTCAAAGTTGTCCTCTGTCAAGACGACCTGGCAGTAGGCCTTGCGTTCTGGCACGTCCACTGCGAGATCAAGAGAGTGTTTGGTGGTATGCAATCGTTGGGGAGGGGGAGTTGTAGAGGTTGGGAGTGATGAGTGACAAGAACATAAAACGGGGAGACAACGAGTCTCATCGTGCTCTCACCGCCAAAGCGAATGTCGAGGCCCGAGAACTCGAGATCGATGCCTTGCAATGCCTCTCCGATCGTTTCGTGCGGGTGGTCGATCGACGGCTTGGGACCGCGGCAGAACGGCAGCGAGAAGAAGTTGTATGTTTCCTGGCGATTGTGATATGGGCCGACCGTGTTCATCCAGAGGACGACCTCGTCAAAGTTTTCGTACTGTCAAGCAACACACAGACGAGCGCACAGTGATAGACAGTGAGTTGAATACGCGTTGACAAAGAGAGAGAGAGAGAGAGGGAGAGAGAGAGAGATAGAGGGAGTGAGATTGCAATGGAAAGTCAATGAGACGTTTGCCTCCTTCCTCGTCCACCCAGGCCACCCCCCCTCCCAGCGCCCATCGCCCCGCGGCACTCGTGAGACAAGGCTCGTGGGCAGAGGACGGTGTTCATCCACTTTGAGTGGACGTCGCTGCGATCAACCGCGAGAGAGAACCAAAGCGAGAAGCCACGTCGACTTCAGACAGACGGTCCCTCTGTTGCCAGCCCAGCAACCAAGATGCAGAAGCGGGTTTGCGTTGCTGTGGATGTGTCGATCGCTGAGATGGGTCGTTCCTCTGGGCAACCCCCCCGCCGAAGAGAGAGCGTCGGTGGTGCGGAAAGATGGACTTGCAATAAAAACCCAAAGAAAAAAGAAGCAAAAAAAAAAAAAAAAAAAAAAAAAGATCGCAGGAAAATTTCAATTGTTCAGATTTTCCATTTTGTTTTCACTCATCGCAAAGTCGCGCTGGGGTTTGACACAACATCTTATAATTATTATTGTTATTATTTTATTGCTTTGAAGGGGGAGGGGTTTTGACGTTTACCAGGTGGTCGTGCTCATCTGCAATGGCAACGGCAGCCAGCAGCGCGGCAACAACGAGCAGAGCGCCTCGCAGTCGCATCGTGGGAACAAAAGAGAGAGAATAGAATAAAGAGAATATGAATAGAATCACGGAAGAGGGGAAGAGAAGAAGAAAAAAAAAACAGTCAAAAAAGCTCAGAAACAAAAAAAAAAAAAAAAAAAAAAAGAAGACTGAAAAATGAAACAAACACAGATTCAATTCTGGATCAACTCACAATTGACCCAGAAAGGTGGGTGGATGGAAGGGAAGACAATGGATCAAAGCGATCTAGATCTAGTGGGTCGATTGTTCATAATCAGAATCAAAAGAACAAGAAGCGGAAAGAAGCGGAAAGAAGTGGAAAGCATTGGAAATTGCTGGACAAAGCAAACTCCTCCTCATCACAGATGTAGACGCAGATGCACGCAGTCAACACACCATGTCTTTCTCAAACTGCACAGATTAGCAATTACAAAAAAACTCAAAAGCACCTCTCAGCAAAACCGCATAATCTCAGCAAATCCAAATTAAGCACCGTCACACCTTCTTTTTGTCCACAACTTGTCATCCTCTTCTTCTGAGCACCTGTTCGCACCGTTGCGTTCTGCGATAGACACATCGATACAGTTCTCGAGAATAATAGACGAATGCGGTTGGCGACGCTGCTGTCTTCGCGGGATGCGCACGCGCTGCATGAGCTGGTGCTGCCAGTGTATGCGCGGTCGCCGCCGGCATTTCGCATGAACTTGGAGCTGTTCGACGTGAGCCCGCTGTGGTCGACCTACTACCACAACCAGCGCTGGGATGCGCCAAAGCCAGACGGACCTGCTTTGATGCCGACCACGGTGTTTGACAGGCACCTGGTCCCGCTGCTGCCAGCCATTCTGCTTGTACCGAGCGTCACTCACAACGATCTCGAGCGCTGCGACTCTCCTGCAAGCTCAACGACCACCACCGCCGCCGCCGCCGCCGTCATTCCTACGACGACTGCTACTACTACGAATGATGCTGCGAGTATCGCGAGCACATCGACCTCGGCCCAAGCCATGTCCGACGAGACGCCTGCGCCCCAGAATGACTCGTCTGCGTCAGCATTCACTCAATCTGAAGCTGAAGCGCGAGCTGAAGCAGCCAAATCGCAGAATCACAATCTGGAAGAAGAAGCAAACTCACCCGCGCAGAATGGTGATGCTCCATCGCAGGCGGAGAACAGCCAACCCACGACATCCGACCCGAATCAACCAGCCTCGAAATCTGAGAAACCAGCAGCTACCTCAACTCCAACCACAACAATGACAAGCTCAAAGCCCTCGGTGCTGACCGCAGACATGTCGCCCCGTGAACGCCTGGTTGCATTCATGTCGCAGCCGGAATTGATTAAACAGGTGCAATTCTTGTCGGAAGATCGGCCGCAACAGACGAAGCTGCATGGCCCGGCCGTCTCACACGCTCTGAACGACCATCGAGTGCTATGTGTGAATTGCATGATGAGTCACATACCGGGAGGGGCAGTGTTGCTGTCGGACGAGCAGGACGCCAACCTCGTCGCCGACCTCGCTTCGTTCGGTGCAAGCCCACCCAGGGCGACCGAGTGGCCGCGTTACATGTCGTGCAACGTATCGCACGCCATCGCGACCAGCCTCCATGCAACAATGCCCATCAGTTCTCGAGTGCCCATCCGAGACATTGTTTTTTCGCCCATTCCCTTTCCGACGCAAACCCTCCAGGGGCCGGCTTTCTCGGCACCATCCGACACAGCGTCCGTCTCGGCATCCATCCCGTCAACCACGCTTTCACCGCAGCTGAGCGAAGCCGCGCACGCATTCGATGCGCTTCAGCAGCTTCACTCGGACCCCTTGGTCGCGCACTTGCGGGAGGTTTGTGCCACGTTCGCCCTCGGCGGATGCAATCCCGCGCAATCAAAGCAAAAACAGTACTACAGAGTCAACAGCTCGGCGTACCGTGTGTATGAAGTGCCTCGCCCAGCGCCAATCACAAACCCCGCGCTGGATGTCGCCGCCATGGCAACTGCAATTCTGTCCGGCATGCAACAAGGCAGCCTTGTCTACATTGTGACGGATTCGTTGACAGAGGTCATGGAAGACTCGCCGGTCGAAGAGGAGTTGATTCGCATGCTTTCGGTCGCGCCCGGCTTGCCAGAAGCTCAAGCCGAGTATCGCGGGAACGAACCACGACTGGCCATGCACACGCTTCTGGATTCGACGCAGCCGTCGCCGTTGTCGCCGCTTCCGTTCCTCCGGTGCGTCGTGTTTTCTTCCCGCGTCTCGTCCAAGCTGACACGGCTATTGGTGCAACTGGGCGTCGAATGCGTGATTGCTCCAACTCTCAACCCCTCCCCGCACACGCTTGTGGCAATGAAGCTCTTTCTGGACCGGTTTATCTGCGACATCCAATGCACCAGCTTTCCTGAGGCGTTTGTGCAGGCGGCGCATGCGGTTGAAAACAGCCGACCCAAGGATTCCCCTCCCGACAACTTTAGCATTCATCTTCCGCTCCCTGAATGTGAGTTTGCTTGAACGAACGAGATGCGCGTGTTTGTGTCAAGTTTACCGCCTTCTCACTTTGGTTGTGCTCCCTTTTTATTTTTATTTTATTTTATTTTTTGGCTGGTGATTCTGTCAGTGCTTTTGACTCCAGTTCCACATTTGCCTCCTTCTTTGAAGCAAGAAGCGCAGGAGACGTCTGTCACGAAATCGGTGCTGGGGCAGACTGGTAAGACAACTTTTCGTTGTTGGCGGAATTCAATGAAACCCCAATCCTGACGCTTTTTTTTTGTTTGCTTTGCCTTCTTCTCGGTTGATGATGTTGGGTTGTTGCCCGCTTCTACCTGTTTGCGCTGTTCTCGCTCCAGCCAAGCTCCGCGTGCTCATAATCAGGCTCTCGTCCGTCCACGATGCGACTCCCGCGCAACGCAACGTCTGGGGTGGGCGTTTCCAGGTGACTTTTTGCGACGCCGTCTACAAAGAGTGTACTGCCGAGTACCTGGAACAGCAATTGCATGCATACATGCCAGATGTGCTGCACATTTGCTACATGGATGCAGGCCCCATTGACTACAGGCGGTTTTCCCACCCGTTACGCCTGTCGGTGGACTTGGTGGAAGTTTTGCGACGCTACCAACAGCGGATGGAAGCGTTAGAGTTGCAGCGCATGGGAATGATTGTGCTTGGTTGCCCTACGCTGTATGCAGTGGGTAGAGCAGTTCACCGTGCTTCAATCGTGCCCATTGTGGTTTGCTTTGAAGGTAGTGCTGAACCCAAAACCAGCCTGCCCCAACGCTCGCGCGCGCTCGCCCGTGTCCATGTTCTCGTCCAGCGCAAAGTGACCATTCCGCTGCTTGCCCCGCCCATCGGTTTGGGTGACACGAACGTATTGGACCGACAACTGCAGCAGATGGCGAACGGCTTATTTGGCAATGCCAGTGCCGCGTCGTCCTATTGTGGACTTGTCGGCGCCAACCATCGCAACATGCAGTTGCGGATTGACGATCCTCATTGTCAAATGCACATTTTGACGTCCTCCGCAGTTGATTTTGTGCCAAACTCGCGAGGCTCTGGAATTCTCAAGCAAAACGTAAATTTCGAGCTGCCAGACGCGTATCTCTTGTTCAACACTGAGCCGTCGACGTCAGTGCACTCGGATCTTACAATGGTCCAGGTTATCTCTCAGATTCTGAGCATGTGTGCCCGTTGGTCTCCGCTTCTGGGAAAGCCCTCGCCCGCCCCAGCCTCAACTCCAGAAGCCCACTCCGTACTGGGCAAACCACCACTGACCTTCTTGCTGCTCACCAAAGCCGGGTACGGCAACAGTGCGGCGCGACAGCTGTTTTCTGCGTTCAGCAACCTGGGTCAGCTGCCAAATGACCTCGTGCCCGTTCGGTTTCGGCTGTCAACCCTTGTCCAAAAACCAGCTACGGCCCTGCTGCGTCTGCTGCAATCGATCGGGCTCGACGTTGGTTTGCGGAGCTCGAGCGCAGAGGATGGCGAGACATTCTCCAGCGCCGCAAGTCGCATCCGCTCCCGAGTTGTCCTGTTTTTGGAAGGCTTGGATGAGTGGCTCGACGCCAATCCGAGTGCCTCCTCTGCGACCATTTGGGATGTACTCGGCGTGCAACCATTCTTTGTGCGGATTGTTGCGTCTGTCTCGGCGGACTTTGCTGCAGGCCGGATGAGTCTGGTTCGGCGCCTGCTGCTTCCTCCTGCAGCACTACCATCCTCCCTCGTGGTATTGTATGTTGTTTCGCCGTCCCATTGGAGTGACGGAGGCATCCACCGGGCCGTCAACCCCATCCTGGGGTTTGTGCAAAGCACTCCAGGGACATCAACCGAGGCAGGCACCAGCACGTCCGACACGGCTGACATCCCGCGCTGGGCAAGGTTTGAGCACAAGCTGCAAGGCTCGTGTGACCCAGTCCCGCAGCCCATCTCTCATCGAGCGCGCTGGCCAGAAGAGCTGTACTTGCAGTTTCTGCGCTGCAATCCGTGGTCTGAGTGGTTTTTGCACGACCCTTGGACGGCTGTCGCGCTGTTTGTCTATCTCTTGCAACCATCGATTGGGCGGGGAATTGAGTCGCTCCAAAGTACCGCGTGGCTCGGACCTGCTCATCGGAAGGTGATACTAATGACTTGCATCCGGCAGAGCGCATGCGCAGCCCGTGCAGCGTGCGACGCGGCCTTGCAGGTGGAGTGGTCGCCTCTCGAGTTTTGCGAGAAGAGCGTGACTTTGCTGTCGCAGCTTGCCCTTCTCATGCAGGCAGTCAAGTGCAGCACGTTGCCGCTGGATTCCGACTTGACGACCGCAATGCAGTCGCTCAATCCCACAGTCGCAAAAGTGTGCTCAGTTGCACTTGCGGCACTTCCCGAACTGTGTGAGCTGCTTGCGACTGGTGTCATCCCGGGCAGCGCCTCTGGTAAGCTGTTGGCCATTTTGTACACCGACCCGTGGCGCACAATGCCCTTGTTTGTGCACACGCAGCACAAGGTCCTCGAGTTTGCAGACGACTTGCTTCGCGATGCGCTGATTGCCGAAATCGTGGTGCAGCCGACGCGAGACGCTGATTCGGTCACTTCGTCAGCCTTCTTGCCCTTCGAGTCCATCGAGCGTTTGGCGTTGCTTCGGCCAGAATGGGTTGGCAGCCGCACATGCTTTTTGGCCATGACTTCGGACGAAGCGTTCGCATTCCGCGCGAGCTCGATCGACTTTCTGCGGCGCGTTTGTGGCGACCATAGTTCTGATGGGCACAGCTGTGAGACTGATGATGAACCGTTGACTGCCACGGACACTGCCACTGCGGGGCCTGCTGTACATGAGCAACAGGAGCTTTCAATCATGCGCGAGCAATTAGAAACGCTCGCGCAATCTCTGGCCCTCCCTCTGAAGGTGCTTCGCGACAGAGTCACCTCCGTCATCATGTCCATCTTGAACTGGTCTACTGGCCCCTCGGCTCACAAGTTTGAAGGGTTGCAGCTGGAGGGATACGACTGCTCGCACACCAACCTTTCGGGCGCCTGCCTGCAAAACGCGGAATTCCGCGACTGCAATCTCAGCCATGCCACACTGACTGGTGCTGTCCTCGATGGCGCCAAGTTCATTGGCACCAAGATCAGTTGCGCTCGAACCGAGGTCCAACCACATTGGGATGTGATGCCTGACCCCACCACCACCACCGCCAGCAACGCCGCATCCAAAGCAACGGCACCCTATATTGTTGCTTCGCACGTGACATTCCGCAACTCGGCGCTAATCCTCGTCAGTACCCAAGGCTCTGTTGTCGTGTACGACACCAGGCAGCCTGGCTTGAAGGAAGTCTGCCGAGTTCAACTGCCCGACAATGTCGGAACGGTGCTTCACGTGGCATTCCAGAATTGCGAGTGCTCCGACACAGCGGGCATGGACCGATGTCGCATTCTTCTTGCGTGCAAGAGTCAGAAGCTGCTGCTTGTGCAATTCGCGCGACAGCCTGTCCCTGACGCTGCCGTGATGCTTGATATCCCGCCCACCATGGTCGCAGAGCTGGCCACGATGCAAGAGCACTCGTCATCGCAACCCAGCAACGCGTCTCCATCCCACCAAGAGTCTGGCCTGGTACACTTGGCACTTGCTCGCGATTTGGTTCATGTCGTGATGGTGTTTTACTTTCGCACTGTAGTGATTGGGCGATTGAAAAGGACCCGTGCCTCTTTCACGCTCGATCACGCATCCGTCAAGCAGTTTTCTCCGGCACAAATGGCACGACCTGATTGCGCCGTGGCCTCCCATGTCAGGGTGACTGGCGCGGCCTTATCGGCGGATGCAACGACCCTGGTTGTCTTGCTGCATACATGCTGCGCCTTGCAGTTTACACTGTCCCTGCCCGCTGTGGATGAAGGCGCTGTGGATGAAGGCGCCGAGGATTCATTTCCCAAGAACGACTCGAACAGCGAGATTGGTGCAGAGTTTTGTGGTCTGCTCGTGTCGAACACGGCACTAACATCAGCATCCTTCTGCACCAACCTCCAGCTCGTCGCAAGCACCTCATCCCAGTCCTTGCTTGTGTTTGACCTGTGCTCCAAGGATCACCTCCTCGATGCAGCTGAACTGAGGGATTTTGGCAACCAAACCGAATCGGACCAGCAGTATGGCATTGACGGCGTAACCGGCTTGGCGTTTTCGTCCCACCTTCGTGCTGTTCGTGCGTGCTCTTCTAGCGCCATGCAGTCTGCAAATTTCTTTCGACCGGTTGCGTTTCCGTCGGGCTTTCTGTGTACGGAAGAGAAGGAATCCCTTCAATTCTGGAGGCACGAACCTTTGCAGCGAATGGGAACGCTGCTCCTCCCAGCGGGTCACACGGGGGTCACGAGTGTCGCCATTGTCAGCCATGCTGCTTCCTTTTGCTCGGATTCCGAGCCCTCTGGTGAAGACATGGTGATTGTTTGCTGTGGAACGCGTGTCGTCGTGTTTCCGTCGTTCGAGGCTTGGCTCTGCGTTTCCAATCGCATCTCCCCGCCTTCGCTCACCACTCGCTCGGCTGCGCTTTGCCTGCCGTTCATGCACGTGAGCAAGCCACGTCAGTTTCCCCTCATCCAGCAAGCAACGGCGATGGCACTGTCGTTCCCCTCGAACGACGCGCCGCCCATTCTTGCCGTCGCTGGTCAAGGCACCGCTATTTACGTCCAGTTCCAATCGTTTGGCATCACGCACGTGAATGAATTGCACGCGCCTCCTGGCTCGCAGGTGGTTGCGCTCTCCTTCCATGCCGAGACCCAGGAGCTGTTGGTCAGCACAGACTCGTGGGTTCTCTCCTTCCGAATTTCAGATTGGGAAAGACTGTATGCGCGACGCACCCAGCCATGGGCTGCCCTTGCGCTGTTCTCTGAGGCAAACGCACAGCCACCGCCCGGCTGTCCGCGTCGCGCCGTCCAAGGGCTGGCGCAATACACGCTTTTGTTGACCGAGTCGCAGTTTGAAATTTCTCCACTGCGCAGTGCCAATATGCTCAACAGAGCCCTTCAGTTCCCGCGTGCAGCCTGTTTGATTGTGGGCGCCCCTTCCCCGATCCACCGCGCACAAAATTCCCTCTTCGCGGTCGGGTACTCGTCCGGAGATATTTTACTCTTTAACCTACGCACCCAAGAACGACGGGGAGAGCTGGCCGTGCAGGCACGCCATGGCGCAGTGAAGAGCATGCGCGCTTCGGACGATGGCGTGTATCTCGCAGCGACCTTTGAGACGGGCAGCGTGGGCGTTTGGAATGTCCCGCGACGGACGCTGCTCTCCATGCATCGCGTTGTCTCTGCAGTAACTCCGCCCAGCCAGCTTTTTACGTTTGATGTGTCGTTTGCGGGCGGATCGCATTATTTTGTGGTATGCTTCCACTCGACCGAGTCCAGCCGTGTGCGCGTCCTGTCCACAATGAACGGTGCGTGCGTCGACATGCCAATCTCGCTCCCATCTCCCATCCACGCCACTTTGAGCATGGGCACGTCCAGTGGCGCAGCCTTAGCTGTCGTCCATGTTCTCTGCTTGGACGGCAGTCTGTACGTCTTCCATTTGAGCAACCTCGAACGACAATTGAGCGCCCCAGACGAGCATTCGGCGTCCCGCTTCCTGTCCTCGTTCCGCAAATCCCGACGCCATCATCCTTCGGAAGCACGCGCAAGCTGCAGCCTTGTTGACGTCATGCGAGGTGTCGGTGGCTGGACAACCACAGGATCGCAAGGTTTGGAGAATGTCTTTGTTGACTCGCCGCTGCCATCGCAGAGTCTAGACAAGAGCCAGACCCGTCCTGTGGATGCTATGGATTCCAGCAACGATCGTTCGACAAATGTCGTGACTTTGGACGAGCCGACCGAGTCGGAGGACATTTGATTGAATTGTTTTTTTTCTTTTTGCCGGCCGTGTTTTGTATTTTTGCTTGAGAGTTTTGCGAGTTCGAATGTTGTACAATGGCTTGTCGATTAGTAGCAGTTTAATAAATAGAATCAATCAGAATGCATGCAATTGAGAAAATGCAAAAAAAAGGTGTTCAAGTGCTTGGCAGAAAATGTAACGGAAAAGCCTAACTTAGGAGGCAGCAAGATACTCATTGGACTCGGCCGACGAAGAGGCCAGCGCGAGATCGACCGAAGTCATCGAATGGGCGCGCGACCGCAGCGAATCCGAGACAGGTTCGGACAAAGCCGGATCGGAGTGAGCTGAGTGTGTGCCATTGGACAACCGTTTCGTTGTTGGTGGCGAACCAGGCACAGTCAAGAACCCAGAAGAAGAACTCAGCGATTGCATGGGAATGAGTTCGGACGTGGAATTCAATGTGGCGTCGGAACCGGCAGACAACGTGCTGGCGGAAGCAACGTGCTGGATGCCGATCTGGACCTCCGAGAAGCGTTGTTGCGGAGCTTTTGGTGTTTCTGGAGACATTTCAGAGCCGTTGGCGGTTGGGGCCTGGGAAGCAGACTTCTTTTTCGCGGCTTTGGTCTTGCTACTCGAAGAAACGTCGTCCATGCCGCTATAAGGGTAGAGGAACATGGCAGAATTGATTCCCACGCTCGTATGCGACGATGACGACTGGCTTTCACCATCGGTGGATGAATGTCGCCCATCCGCCCCATGAGCAGTATTGTGGCCGTTGGGCTTGCTGGCTCCGCCATTGGCGTTGGGTCCCGCGCCAGGATTGTTGGAATCAGCAGGGGAATCGCTCGGCTTTGCTCGGCCAATCAGCACCCGTGCGCCAGGCTTCTTTTGTTGCTTATCCACGGCCGCCTGGTGGGCATTGGCCAACGCCGCCTGGAGCTGAGGACGCAGAATGAGATGCACCTTGGGTACAAACAAGATCAGTAGAATAGCCATGGAGCCCAGAACCAGCACACAGCCGCGAATAATGACAAGCGGCGCATCATCCGACGAGGAGGTTGCACCGCCAATCAAGTAGTTGAGCGGTATCGTGATGACTCCGAGGAAAAGGATGAGCACGATGGCAAAGGCGATTTGTGAAGACTCGTTGAACTGAGACGGCAGCAGCCGAGTGCGCCACGCAAGGTAGGCGCCCCAAACCAGAAGCAGGCCGATCGCAGCCACGTTCGCCAGCACGAACGGCAGGGAACTGGTGCAGTACGTGTTCATGACGACCAGCAATGGCGTGGAGCGCTCCCAGTCCATCTCCTCGGCAAACATGGAGCGGTCGACAACAGTCCATGCAATCAAGAGCGCAACGTCGCACAGCAGAAAGATCCCGATAATCTTGAGCAGAAAGACGTCCGTGAGGCCCTCTGATCGGCGCACCGAGGTCGCGTTGAACAGTCGATGGAGCCGATAAGTCTTGGCAAACAGGGCGCTGAACAACAGCATGATGGAGAATGACACCAGCCAGACACGCGAGGAACAAATGACGCTGTCGCGATCGGGGGGCGCAACAACCACCACGCCCGCGATTGTTACAAGCGCAATGCCCGTCAGAATAACAAGACAGAACAGGTACGACGCGGCCATCACCACCCGGTCTGTCCGGCGTGCAGTAATCAGAATGGTCGTCAGCGCGACAAGCAGCAGATTGACGGCAGCCAGTGCATAGACCGCCTGTGCAGCCTGCTGAGCAGAATCACCTGCCTCGGAAGTGACTGGAGCCGCAAACACGCATGTTGCGCGCTCCTCCGTCTCTGCCAGCAGGTTGGCGGCAGCAGCCCAAATAGTGGCAGTGGTGGTGAGAAAGTCTGGCGAGAGCTTTGTCGGCAAGGAGGATTGGGAGGCGATTTCGCTCTGCAGCGAGGAGAGCATCACGGGCTCGAGCGAGGGTGCGGCGACAAGATTCGACGACGGGAATTGCAATCGTGCGGTACCGACCTCGTTCACAAGTGCAAGGTAAACCGGTGTGGTTGCGCGATTGGTTGCGCGGAGCCGCACCAGTCCGTTGGGCGCGTGGAAGCTCTGCGCGTACGCATACAGCTGAAGCTTGCTGGGCACGATGGAGGCTGCTGCATTCGCACTTTGCGCCCAGTACTTGACCGCCGTGTAGGCAGCAGCGCATCGCTGCGACAGCGTGTTATCGCTGCCACTGGCCTTGTAAAAGCTGGACGTGAACACGCTGTTCTCGGTCGTGGCTGTGGTATCGAGGTAGTCGGTCAGTACGAGGACGCCAGCGCAGTCCGCCGTGACATCCGCAGGCTCGAGATTCATTGCAACAGTCGTGATGGTGCCCACAAAGTTGGGCTTGGTGGCCAAGGCCAGGACGAGTGTCGAGATGACACTCGCTGACGAGATGGTGGAGATGCAAGAATGCTTGGAAAAGCGGAATGGGCGAGTCGACGGGTCTACCGTCTGGTGCAGCATGGCGAGCGCTTGGAAGGACTGGCGAATGGCGGAAGGCTCGGTGTCTTGAGCAGAATAGATGACCACGCCGACCAGTGTGCAGTTGAGCGCTTGCAGCAGGTTTTGGGTGATGACGACTTGCTGCGTCACCTCGGCAGAAACCAAAGCTGCAACAAGCTGGTCAAGCACATGCGTCGTGTTGGCGATGGTGATTGACGTAGGTAGCGCATCGTCCTCGAAAGCGAGCGAGATGTAACTGATCCCCTTGCTCTGCGTCAGGAAGGCCAGCAAGGCGAGCATCCGCGATCCAAACTGCGGGCCAAAGGATGCAATCGTACCACTGCAGAAAATACCGCTATCGTGCGCAGCTGTCCAAACCAGCTTTTGAGAAGGCGGTATGGTGAGTGCTTCAGAGATGGCCTCGATCTCTCTCAATGTTGCAGCGGAACGAAGGGGCAAAAGACTAGCGGCGCTCTCGACTTGGGACCGCGTCCAAGCGGAGATAGCCCCAAAGCCCTGCACGACATTCTCGTCGGAAAGATGTATGAGAAGCTGTTCGGCAGAGTAGGAGGCGTTGGACTGTGTATCAAAGATGCGCGGGAGAATCTGGACGGGGCCGCTGGAGCTGGCAAGGACAAGCCCGCCAGCAGCATTAATCTCGGCGATGGCAAGAAGCTCGGCATGAAGAGCGCAAAAGTCAGTCTGAGAGCTATCAGAGCCGCTCAAGGAATGGATCAGCAACACCTCGACGAAAGGATAGTCATTCATCGAGCCGTCGCTGAGGGACAAGTTTGCAATGGCTGCTGTTGTGGCGACTGGGCTTGCGTCCGTTTCATCATCATCGGCCAAGAAATCACACGAGTACGCAAACGAATCGTTCAGATAGGTGCTCCAGACAATTGGCGTTTTGCTGCCGCGGGTCCAAATCGCGTCGACGAGCCCGTCAGCTCGAACCTCGCCAATGTAAAGCTGCTTGCTGAGATGATTGCTGCTCTGCCCAGCCACAAGACCCTCGGGTGCGTTATACACGGTGTCGTAAAACTTGGCGCGAACGGCAGCAGACTCAAAGCTGCTCGCGGCTTCCACCGCCTGCCGCCAAAGCATCACCGACAAGAAGGCGCTTTCAATGCCCTGGCTGACCCGACGCGTGCTGCCATACATGGAACGGAACAATTCTAAAAAGTGGTCGCTCAGCAGGCCGTCCTCGGAGGCTGAGCTTTCGTCAAGGGCGTCGCTGACGGCAAAGAACGGCGCAACGGAAGCGTTGGCAACAATGTACTGCTGGAAGACTTGGCTCGCGGTCGAGGAGGGCGACACGCTTGGAGCCAGTGTGGAAGAGCGAAACACGGGCTGAACGTACGACGCGGCAATGAAATGACCCGCACAATGCTCCGCTCCAATGACGCCGACCTCGGGCTCGGACAGGGTGAAGGACACAATCACGTGAACGGGTGGAGCAAGACCTGCCGCAGACATGCTCCGGTACAGCAGATTGCTCGCAGAACCGATGACGGTGCTGTAGATCAGAGCGGACGAGCTAGCACCCACAGCCTGGATGAATGGGTGGATTGACGGAGCGGCTTTGAGCACGTACGTTTCCGTCACCGTGATGGAATACTCGGCAAGCACGGAGACAATGATGGCATTGATCTTTTGCGAGAAGACGTCCCCTGCACCCACAAGGAAGATGCTCAAGTCTGGACGCTCGCGCGTCCGGCGCACAAAGTACCGCACCGTATCTTCGACGATTTGACTCGGCACGGCTCCCGTGTAGATGAGCGACTGTGAGCATTCCTGCCCTTCGTGGAAGAGCGGGTACCACGCCAGATGGTCGCCGTCCTGGAAGGCTGCAGCCACTTGGCGCCGAGCAGCAGAGTTGCCTCCCAAGAAGGTGGTCGTGATGCCGGATGCTCCGGATGCCACGGGCATGTTGGCAATGCTAGCAGCGTGCTCGAGGACCAGGGGCAGGGAGGAGTTGGGGTTGTAAAAGACAGGAACAAGCGTGTAGCCAAAGATACCGCCGCTATCCTGGATTTGTTGCAGGCCGAGCAAAACACCATCAAACACTTCCCGATCGTTGACCGACAGAGCGCCTGAAACGGACAAGACCACGGCCACGCGTGCCACGTCGAGACGAACCCGCGGTGTGTCAGGCGAGAACAAATCGCCCTTCTTGAACACGGCATCGCACGTCTCGAGGACGAGATCCGAGGCGGCTTGCAGCTGTTGATTTGCCCGGAGAAGCATGAGGTTGCGAGGCTCGCCCACAAACGCGTACTTGAGCACGTCCATAAACTCGAGCTTCCAGGTGCGACCCAGTGCATCTGGCGATTGACTTTGAGTGCGGGCAATATAGACCTGCCGACTGGCGAAAAGAGTCGCTCCCAAGGCGCGTGTTCCAGCTGGGCTGTAAATGGTCGCACCCAGTACCTGAACGATGGCGGTCTCGGGAGATACGTCGCCTTTTGTCAGTTGGCCTCGAATCTCACGCAGGACTGCAAACGTGCCCGTGTACGCCGCTTCCATCACATCCGTGATGACGGGCATTTGTGAGCCGTACATGTCGTGCAAGGCCTTGACGAAAATGGCGCTCTCATCCGTGATCAGATCAGACGGATTGGCGGTCGATTGCGACAGGGAGGCCGAGGTGCCGGATGTCACGTCCGCAGACCGCTGCTGGAGATGAGCAATGGCGTCGGACACGGTGGGGGCAAGATACCCGGCGACAATTGCGTGGCCTTTGGTCAGGGCGATGGGCAGCGCATTAATGTCTGCCTCTGAAAGCGTCAACGAAACGACAATAATCTGGCGGCCTGACGGGCCGGCGGCCGTGTTGAGCGCCTGGACGGCCGTGTAAAACGCGCGGGTAGCCTCCAACGAGCGGGAGCTGTCAATGGTGGAAACGATGATAATGTCGTCCTGATCGGCGCCGTATGCAGACGTAATGCCAACAAGCATCTCGTTCGCGTTGCTGCACTGGTCATCAGCGCACAGTTCTTCCGCGACGAGCTTGGCGCCTTTTGCCGCAAAGACGTCAGCGATCGCAGCACCAACAGCACTGGTGAAGGCGTCGCCGGTCGAGCCAGCAAAGGCAAAGCTGTCGGCCTGCCCGAGGTAGAATGCGGTGGAGGCGTCGTCCGAATCGGTGCCACGCAGAATGTCGGCATTGTACCCAAGCCACTGAACCAGGGGCTCCAGCAGTTGATTTGGAAGCGAGCCAAACTGAAGCGTTGCCAGCTTGCAGGCCCCGCCTTCTTGCAAGAACGGGTTGACGACAAGCGCGGGAAATCTCGAGTTTCGAATGTCAAACGGCGTGTACACACCTAGCACGGGGCCAGCTTCGCCCGCTTCACGTCGTCGTGGTTGTTGTCGTTGTTGTCGTCGTCGTCCTGGAGCCGCAGGTGGGCTGCTTGATGGCGGAGGCGGCGCGGGAGAGCCGCTGGGTGGTGATGAAGGTGCAGGCGAACTGGCCATCCCACCCACGCTCGAGCTCGAAGGAGGAGGTGCGGCCGAGCCAGACCCAGACCCGGATGTATTTGTGCCAGATACAAGCTGGCTAAAGCGGTAGAGAGCTTGGTCTGTTGCGCTGCGTTGGCCTGGGGTCGATCCTCCACCAACAATAAACAGAAATCCTTGCTGGAGCAGGTCGAACACGGCGTCTTCGTACTGCGCATCGGTCTTGTTGGCGAAATCAAACACGGTCGCATTGACGAGCCCGTCTGGCCACCCGAGCATGGCATGTGTGATGGCAAGGTTGACTGCATGAGCAATCGAGGCTTGACGTCGTCCAGCGACGCCTGAGGCCTCGATGACCACCGCAATGGTCAGTTTGACAGGAGATCCGGATGAACCGCCGTCGCCACTCCCAGGCGATGCTGTCGGCTGCTGCCCCGTCGCCCCGGTTGTTGGCGCCGCGCGGCTGGCACTCGCAGTTGGCTGCGGACCTGCCATGGAAGAAGAGGCAGCATCAAGCGGAGGAGGAAGCGGACTGGAAGGAATGCCGGAATGGGGAGGCGAGGCTGCCAGCGACCCGCTTTGGGCAGGACCCGTTGGCGAGCCACCGCCCGGTTCCGCGAATGAGCTTGGCTCGCTGCTTGGCAGGTTGCTCGCCGGAGGGTTTGGTGGTGAAGCGCTTGGCGGGGGGCTCGCTGGCGGGCTCGCTGTGCCTGGTGCGGATGGCGGCGGCGGAGCGAGCACTACCTCAGCGAGAAGGCTGACCAGCAGCAGCAGCGCCGCGCCGGGCAGCAGTCGCAGGCCGCGGCATCGAGTCGTAGTGTGCACCATGGTGAGTTGTCACAGAGAGAAGGGCGGTCTGGCCGGGCGACCAACAAAAAAAAAAAACACAAGGGCAAGTTTCGCAAACCACTGCTAAAACAACAAGAACGAGATTCGTTTTAGATTTTTTGGATTGCGAATGATCTGCAGTTATGAAGTTGAAGTGGGAAGAACAAGTGGAGTGCACGTTCGGGCTTGGATTCTTTTTTTTTTTGGGGGGGGGAGGAATGCGAGATAGTAGAAAGGATGAGTCACAATGACTGTTCTGTGATGAAAACAAAAGCGAAGGGACTTCAAAGACCAACAGAATAACGAACGAGAAAAGCGGTTTGCGCCAAACACTCTAAAAGGAGCAAACCAACAAATGAGCGGCGAGGGATGGATGGAGAAAAAGACCGCTGGACGATGAACTGTCTCTGCAAAAGTCGGCGCAAACGTATAAAACTGGCTTTCCACCTTCCTGCATCCAAGCAGCAATGCTCTCGTTGTTTGTCAATAACAAAAAGGTATATTGAGTAATGTGTCAATGAAGAAAAAACCGATATGGGCGACCAAACCCAGAAAAATAACCGATGAAGCAGTAAATCGAGGAAAACAACAGCGCTCAGGCTCCGAACGATTGTGTTTGTGTGTTTTTAAAGCTTGCTGGCGTTCAGCTTGACAGTCAGGTTGCTTGCCAGCTTGTCCATAAACTCGAACGTGTTGAGGTAGTCCTCACGCTTGAGCCTGATACAAAAAAGACACAAACACAAAATGGTGAGCCACTTCGAACTCACGACAGACAACTAGTCCCCTCACTTGAAACCTCTCTACCTCAGCCACCTCGCGCAACGTCCCAAACCGAAAAAAAAACCCCCCTCCAAATAACAACAGCAGCGACTCCTCTCAACTTACTGGTCTCCCTTAACAGCAAGAGCAAGATCCTTGGTCATGAAGCCAGCTTCGATCGTCTCGACGCAGACTTGCTCAAGAGCAGTGCTAAAGTGGGCGAGCGCCGGGTTGCTGTCGAGCTTGGCGCGGTGAGCCAGGCCACGAGTCCATGCGAAAATCGAGGCAATGGGGTTGGTGGAGGTCTCGCGGCCAGCCTGGTGCTCGCGGAAGTGGCGGGTCACAGTGCCGTGGGCGGCCTCGGCCTCGATGGTCTTGCCATCGGGGCAAAGCAGGACCGAGGTCATGAGGCCGAGCGAGCCAAAGCCTTGGGCAACAGAGTCTGACTGGACGTCGCCGTCGTAGTTCTTGCACGCCCAGACGTAGCCGCCGTCGGCCTTCATGCTGTACGCAACCATGTCGTCAATGAGACGGTGCTCGTACCAGATGCCGGCAGCCTTGTACTGGTCCTTGAACTCCTTCTCGTAGACTTCTTGGAAGAGGTCCTTGAATCGACCGTCGTAGCGCTTGAGGATTGTGTTCTTGGTGCTCAGGTAGCAGGGCCACTTGCGGTCAAGTGCGTAGGACAGGCAGCTGCGGGCAAAGTCGCAGATCGAGTTGTCGAGGTTGTACATGCCCATGGCAACACCGCCGCCGGGGAAGTCAAACACCTTGTAGGTCTGGGCCGGGCCGCCGTCGGCAGGCTTGAAGACCATTTCGAGCGAGCCCGCGCCGGGCACAACAAAGTCGGTCGCGCGGTACTGGTCGCCGAACGCGTGACGGCCAATGACGATGGGCTTGGTCCAGCCTTTGAGAGTGTTGGGGTCAGAAAACAAAGAGAAGAAGAAGAAGACACGCGAGTCAGTCACGCACAAGATCATCATTCCATCAAAACAGCAATGTACCTGGCACAAGGCGGGGGACGTTCTTGCACAGAATGGGCTCGCGGAAGACGGTGCCACCGAGAATGTTGCGGATGGTGCCGTTAGGCGACTTCCACATTTGCTTCAGGTTGAACTCTGAAAACAGAACAGAACGACGAGATGAAATGCAGAAAGTGAGGGAAAAAAAAACCTCAGACAAAGAGAGACAACGACAAAACAGCAATGGAGCCCTCACCCTTGACACGGGCTTCGTCGGGGGTGATGGTGGCGCACTTGATGCCAACGTTGTACTTGAGAATGGCGTTTGCGCAGTCAATGGTGACCTGATCGTTGGTGGCATCGCGGTGCTCCATTCCGAGGTCGAAAAAGTGAATGTCGAGGTCGACGAACGGCAGAATGAGCTTTTGCTTGATAATGTCCCAGATGATGCTGTGTGTGTGTGTGTTTGGCGCCAGAGTCAGTTTTGAGTTTGTCCGCAGTTTAGGTCAGTTGAATGAGGATGATGATGAAAATTTGTCCGTGATGTTGCATTGGACTGGCTTTTCAATCTCCTCCCCAACAACTTCAACTGCAAACCCATACACGCCCGACCCTCAATGCAGAGTGAACGTCGAATGCACCTCACTCGTGCGTCACTACGCAATCACACCAACGCTGCGCAGTCGCAGGTCGGACTCGCTGCTTCATAAAAGCACAAAAACCAATCAAATGCATCGCGCCACACTGAGCGCAAAAAAAAAAAAAAAAAAAAAAAAAAAAAAAAAAAATCCGCTTTGTTTGATCACGGTTTTTTTAAAAAAAAAATAGTAAAAATAAAAAATAAAAAACAGCTGAAACTGCATTGGAAAAAAAAAAATAATAGATCAAGAAAAAGTATGAAACGTGAAAGAAGAAAAAAAGGAGAACGCGGCGAGTTTGCTGGAAGATGAGCGTTTGCAAGTCGCTGGGTTTGCGAATGTTGAAGGGATGGAGGAATGACAACGATAAGGCACTCGAAACGTGGTCCCGCCAAGAGAGAAAGAAAAAAAAATGGGGAAAGGAAAAAAAAAAAAAAAAAAGCGGCAATGCAGCGTGTTTTGGAAAAAAACAGAAAATCGCGCGATGTTTGAACGATCAGCGACGAAGGGAAAGATGATGATGAAGCAAGAGAGAGAGAGAGATCGAGAGATGGAGATGGAAGGGTGTGGGCAAGTGATCCGACGTTGAGCCCGAGTGCGGTCGCTGGGGGTGAAGGAAGAGAACCAAAGAGGAGGAACTGAAGCCGGAAGGAAGGAAAAGCGGAGGAATAAAAAAAAAAAAAAAAAGGAAAACGGAACGAGACTCACCGGGTCATCTCATCGCCTTGCATCTCGACGACAGCGCCGCCTGTGAGTGTGGATGTGATTGGTGAGTAGGAAGTCGGGGAATCACGGCAAAGTGAGTACGCAACAGATTCAGATTCAGACAGACAGAAAACATCAAACAAAACATAAAAAGCGATAAGCTTGGAGAAATACAAAACGATAAGCTTTTTTTTTTTTCTTTTTTCTTTTTTTTTTTTTTTTTTTTTTTTTTTTTTTTTTTTTTTGTTTCGTTTCAAATGTTCAGCAATCAAAAAAACGCACCTTGGATTTTAGTCATGGTTTTTGTTGGTTTGGGGTTTGAAAAAAATAAAAGAGTGAACATAACACGGAAAAACGGAAAGAAACACAATCTGTTGCGAATTGGAGCAAAGCATTGTGAAACGAAACCAAAATGAAACCATCCCAACCGAGAATGGAAGAGCAGATCACTGATGCAGTAGCATGCGGGAATCCAGGTATTGCCATCAATTGAAACTATTTTGGAGTGTTGAGCGTCATGTGAGGAAATCGCGGGAGGAAAGGTCGCTTCGAGCTGAAACAAAAATTGGGTCCTTTCTGACGCTCCTGGTGCCATCCAGCGGGACATTAGCGCGTCCCTGTCAATGCGAAAATTATTCGCGCATGTACTTGATTCATATAATGGCTTGAAAGCGCTGAAAAGTGACAATCAGTACACAATTGGAGCTTGACACGCTCTTTCAAAAAAGGGTTTCCAGTCCATCGCAATTGTCAATTTTTAGACCAAAATTGCGCAACAGAGCATACGCAGAGATCACTCAAGATTCCAATACACAATCCTCTAATGATGCAAAGCCTGGAAACTGCGACGTCAATCATGCGCGAGAAGATGCCGAATTATGTCTGCAAAGTTTCGTCCGGCCGTTTAGTGGCACAGCAGAGAAACTCCAGCCTCCACTGGCCTTGAAAAATGATAAAGACTATATTTTACACACGTTCGGTGCATCCGGAACAATCTAGACACCCTAGGTGATGTACAAGATCGTCGCAAAGCTGGCAGTTTGATTTTTCAATTTGCGCCTTGCCGCCAACCAAGCCAGGCACCAGGGAGCTCCTGCCGCTATCAAATTCAACCCAAAAGAACGCACATCTCATCGTGGATGACACGGAGAGGCTGTATTGAGGCCCAGCATAAGCTAACCTTCATTTTATTGTTCGGAGCCGGCAAAAACAAAAACAGGATTGCCGGATTGCCTTCAACCGATTCGCGCATCGCTGCTTCGCTCGCCGCTTCGACTAGCTATATAGTAGCTTGTATGAAACCATGGCCTGCATCCCTCCATGTGCTGCCGAGTTGTGTTTCCAGGGGTCAAATCTGAGAAACAAAATTCAAAAGCTCGTTTCTGCGTTTGAGCTATTTGTACCTTTTGTACACTTGTCGTTGCCTTCCTCCATTAGGCACACTTTTATTCACAGTCCATTTGTTCCTGAATCCTGATCTGATCTGATGGAGGACGACATTTACCTTGAGCCAGACACGATTGCAGCGAGCATTGCTGCGTTTGCCCCGCATCTGATGCCGGCGTCCAGCGTCATCAAACCCGCCCCCGACAGCAGCAAAGCCAATGCCCCTGCCAGCGACAGCAAGAGCACAGGCGGTGCTGCTGGTGCTGCGGCAGCGGCTTCTGCGCAGGAAACTAAAGGAATCTCTGCTCCTCCGGCAGCCCAAGCAGGGATTGCCCGCAGCCCGAGCACCGACGCTACATCATCATCAGCATCATCATCATCAGCAGCAGAGGAGCCCAAAGCCGGCCTCGACTCGGCACAGACGGAGCAGTCTGCGGCCGAAGGATCGTCGACGCCGAGCGACCAGCGCGAGCGGCGAATGGGCCGAGCGATTGGCGACTACACTGCGGAGACGACCGAGGAGCTGACGCTGCGCGCTGGCGATGTGATTGAGGTCGTGATGCAGGTCTCTGGCGGCTGGTGGGAGGGCTTCCTCAACGGCAAGGTCGGCTGGTTCCCGTCCCATCTCGTCCATCTCCTGCCTGCTGCTGCTGTTGCGGTTGTTCGCTCGCCCAGCAACGAACCCTCCGCGCCGTCCGCCTCGCCCTACGTCAAGGCCCTCCCCGCTGCCATGTGTAAGCCTTCTTTTGTCTTTTTGCTGTTGGGGTTTTTCCACGGGGGGGTCGGGGTCGTCGGATTTCGGTTTTGATCGATTCCATTGAACAAAGAATTGAAAAATTGAAAAATTCGACCGCTTTTTATTTTTTATTTTTTATTTATTTTTTGATGTTTTGATTTTTGTTTGAGCTGTTTTGACTGACGCACGCTGCAGTTGGTGAACTGGAGAGTCTGTGTTTGTCTTTTGCATTGATGCGTTGGGGGAGAATGTGAGAGAGAGAGAGAGAGAGGGGAGAAGGGCGCGCGCACTACGAAGCTGCGAGGCGATTTGGTTGAAACATTCGAAAGATTTGAAAAAAAGGGAGAAAAAAAAAAAACACTTGAAATTTAGAAAAAAAAGAAAAGAAAAAAAAGAAAAAAAAAAAAAAAGCTCAGACAAGAAACAAAAAGAAAAGCCAAATCGTTCTAATCAAATAATGCTTATGTTGAATCGCTCGAGATACGCGTTGACGAAAAAGCTGCCTCAATCAGCTCACTCACCATCCATCCGTCACTTTGCAAACAGTCGAATACGCTCGGGCAACCTACACTTACCAGTCAAACAAGCCAGATGAGCTGCCGATGCACAAGGGCGATATCATCCGCGTGTTGCGCAAGTTTGACGATGGCTGGTGGGAGGGAGAGACAGTGTGCGACGACCCGAAGCGAGGCATGTTCCCGTCCAACTATGTTCGAATGTCGTCCACGGCTCTGGATCCCGTGCAGCTTCAGCATCTGCTTGCCAGCAACGGATCGTCTCTGAGCAGAAGCAACAGCAAGGTTTTGTCGTCCAATCAACAGCGTGGTTCGCGAACGTCCCAAGGCTCGGAAAAGCTGTACGCGACCATTGGCGAGGCCACCAGTCACCGTCACCAGCAGCAGCAACAGCCACTCCAGCATACCGGGGAGCAAATCTACGCCTCGCCCGACGATGCAACGGAGAACGATTACGCTCTCCCGGACTCTGTGCGGGGTGCCGTCAATTACACTGCATCCGTAACCTTGTCAAAAGACCGCGCGTTGGCCAAACCCACCACGCTTGGCCGCGACAGCGACATTGTGCCAGATGCCTTTGGAGCTCAACTCAATCTGACGCAACTTGACTCGGCATCCTCCAGCATTTCGAATCTGCGCATTGGCGGCGCCGCCACCATGTCGGCCATCTTGCCCGCAGCGAACGACGATGTGGGGTACCCTGGGGCCTTTAAAAATTCAAACGGCTTTGACGCTACGCTGCCCGACATGCGCCACTCGGTGGCAGTGCCAGGCCAGGATGCTCCGTCCACGCGGCACCCATTCGGCCACATTTTGCAGCGCTCGCAATCGGACGCTCAAGCCGCCTTGAACGGCGACCATCCGTATGCCCGTGTCCACAAGGATGTGTCTCACTCGCAAGAAAAGGCGGCTCAGACACAGCAGCAGCAACAACGACAACAGCAACAACTTCAGCAACAACAGCCTCAACCGCACTATCATGGAGCGGATGCGCGTGAAGACAACTTCCCGTTGATTAACGCTCAATGGAGCAAAATTGCCCAGCTGCGGCGAGAGATTCAGGAGCAACTCACGACCGACGTGACGCAGCTGGCCATGAAGGCCTCCAACGTCCAATCCGCCATCACGGGGAACATTGAAGCGGATGCCTTCCTCTGGGAGATGCTCCAACAGCTCCGCATCCTTCGTGCGTGTCTTGACTCGGTGGAAAGCACCCTCGTCAAGATTCTGCCCTTGGGCACGTCGCCTGGCTACGAAAAGACGAAACGTGAAGACGCACAGCGCCAGTCACTGCTGGCGGCACCTTCTGCCCACACGCAGCATGTGTCCCAGCAGGACAGTGCTCACTTGGGGGCGCCAGAGCAAGACCCCCAGCAGCGCTTGTCGGCTCGCAAAGAGGTGTCCAGTGTCATGTTTGCTGCCGTTTCCACCGTCAAGCGTGTTGTGGTGGATGCTGGCGCCGCTCCAGCAGCTCCAGTCTCCTCCTCCTCCTCCTCCTCCTCCTCCTCCTCCTCGCAGACTCAGACTCGCCCCGCTCCCAGCACCTCTGCCCCTGCTGACGACGAGCCAGTGTTTGTTGCGACCGTGACCAAGGCCACACGCATCAGCACCAATCCCACGCGTCCCGCTGACGTCCCCACCACGACGCCTGCGGCCTCATTCGCCGCATCCAGGTCGGCAGAGAGCATCCCCTCGCACGAATCGGCTTCCCTCACTGCATCGGACATTCGGCGCATGTCAAAGCAGTCTTCGGCCCAAGATGTCAGCACGAGCCACGGCTCGTCCGCGGACGAATTGCCTGCAATGTCCAAGAGCAGCACGAGCATCCCATCCGAAACTGCCGCCTCCACCCCACCGAAGGGAGCCGGTGGCATTAGCGGGCGTCGCGCATCGGCGGATCACCTTCGCTCTGGTCCCTCGGACAGCTCGTTTGACCGCACGAGCAACCACTCATTCCGGCCCGCCAACGCCTCCTCGTCGACGTCGTCGTTGTCCGGCACAGCGTCGCCCAGCTCAAGCGCAGGCCATCATCTGCCGCGTGCCTTGCGATCACCCTCCGCGTCGTCATCTCCGGCCCAAGCGAAGGCCAACGCGCATGCGGCTGAAGCATCTCCGTCCACAACTGCAGCTGGTGACGCGTCCGTGCGCTCCCACACCAAGGCGTCTCGTCACACTTCGGCTTCCGCGTCCTTCTCCTCGTCGGCGGCAGGCATGTTCTCCGACGACTCGCCCAACAGCAAGGAGCGCGGCCGCCTTGCGTCCGTCTCGGAGAGCTTTGAGCGAAGCAAGCCGCGCGAGCAATCCAAGAGCATGTATGGGCGCCCTCCAGGCAAGCTCAACTCGAATCTCCTCGCCAAGTTTGACAAGGACACACCGAAAGCAGCAGCGTCCCCATCGGCTGGCAGCAAGTAGTGGGTCCACTTTGAGTTTTTTTTTTCCGTATGATGATTCGTTTGTTTGTTGCAAGGGTTGTTGTTGATGTGTTGTTGGAGTCATTGCTGTAGTTGCTGTTTTTGGATGTCGAAAAAAAAATGTCATTGTTGCTTTGGTCCCCCCTGGTCAAACACCACTTTTGCTTGCGAAAGCTGAACAAGAAAAAGAGATTATTATTCACAAAGCTAACACAGGGCACGAGAGGGGAAAGAGAGAAGAGCTGAGTCCACGACGATAACTGCAAAAAAACACAAGATGGGTCGCACACAACTCCCAAAGAAAATAACTGGCTACATCCGAATGCTGCTGAAGCGCTGACCAGCAAACGAGAAGCTGCCGCTCGCGAGCGCAAATGGTTCAGGCTCATATCCGGCTTCCATGGCCTTTTCCAGTTGCGTTTGAGGGTCTTCGAGTTGGGGATCCTCAAAGATGGGATTGTTGTACATCTGCGCAGCGAATAAGCGTGAGCCAGAGCTTTCAACAAACAACATCCTGCAAGAAAAAAAAAAGCAACACAATCCAAAACGACAAGCAAGTGGACGCCATACCTCTCCTGATTCCGTGTTGCCATTCAACGTTGCCTGAATGTGCGCAGGCATCTGCTTGATGTCGTCTTCCGACAAGAACACCTTGTTGCCAAGAATCGAAGTGCTGCTCTTGGCTTGGGGAATGTAACCGCCGCCTTTGATGCGAATGACATTCTTGGGATCGAGGCCACGGAAACTGAGTCCGTCCGTCCAGACATGTCCGTAGCTGCATCGGAGTGTTGCGACGCACATGTGAGCGCATGAGATGCAATATCATTACTTGTCGCCCACCCTTGAAACACAAGAGGCTTCGACTTACCGCTTTTTGCGATACAAGACTAAGGCCAGGAGCAGTGCCACAAGAATCAACACAACGGCAATCGCAGCAATCGCAGCAACGCTCAATTGGCCGTCGGGTCCAAACACCAGCTGGTTTGAATCGTCCGACACTGTACATTGCAACGAGAATCATCCCACAAAACGGTCAGACACACTGTCAGTTGAAAGCAATCACACACACACACCCACACACACACACACCACATGATGACTCCTTACCAGAGCAGTGAAGCGGGTAACGAGTCCAGTTGCCAAAGACGGTGCAACTGATGCTGCTTGTGTTGGTTGGCATGTCGTAGTTGGTATCAAAGCCAGCCACGCACGAGACTCGGCAAGTGGCGGGGAAGAGCGTACCAGCCGAGCAGTTGGCAAACATACCAGCAGTCGGGATCGGGTTGTGGCAGTTGATACCGACACATTGAAGCAGGTTGGTGTTCAACGAGTAGCCCACTTGGCAAACACACGCCGAAACCGACGTTTCGTGCGTGCTCGAATGCGACGAGCGCTGGGGGCACGATTGACACGATGTCTTGCCAGGCAGGGGCTGATACTGACTGCTACCGCATCCAGTGCACATGACTGCTCCGGGGCTGGTCGAAATCGAGCCTGCAGGACACGGCTCGCACGTTGAGCGCGTCGTATTCGGTTGGTAGGTTCCGGCCGTGCAAGCAGTTTGGATGCCATTGACGCAGCGCGAGCCCATCTCGCACGGGCTGCAAACGGACAGCGCGCCATCCCAGCGGTAGCCTGGCGCGCAAACGCACTGGGCGACGGATGTTGCGCCACTCACACCGAGCGTGCTGGACGACCCTGGGCACGACTTGCAAGAGGTTTTGCCAGTCTCGTCTTGGTACGAGTCGGCCGCGCACACAGAGCACGCAGTGTTGCTGAGACCGGTGCTGAACGAGCCAGCCGAGCAAGGATCGCAATTCGCCTTGCCGGTCGTGCGGGCCTCGTAGCCGGGACCGCACGGGAGGCAAGTGGTCGCACCCTGATCTGGCTGAGCATAACCCATTGGGCATCCCGAGCAACTGGCCGCGCCAGGAACGGTTAGGTTGGTGCCAGGCGCACAAGGAACGCATGAGCGCGCGCCGTTTCCAGGGACCTCGCCAGGATTGCAAAGGTCGCACGTGCCCTTGCCATAGGAGGCTTGGTAGAGTCCAGAGCCGCACGGGTCGCAATCGCTATTGCCAAGCCCAGCAGCAAACGTACCGGGCAAGCACTTGGAGCAGCTGGCAGTGCCGCCCACACTAGACACGGCAAAGCTGCCAGACTCGCAAAGGGTGCAGTTGGCTTGGCCAGGAAGATTTTGGAACTGACCGTTCGGGCAAGCAGAGCAGCTCGTTCGGCCAGAAGCAGATTGGGCCGTTCCGATAGAGCAAGCGGAGCATTCGCTTTGTCCAGTGGAGGGTTGATAGGAGCCAGGTTGGCAAGTATACTTGATGTTGTTCACGCAATAGTTACCGCTCTCGCAAGCAACGCACGAGGCTCCCGACAAGTAGTAGCCCCTCTGACAGTCCGTGCAGTTGGCGCCAGTGAAGGGGGAGGGGCAAGAGCACACACCGCTGCCGCTGATACCATCGTCGCAAGAACCAGTGTGGCAGTTGGGACACGCTGTGCACGACGAGCCAAAATAGCCAGACTGGCACAATTGGCAGTTAGCGCCCGTAAAGCCAGTGCTGCAGATGCATTGGCCGTTGCCAGTCTTCGTCTCGTTGCAAGCACCATGCAAGCATGCAGGGCAAGGCAGGCAGGTCGGACCGTAGCGACCCGATGCACAGTTTTGACAACTTGCACCGGCGTAGCCGCCGGCACAGACACACGAGCCGTCGCCACTATAGCCAGAGTTGCAGGTGCTGGGCGAGTCGCAGTGAGGACAAGCGGTGCAATTGCGACCATAGTGATCAGACAAGCAAGTGTCACAAGCGCCAGCAGCAAAGCCCGCTGGGCAGGAGCACAAACCATCACCCGCCAGGCCGTCGTTGCAAGTTCCAGAGTAGCAGGAAGGGCATGCGGTGCATGACGCGCCGAACCGGCCTGGGATGCAATCGTCACACAGAGCGCCGCCATAGTTGGCGTCGCAGACGCAAGCGCCATCTCGAGTCATACCGTCGCGACACGTGCCATGCACGCAGGCAGGGCACGCGGTGCAGCTGACGCCATAGTGTCCAGGAACGCAATTGTCACACGCGCCTCCAGTAAATCCTTCATCGCACACGCAGGTACCATTCCCAGAAACGCCGTCCGCACAGGTTCCGCTGTAACACAACGGGCACGACGTGCAGGTTGGGCCGTAGTAATTTGGCGCGCATTCGTCGCAAAGTGCGCCTGAAGCACCTTCTTGGCACACGCACTGGCCAGAGCCGGTAACCGAATCGCTGCACACACCTCGTTGGCAGGCAGGGCAAGCCGAGCACGACGCGCCCCAGAAGCCGGGGAGACACTGCGTGCACAGCGTTCCCGTGAACGAGCCAGTGCACGTGCAGAAGCCGTTTCCAGAGATCGTGTCGTTGCAGATGCCGCCATTCTGACAGCTGGGACAGAAAGCGCAGGTCGGGCCGTAGCGACCGGAAATGCACTGGTTGCAGTTGGGACCGGTGAAGCCGCTGTTGCAGATGCAGTAAGCAGTCTGAGTGACACCATCCAGCGCGCAAACACCATTTCCGCTGCAGCTGGGGCACGCAGCGCAGACTGGCTGCGAGGACGACCAAGTGGTGTCGACAGTGCACAAGGGCAGCGAAGAGTTGCTGACCAGGAAGCCGGGCATGCAGGAGGTCGTGCAGACAGAGCCCAGAGACGAGCCCTTGTCGCAAGTGAGAGCACCGTTGGCCGGGGAAGAGAGTGTCGAGCAATAGTTTGGCAAAAGACTGCAAGTGGGCGCGGTTGTCGACCAAGAGCCAGACAAGCTCGACACGGCAGCACATTGCAATTGGTTGGTGTGGCTGAGACCATAGCCGGGATCGCACCCAAACGCGCACGAGGAGCCAACTGTATCGCGAATGGAGCACAGCACACTGCCATGCTCGGGCGCAAGAATGGCGGCCGCGTTGCAGTAATGCTCAATCGCCTGGCAAGACGGCACGGACGAACTCCACAGGCCGGTGCTAGTGCATTGCGTAGACGAGCCGCCATTCATCACAAAGCCCAGCCCGCATGTAAAGGTGCAGACCGAGTTGATGGTGTTGGTGGAACTGCAGCTCATGGTGCCGTTGGTGGGGGTGGCCAGGGCCGGGCAGAACGGGACGGCGGCGCATTGAGGAACAGCACCGCTCCACACACCGCGGGTAGCATTGTTGGCATTGCAAGAGATGGAAGAGGCGGGTACGCCACCGACAATAGAGTAGCCGAGAGCACACGCGTAAGTGCAGGTCGAGCTGATGGTGTTGCGACGAGAGCACGAGACGGACGCGACGTTGGTCGGGAAGCTGTTGCCAGTGCAGTACTCTTCAATCGGGAGGCACAACGGAGCGACCGACGAGTAAGAGCCCAGACTCGTGCAGGTGCTCGTGGCCTGGCCGGAAAGCGCAAAACCAACGTTGCAGCTGAAGGTACAGGTGTCGCCGACTTGCGCAGAACCCGCGCAGTTCATCGTGCCATCTGCGGGGGCGACCAGCGACGAGGCGCAAAAGTTGGAAACGGCAGTGCAGGTCGGGGCCGGCTGAGTCCAAGTTGCTCCGCCTTGACAAGCAATGGTGGTGGCACCCGTCAGAATAAAGCCGGACGAGCAAGCAAACGAGCACTGGCTCGTGATGGACCGAGAGCAACCTGCTTGGATGAGACCATTCGTCGGCGCAGTGAGGGCAGGGCAGTAGTTGGTAATGAGCGTGCAAGCCGTGGCCGTGGCGACGCTCCACTGAGTGTTGGTCTGGCAAGCGGTGGTGGCCGCGCCCGAGGCGCGCTGGAAGCCATCATTGCAGTTGAAGGTGCACACCGTGCCGATACCGCTGCCGGTACAATCGGTGCGGCCGTTGGGGGCAATTGGAGCAGCACCACAGTAGTTGTCAATAATGGCGCAAGCAGGTCGAGGCTTGGACCACGCTGCAGAGTCCAGACATGTGGTTGTCTGATCGCCCACCAGCTGGTAACCAGCATTGCACTGCGCAGTGCATGTCGAGCCACGAGCGCGCGAGTTGGAGCAGCTCACAGAGCCATGCGCATCGGCGGACTGCGAGTCGGGGCAGAAGGCCAAGTTTTCCACGCAGTCGGGCGCAGCGGCCGGCGTCGAGGACCAGGTCGCACCGGAAGCGCAAATGGCCGAGGCAGGCGTCGAGGGCGCAGTGATGTAGCCCAAGTCACAAGCGTACGTGCACGTGGTACCGATGCGGCGGGGCGTAGCACCGCAGCTTGCAGTTCCGTGCGAGTACGTGGCGGGGACAGGGCAGTACGCTTCATCATAAACGCAGGTCGGGTTGGCGTTGCTCCACTGACCATTGGCCGCGTTCAGAGCCGAGCACATTGTCGAAGTAGCGCCCGTCAGGATGAAGCCCGGCTGGCACGAGAACGTTGCGACCGAGCCGAGCGTGGTCGTGTACGAACTGATGGCGCCGTTGGCGATCGAACTGATGGTGGGGCAGTACGCGGGTTTCAGACCACAGACGACAGAGTTTCCATTCCAGGTGCCCTGAGACACTGAGCCAGACGCACAGGTCAGGGACAGGTCGCCACTGGTTTGAGTATAGCCATTGTTGCAAAGGAACGTGCAAGTGCCACCAATGGTGCGCGTGCACGTCGATGCAGATGCGAACTGAGGAGTCGGAGGCTGCAGACAATAAGGCGACTTGGGCTGGCAAGTGGTCCACGGAGCGGCACTCCAGGAGCGGGAGGACTGACACTGCGTGGACGCGGCACCTCCAAGATCATATCCGTTGTTGCAAGAGTACGTGCAAGTCGAAGAAATCGTGTCAGATGCCGAGCAAAGGACATTGCCGTTGGACGGGTTGACTGCAGACGGAGCGCACCAGCCAGGCGTGGCTGTGCAGGTGGGTGCCGAGTTGGACCAGGTCTTGCCCGTCTGGCAAGTTGCCGTGCGAGAGGCATCAGAAATCGTGTAGCCAGTATTGCAAGTAAAGCTCGCAACACTGCCGAGCCGCTGATCGAGGGTGCTGTACGAGGTGACGCCGTTTGTGATGGGGAGCGTTGGGCAAAAGTTGGTGATGAGCGTGCACGTTGCGTCTGTGCCAGCAGACCAGGATCCAGAGGCTTGTGTGTTGCTGTTGCAAGTGAGCGAGGAAGCTCCAGCAAAGGTAAAGCCAACGTTGTTGCAAGAGAAGGAGCAGACGGAGTTCAAGGCGAAAAAGTTTGTGCAGGACATTTGGCCGTTCGCCGGAGCTGCCTTGGCAGTGCAGTAATTGTTGTTGACGACACAGACGCCAGGGTTGCCTGAAGACCACGCCCGCGACGAGAGGCACGTCGTCGAAGCTGCCGTGCCAGGGCTCAGTGTGTAACCAGTGTTGCAGGAGGTTGTGCAAACGCCATTGATGGTGTTGGCACAGTTTCTCGTGCCAGCGCCAACAGCCGTTCCGGGAATGGTGCACCAGTTGGGAGTTAGAGTGCAAGGCCAGACAGTGCCAGTGTACCCAGTGGCACAGGAGGTACAGGCTCCCGCAGAGTTGCAGTTGTTGCAGTTGCCAGAGTTTGTCGAACATTGGGTGTCGCAAGTGTTGCCATAGTAGTCGGGGCTGCAGGTGAACTGCACGTTGATGTAGACGTTGGTAACGTACCAAAAGCCACCCAGAGTCACATCCTTTGCTGCAGCACCTGCAGTGACTGCAACGTTGTACGTAACCGCACCGTAGTCGTCATTATCACCATTCAAACCCGAATCGTTTTCGATCAAATCAATGCTGAAAGTGATGGATCCCTGTGCCAGACGCCCACGAGTATTCAACAAAAGCAAATCCAAGGTCAGACCAAAACCACGCAACGCTGCCCAGCTTAACCACCGCGTTCGAAACGCAAAAGATGGGGACGTACCGAGAATGTGGGGAAAACCGTTGCGGGAAAAGCATAATTCCAGCGAGGGGAATCATCGTTGCCCTTCTCGGGTAGACCAACTTTGTTGGTGGTCGTACCAGAAGTTGTGGTGTATGCGAAGATGGATTGCACTTGAAAGTCACATTTCTGCAACCAACCATCGCAATCGTCATTGCCGTTCACTCCATAGAATGTCAGTCTGAGTGTTCCGGGTCCGGCGCGAGCAATGCCAGCCATGAGCACCAGCGCAATGAACGCGCAGGCAGCTCGTGCGCGCATTGTTCGCGTGGTCTTCAGCATGGTTGAAGATGAGAAAGCGGTACTACGAAGGCGAGCTTGGTGAGGCTTTTCTTGACAAACGACGCTCTAAAATCTTCCCGTGTCTGCTACTGGACAAGGCAGACGAGACGATTGTGAGCGAAAAAAAAAAGAACGCAAACAAAAGAAACGAGGAAAATGACAATGAAACCCAAGATGGAAGGGAATAGCAAAGTGGAAGTAGAAGTTGGAGGAAGGCGTTTGGCAGTGTCATAATATACACCGAGTCAGCAGACGAAGCCAAGCACGTCGTGAAAAGGGGGACTGGGGGAAAATGGAAGCAGGTTGAAAAAAAAAATCAAAACAAAAACAAGACCCCCCCCCCAAAAAAAAACCCCTGGTCCAACGAACAATAAAGGAAAAATGTCCGAGGGTTTGATCAGCAGAACATTTGCTTGCATGAGCTTTTCGAGGTCCGCTTGCAGACCATCGGTTTGCAGTGAAAAACCAGCGTCCTGCTGCTTATCCACGAGAGCAAAACAAGGGAGCAGTGACGGAAGCGCATCCGCAACATGAAGGCTGTGCTTCAAAATGGTTCCACTTTCTCTTGCGGTGTTTTCTCGCGACGAAAGTGCTGCATCACGAGCCGGCACAGGGCATCTTTGAGAGCGAATGCAGTGTGTATCACTTAATGCACCCACTACGCAGCCGCCAGCACATACGCAACGAGACAAAGCGAAAGAAATAAAGTGGAACATAATCAAAAAAATTAAAAAAAAAAAGGGCGAAAGTCAACGTTGGGAGTTTGCTTCCGCGCAAAAGGCTGCCTTCCTCCCTTCCTTCCGGTGCAGCCCCCCACCGCAGTTGACTCTCACTGTGATATAACTGCATTCTGATCACATCGACGCGCCGACGAGGCGGCTTCCGAACGCGCTTTCCGGACTTTAATTTTGTTGTGGGGAAAAATTGAAAATTGAAAAAAGTTTGGTTTTGATAGTTACCGATAATTGAACAAAAAATAAAATAAAATAAAATAAAGAAATAAAAAAAAAGTTGAAGTGAGTAATCTTGTGCAAGCTTTTGAAAACAACAAAAAAGCAAGGTTGACCGACAATGTTGAAGAGTACAGCATTACGAGGAGGAGGGACATTTACGAAATCCCCGCTACCGTAAGTGTCGATGAGCAATTATAGGTTGCGTTCGTTTGACAAAGCGGAACAAAATCACGTTTCAATTTTTCAAAATAAACCAACAACAGCATAACAAATCCAATCGAAATCAAAACAAAACAAACACTTTGCCCAAACCCATCGATCTTCGATCTGTTTACACTCATTAGCTCGCAAAAAAACCGAAATCCGGGACTCAGCGAAGGCATCGTGCGCACCAACAATGGCAAAAAGGGACAAGCACGAGCGGGGACGCAGCGAAAACGCAAGACTCCGCAAATTAACAAAAACACAACAAAAAAACAAAAAAACAAAAAAAAAAAAAGTCGCGCAGGTGTGTGTGTTGCGGTCTCTTCGCTAGCCGATCGGCAAAGTGCGAGCCATTGGGGCAACATTCTGCACCGAGCTGTGTGTCACGGACCGACGTTTTGACCTCGTTGTCATGCTCCTTTTTTTTTTCAAGTGACACCGAGTCACTCGGGAGACGGGGAGTCACATACCAACCTTGTTTGTGATGATGCAGAGATCACCTCACACACACCCTTTGTCGTCAGATGTGTGTGTGTGTTTTTGTTAATTTTTGCTCTTCCCATTAGATCATCTGTCAGGCAGACTGTCAAACCACAACATAAAAATCAATGGAGGTTTGCTTTGTTTTGTCACACTCAAACGTTGGTCGCTCTGTTGTCTGGTCGTGGAAATCGCACACAACAAAAGTCAAGGTACGCTTGCACCAAGTGGAAGATGAGTGGTGAAGCAGGGGTGCACTAGTTTCATTTTGGTGCGCAACAGTTCATTCAATCTTTCGGTAATTTGTTTTATTTTTATTTTTTATTTTGTCGTTTTTTATTTTTTTATTTTATTATTTTTATTTTTTCCGACCACAACAAAAAAAAACTTGCGACTTCCCAACAAAGCTCCATTGTAGGGCATAAAGCTAGATACGACAAAGAGAGCAACACGGCGGACGATGCGCACTGCTGCGGAGGCGTGAGGGACGAGGAAGAGAAGGAGAGAAAGAAGCAAAAAGGCGCGGACCTTAAGAACAAAACCAAAAACCGCCCCAATTATTGACTCGATTGATTCGCTCGAATTTCGGGCCGCCTCGACACGATGCGCCCTCTCGAATCAGCTGCGTAGCACTTGCATTGACACTCCCCAGCGGGGCAGAGTGCGTGCTCAACGTCCAGCTGGAGGCTGAAGTTGCAGTGTCGGCAGTAATTTTTGGGGAGCTCGGGCGATTTTCCCCCTCTCTTCTCGTTCATCGTCCATTGGCGAACGCTGGGCTGCTCTGTGCGCCAGTCATTCAACCTGAAATGGTTGGATCAACATGCCAGCGATTGCTTGCACTATGCGTGCGCTTGTCGTGCGAGGCCGACTCGTGATACCGCGCCGTTCCCAGTACCGTTGTTCGCCCACAACAACGGCAAACCAAACAAAAAAAGAAACGAAAAAAGAAAAAAAAAAAAGAAGAAAAAAAAGAAAAAGAAAAAAAAAAAAGAAAACACCGCAGAACCCCTTTTTCTCTCCATGAGCGTGACCACCACAATGTCGCGCCATGTTTTAACGAGCGCCGTTGGTGGGACGCGCGCGGCTGTTGCCGACGGTTTGCCGTGTCCGCTGATTAACACTGCATGAACTGGCTCTTTCGTATTGCAACTGGATTTCAACCTGTTATTTTGCAGCACTGAGCGACGTTGCCCAGCAGCAAATACAAATCGGTGGGACCGCTGACCGCCAACACAAGCACACGCAACTCGCACACACTCCTCAAAGACCGCATCACCTCATCAGCGATAGGAAATTGCAAAACAAACTCACTTGTTTTTGTTGTGTGTTTTTGTCCCATTCTGTCATGCAGCTCAGACATTGTTGGCGTTTTTTTTGTTTTTTTTGGTCCAAGTTTATTTTCACTCTGATTTCCGACCCTACCAGAATCGCTGATACACAAAGCCAGGACTTGCCCCCCTTTTTCCCCGTTTCAACAAAGGCCATGGCGGTCCCACGCATCAGCAGCAGCAGGACCGACAGAGCGGGCGTTGCGTGGACTGTGGCACTCTGCGCATTGGCAGTTTTGCTGCAGTCTGCGGTTGTGGCCGGACACGTCGCGACCGTTCGAGTCAAATCTATGGCCACGAACGGACAATGCGATACCACGTTCGGTACGGCGTGCGACATTGAATGCGGCACCTACAAATTCTGTGTGGGAACCAACTGCGTTACCAGCAGCTTGCCGGAAGTATCTGACAATAACAACCCGTCGTGGAGCAGCAACACGCTCCAGATCGACTTTGCCGAGTCCTATTCTGTACGTGATTTTTGTTGTTTGTTTTGTGTTTGGATGTCCCCATTTTCTGCCATCCCACTCACTTTAGCGCTGCTACGTTTCCTTTCTGTATTCTTTTCCACCTCTTTTTTTTCTTCTTGGTTTGTCTCCGCAAAGGGCTCCTTTTCCTTGACCCTGGACTGCCGCGACAATGATCCGGTGGGAACGGATGGAGATGCAGGCCGTAACTACATTTATGCCATCGGAGGCAATCAGGGACTCGTTCAAAGCACATTGTCTGGTTTCGGACCCTACATTACGACCGTGTACGTTGAATCGCAAATCACTTGCAACAGCCGATTTTACGGTACCTATTGCGACGAGTACTGCTTGATAAACGACCCTCCGACGTGCAAGGGGTGCTCGTCAGCCACTGGCTACTGCTCCTCTTGCAGTCCTGGCTACACGGACAAGGACTGCTTGTCCAAAGTGCCCAACTGGTGCTCTGCTCTGCCAACGTTGATTTCTGGCTCGGGCTCCCAGGCCTGCACCCTGCCCAACAACGTTATCGACACCGTCTGCACAGTGTCGTGCAACGCTGGATTTACCGCCAGCTCGGCCGTTTCCAGTGTCACATGCAACGGTGCCGTTCAAGGCCCCTGGAGCGCCACCTTGGCCGTCTGCAACTGGAATGACAATTACTGCCCTGCTCGCGCTGCTCCCCCCAACGGTGCTATTAGCTGCCCCAACCAGAACCGACTCGACGCCACATGCACAGTACGTTTTGATCTGCACGGATGTATTGCGTGTTTTAAAACTGACTGACTGACTGAACTATTGTGGTCTTGCCTCTTGCTCCAGTTCTCTTGCGCGACAGGCTATGCTCTCCAAGCCGGCTCGCCTTCGTCGATCAAGTGCAATCAAAACACGTTGGCAACTGGCGTCTGGTCGAATGCCGCCAGCGGTATTTGCAGTGTGGTCGACAACTTTTGCCAGCCATTGCCCTCATCGGCAAACCTCAACATTGCATACACTGCTCTCCAGCAGTACCGGTCGGTGGCTAGCTTTTCCTGCGCGACAGGTTACGTCTTGTCCGCGACCGGTCGAACAGCCAACTGCTCGTCAACCACCCAGTGGTCTTGGTCATCTGGGTCTAGCGCTCCGACGTGCAGCTTGCAGGAGGGCTTTTGCACCGCTCTCGTCGCTCCGACGTATGGAAGCATGAGCTGCACTGCTCGCGCAACGCTGGGCTCTACGTGCAGCTTTGCCTGCGATAACGGCTACGTTCTGGCCAGCGGCGCAGCGGCCTCCAGCACCTGCCAGCCGTCCACTTCGTGGACGTACAGCGCCCCGACCTGCGTGATCAAGGATGCGTACTGCGCGACTCCAGCCCTTCCTGACCACGCCACGCTGGTTTCCATCAGCAACACGATTAACGGAAAGGCGGTTTACGCGTGCAGCCAGGGCTACACCCAAACTTCGGGCGACACGCAACTCGTGTGCTCCGCATCTACCGCGGCTGCAGGCACGTTTACCGGCACGACTCCGGTCTGCAGCATTGCCAGTACCTACTGCGCTGCGCTCGCAAGCGTCCCCAGTGGCATGACGCCTTCCTGCACCCAGAGCAGTGCACTGGGCTCTGTCTGCACGTTCAGCTGCCAAGCTGGCTACGTGCTGTCGGGCGCGTCTTCCACCACATGCAATGCGAACGGCGTCACTGGCTCGTGGAGCAACGCCAACCCGACCTGCGTGTTTGACGAGGCGTACTGCCCGACGCCGGCAACGTTCACCAGTGGCGCTGCCAACTGCGGCAGCCATCCTCGTCGCATTGGCACGACTTGCACCTACGACTGCAACGCCGGCTACATCAATGACGTGTCCACCCCAACCTCCGCGACCTGTGTGGCGGGCGGCACGTGGAGTCTCAATCCCGTCAGCTCGACCGGCGCGCCCAGCTGCATCCGAGACCTGGCGTACTGCCCGAACCAGCAAACTGCACCCGACTTTGGCTCTGTCATCTGCTCCGAGAGCAACGCACTGGGATCCACTTGCACCCACCAGTGCAGCGCAGGCTATGTGCTTTCTGGTCCGCCATCCAGCACTTGCCAGCCGAGCCGCGGCTGGTCATCCGCCAAGCCTTCGTGCACCGTTGTTGCCACCTACTGTCCCAGCATTCCCGTCCCCGCCAACGGCGCGTCGACGTGTACTGGCGCCGGTGCGTCACAAGTGTGCACATTCAGCTGCAACGCTGGATACAAGCTTGACACGGGTTCTACCACCACCTCCTGTCGTTCGAATGCCACTTGGAGTACAACACCAGCAACCGCTTGCGTGCTCGATGCCACGTTCTGCCCCGCGCTGTCGACTCCCACGTCCGGCACGCTCACCCCAAGCTGCCCTCGTTCGATCGCGTCCGTGTGTTACTATGGATGCAATGCGGGTTACCGTCTCGTCGGCGACGACTCCACTGCTTGCACGGCAGCCGGAACTTGGGATCCCGTTGCACCCACCTGCCAGCTGATTGATGGCTTTTGCGCGGCCACGCTGCTCAGCCCCACAAATGGCCATGTGTCGTGCACAGGCACCGGCTCGGTTGGATCGTCGTGCACCTTCACTTGTGATGCTGGCTACACCTTGTCTGGCTCTGCCACCAGCTCTTGCACCAGCTTGGGCCAATGGTCGAGCGTGGAGCCAACGTGCGTGCCGATCGAAGACTACTGCGCCAACCAGGTTGCCCCTCCATTCTCGTCGGGAATTGCGTGCACGCGTCGCAACACTGTTGGCTCGACCTGCAGCTACTCGTGCGTGACGGGCTACGAGGTTGCCGGAGCCGTGGGCTCAAACACCATCGCATGCAATAGTGGAAATGCGACTGTTGGTTCTTGGAGTGCAGCACGTCCGTCGTGCACCAGCGTGGCCAACTTTTGCCCAGCACTGACGGCGCCAGTGAATGGAAGCATGGTCTGCACCGCTGGTCGACAGCTCAACTCGGCGTGCAGCTTCTCTTGCAGCTCTGGGTTTGTCAGCTCCACAGCGGCCTCTGCGCAGTGCCTTTCCACCGGTCTTTGGAATGGAGCCCCTTCGACTTGCCAGCTCATCGAGTCGTACTGCAACCCTGCCCAAGTCGTCGCCCCAGACCACGGCACCGTCACCTGCACTGCCCGCGGCACCCTCGGCTCAAAGTGCGCCTTCACTTGTGACACTGGCTACACTCTGAGTCATCCCAACAGCACCACCTGCTCGTACTCGACTCAGTTCACGGGCTCGTGGTCGATTGCCGTTCCTTCTTGCCAGCTGAACGCCATCCACTGCCCCGCCTTCCCCATCCCGGCTTCTGGATCGGCATCGTGCGACAGGGGTCGGTCTCTTGGCTCCATCTGTCTCACTGCCTGCTCGTCCGGCTTTTTTGTTTCCAACAATTCGCTTCCCTACTGCACCGTCGACGCCACTTGGTCTGCACCTGGCCCGAGCTGCGTTGCCTGCTTGAACTGCAATGGCAATGGACAGTGCATGCTCAACGCGACGACGCAGTCCACGTACTGCCAGTGCAACCCCGGCTTTACGGGCGCGAACTGCAACCAGTGTCTCGACGGGCGCTTTGGACCCACCTGCGCATTCTGCCCAGCATGCCAAAATACCGGTGTTTGCAACAGCACCATCACGGGTGATGGCAGGTGCGTTTGCCCGGTTGGTTTTGGAGGCACCGTCTGCACAGACTGCCAGACCAACTATTTCGGACCGTCTTGCACTGCTTGCCCGTCGTGCGGACTCGGAACCTGCAATGCAACCAAGTCGGGCAACGGCGTGTGTCGTTGCCCGACAGGAGTCGCTGGAGCGAATTGCGAAGCCTGCGCGCCCAATTACTATGGTTCGAGCTGCACTCACTGCCCCTTCTGCGGCTCGGGCACATGCAACGCAACCAAGGCGGGCGACGGTGCTTGCGTCTGCCAGCCAGGATTCGGTGGACTGACGTGCGAGACGTGTCTGCCTGGTTTCTTTGGCTCGTCTTGTACGGCATGCCCGAGCTGCGACCATGGTACCTGCCGCGACGGATTCTCCAGCGATGGTACTTGTGTCTGCGATGAAGGGTTTTCTGGAGCACTCTGCGACGAGTGCCTCCCCGGTCGGTTTGGCCCCAGCTGCCTGCCTTGCCCGCCTTGCTACTCGGGCACTTGCAACGGCGGCATTGATGGCGACGGCCAGTGCGAGTGCCCCGCCGGCTTTGCAGACGGCTCGTGCGATAGCTGCTTGCCTGACCACTATGGCCGCAATTGCACCGCATGTGCGGCTTGCGGCTCGCCCAACACTTGCAATTCCGGCTACAGTGGTGACGGCTCGTGCGTTTGCGCGGGTGGCTATGCCGGTAGTTCATGCGAGAACTGCGCCCCTGGCCGCTACGGCCCGACCTGCCTGCCTTGCCCGCCGTGCCTGTACGGCACTTGCAACTCAACAAAGACTGGCAACGGCCAATGCGTGTGCAATGCCGGCTTTACTGGGTCCAACTGCCAAGCCTGCCAAAATGGCTACTTTGGTGTCTCGTGCACTGCATGCCCCAACTGCAACACTGGCACCTGCAACTCTGGCATCAGCGGCTCTGGCAAGTGCTCTTGCACTGCTCCCTACACTGGCGAGCGTTGCGAACTGTGCTTGAGCGGCTACTACCTGCCGGCCAACTCGTCCACGTGCGTTCAGTGCGAGCCCGGGTATTCTTGCAACAATAGCACCCGCACCGCTTGCGCACCAGGTACCATGCAGCCCAACCCGGGTCGCGTGTCCTGCACCCCTTGCAGCATTGGCTTTTTCCAGTCCAACTCGTCGTCCACAGAGTGCAAGCCTTGCGTGGCTGGGTTTGCCCAAGACCAGCCTGGTCAGTCCTCGTGCCAGCCTTGCCCGTTCGGCCAGTACTCTGTTGGCAACCCGAGTGGCACGAGTGCATGCACGCAGTGCCTTGCTGGCACGCACCAGGACCGCCAAGGCCAATCCGACTGCGCTCTGTGCGGCTCGGGCCTGTATCAAGACGACCGTGGCATGCGCGACTGCAAAGCCTGCGATCCTGGATTTGTCCCTGCGGCGAACGCACGCTCGTGCGTTCCGTGCGAGCCCGGTTTCAGTCAACCGATTGGTGGAGAGGCAGAGTGCTCGTTGTGCGATCGAGGCACTGCCCAATCCCAGTATGGCCACGCACTGTGCGATGAATGCGGCCCTGGCTATGAGGCGCCTGACTTTGGCCAACAAGCCTGTGGTCTGTGCGACCTGGGCAAGTACAGCTCCGGCACGCGCAACGTTCGCTGCACATCCTGCCCTGTCAACACTTACCAAGATACCCAGGGTCAATCCTCGTGCGACCCTTGCCCAGCCAATTCCACGACTCTGACGCTTCAAGGCGCCACCTCCATCCAGCAGTGCATTTGCGATGCGGGCTTCCGATGGGAAGCCACGTTGCTTCTCTGCATGCCTTGCGATCCCGGCTCCAAGTGCCAGGATGGCATCCAGACATCGTGCCTGCCAGGCCAGTACCAACCGAATCCCGCACGTTCTTCGTGCCGAAACTGTCCCGCCGGCTCCATCTCCACCACTGCAGGCGCTATTGCATGCGACGGTTGTGGTACCAGCCAGTTCCAGGCCCTTGCCGGGCAAACTTTCTGCGACGTGTGCCCAGAGCTGTCCTCGCACTCGCTTGGTCACCAGACGTCCATCCTTTCCTGCGTCTGCAACCCTGGATACTTGCTCAACGCCGACGCGGCCACCTGCGACGCCCGTGACTGTTTGCTCCCCATCCCCACCAAGGGTCTGTATGCGAACTGCACGGCAGGCACACGCTTCCCGGCCGAGTGCTCTCTGAGCTGTATTTCTGGTTTCCGAACCGTCTACGCCTCGGCCGCCAACGAAACAGCCATTCAATGCTCTGTTCACGGCAATTGGACGACTTATCTCGTTTCTTGCGCAGGTTTGTTGTGTTTGGCTTTTTTTTTTCAAATTGCTGCTGCTTGTGCCATTTTTCTGTCGACTGGTTGCGTTGCTCACGTTTGATTGTTCATTTTTGACTGCAACTTTCAACACAACCACAGCTATTGCGGACGACAACGGCTTGGCTTTCGGTCCTGGTGGCCAGTTCAGTGTGGCTGCCATTGTCGCCATCTCCCTGGTGCTCATTCTTCTTGTGATTATCGTTGCTCTGGGTGTTTACCGCAAGCGACGGTAAGGACTGTTATTTTCGTCGTTGCTGGGAGTGGATGTGGTTGTGTGCCTCTCATTTCATTTCATTCACTTTCGTTTTGAAATTGTCCTTTTGGTTTTCAGCTACGGCCACATTTGGGCTGTGCGTGCGTCGGACGACCCGAACATGACACATGTGAAGGGCGCGGGCTTTGTTCCTTCCCGAAACAGCTCGTCGTCGCTGCTCAACAACAAGGTCTTCCTTGCCGAAGAAGATCTCCGCCAAATGCCAGTCCACGTTCAAGCGGCACTCTTGGGTGTCTCCGACCCTACAAACGTAAGTCTGCGCTTGCAGATCGATTGAGCCCGAAAGTGAAGTGTTTTGGTTTTGTTGCTCACACTGATGCTTCTCCATCCCTCTCCTTCGCTTGACATCCGCAGGTTGTGGGCAATCCGCTGTTCGAAACACCGGATATCACTGGCGAAGCAAGCATGCAGAGTCCCGTGTTTTTGGGCTCGCCGGTGGACCGTCCGGCGGATCTGCCAGTTTCGGCAGCTTTCTCCGACCGTCGCGGCTCCTTCTCTGTCTTTATGGCGGAAGACCCTAAATCGGCGAACGACAAGATGCAGGAAGCGTTCAACGCCACGCTCAATCCGCCTGCGGAGGACACGTCCGTGCCCTCCCCGTACGTCGAAATGTAAAATTCCCTGTTTTTATGGGCTTGTTAATACACAAAATACTGTATAGTTGAGCGTGATTTGAGTTGAAACGGGGGGTTGGAAACAAACATCCATGTACTAGTTGGCGCGGACACAAACATAATCACAATCATGTACATCAACAAAGCAAACAAAAACCAAAAGCAGCCCAGACACACACCTCAAGACACACACAGTGCTAAGAAGCACAAAAATCAAATCTTGGAAATTTCTCGACAACGAAATGCAAAAACAGTCCAGTCTTGAAGCAATTAGAACGAGCTGGCCACCAAATCGCAAAGAATGCGCGAGACAGTGTCGCGAGAGGTGCGGAACGTCGCGCGATACATCTACAAGGAAAAGTATGGAATGCGGAAGGTGAGACAAGAAAAAAAAAGGGGGGGGGGCAAAAAGAGTCAGCAAACCAAAACAACAGGATAAAGCAACCCCTTAAAAGCTCGGTACTCACCTGGGCATCGCGGTTTGGCTCCAATCGCAGCAAAACACCAACTTGGCTCGAGCCAGTGTGCACCACGCCGGCGCAAACAAAGTTGTCCGGGTTGGGGTCGACGCCAGCCAGGACGGTGAAGCCCATGCTTTGCAGCTTGGAGCGCACTGCAGCCACATCAATAGGCTGAGCGGCCTTGAAGACCTTTTGCGACTCGAGACCCGGCGCAGAGAGCTGCTTCCACCGAGCAACAAAGGTGGGCTGGTCCATGTCAAAGCTCGCGAGGAACTTGTTCACAAAGATGGGGAACTTGATGACCGCCCGCTGGAGCTGGCCATTGACGACGTAGGCAACGCCAAGCGTGGGCTGCTCTTCAAACTCCTTCAGACACTCCACGTTGATGAGCTGCTGCGTCTGCGCCTTCGGCGCCAGCTGGCCCTCAACAGGCTTTGCCTGGAGCGAAAGGGTCTCTGTTGTGTTGATGGCAAACACGTCGCTGGTAAAGTTGGTGATTGGGTAGCCCGACTTGTTGCCAAAGTACAAGGCGACACGAGCTGCGAGCGAGGCAAACAGAGCAAAACAAAAAATAAAAAAAAAATGAACCACGACGAGAAACGACAGAAACGACAAAAACTACAACATTGCCCCAATCCTCAATTTCTCAACGCCCATATTACCCCACTCCCCCTTTCGCCCCCATACCTAGATTGTTCTTGACGCTTGTCTTGACACCAATCTGCAGAATGGCATCCTCATACAGCTTGCCATCGTTTTGGAACAGGAAGGCGCGCGAAAGGTGGGCCAGCTCGGGATTTGCTTGGGGAGGCTGGGAGGTGGTGTTCACAGCCGAAGGACCAGTAGAGGCTGGCGCCGCATCCAGGTCGCCGAGAAGGTTGGCCTGGGGTTGCTGAGACACGGCAGGGTTGGAGCGACGCGCCTCACGTTCTTCGCGGTCCTCACGCTCTTGGCGGTCGCGGTCGACAATGACCGTCTGACGGGCGACTTTGGCCGCCTCTGCATCGACGCTGACACCTTCGGACTTTTCGCGAATCTTGGCGAGCAGCGAGGACTCGCGCTCCTTGAACTTGGGCATCTCCTCAAGGACAGTGGGCATCACGTTCGGGTTGGGATGCTGCGAGAGCGAAAGATACTCGATAACACGCTGTTGGATTTCGGGATCCGTGTTGCGCGACAGGTTGTTGGACCGGAAGATGGTCTCAATGTCCGTCTTGATTTCCGGGAAGAGATTGGCAAACTTGACCAGCGTGGACAGCAGGAGCGCGCGCGTGGAAGGCGAGCACATGGAAAACTTGCTCAGCAGCAACTGGAGCTGGATTTGCGGGGTGGCGCGCGGGTTGTTGGCGATGAGGTGGCCAAACTCGCCGAGCAGATAGCCGCCAACCTTGACCATCGTCTCGTGGCAGTATGGCGAGCACAGTGCGTCGAAAACAACCTTGGTGGCATAGTCTTGGACGTCGGGCTGGTTTGTGACGATTTGCACCACACGATGCCAAACCTCCTCGCTGACATAGTCGCCGGCGACGCGGATGAGCTGCAAAATCACATCGACATACCACGAGTAGTCGTCGGCGTGCAATTCGGCCAGGACGGCAATCTTGAGCACCATCTCCTCGCGAATTTCATAGTCGGCCACTTGGAGGTACTGCAGGAGCTCGCGCACAATAACGCGGACGTTGCTCTTGCCGCAGAGGTTGTACAGGAGGTCGAGGGCGCGGCGACGCACAGAAATGTCCTTCTCTTGCGTGAGCGCGTTGACGACCGTCTCTTGGTGCCGCTTGATGGCCTCGTGGGTGAACGAGAGCGTGGCAAGCGACGACATGAGCTCGAGGGCAAAGTAGCGCAAGTTGGTCTCCTTGGAGGACAGGAAGCGTCCGAGCAAGTTGGAGCTCTCGACGAGCAGATCGGTTTCGGACTCGAGGTGGATCAACACGCGCACAGCCTCGTACAGGACGGCGTTGCGTGCGTTAAAGTATTGCGGCAGCTGCTGCTTGTTGCGCTTGTCGCGCACCGGCTCGTTGGCAGCCTTGCCGACAATGGAGCGCAAGACCTCCACCACAGCTTCGCGGGCGCGCGAGTCGGGCGCGGGTGCGGGGAAGACTTGCAAAAAGCGCAGCAGCTTGACCTGCAGCCACGGCGCGGCAATGTCATAGTAAACGTAGCCTTCCAGCGACTCTTCGCGGGTCTGCAGGCGGCGCAGACGTGCAATGGCACGGTCCACGCACGATCCATAGCCCTGGGTGTCGGCCTGAACGAGGGCATACAGCAGGGCAAGCACCGACGTGACCACCGACAGATCGGGGTCATCCAGCAACGCAATAATGCGAGGCGTGTATTCTCCGACAGGCAGGATTTCAGGGAACTTGCGGTACAGGCGCAGCAGCGTGAGCGCCGCCTTCTTTTTGACAAAGCTCCGCGAGTCGGGTGAGACGAGCAGCTTTTGCACGTCGCCCGCCAGCGACTCGGCCATCTCGCGGCCACCAACGTTGGCAATGCAGGTGAGTGCCAGGCAGACGTGGGTCTCGTTGCGATCAAGCAAGTCGTTCTTGATTTGCTGGATGATCAAGCGGTTAAAGTCGGACGTTTCGTTGATCATGACTGAGAGGAAGAGGTATCCCTGTTGGGGTTCGTGGCGAGACAGCAACCGTGCGGGTGAGCGACGAGTTCGTGCAAGGAACGCGAAACCAAAAGCAACAACAACAGGAGCATCGAAACACAACAACAGGAACTCACAATCTGCTTCTCAGAGTACTTGTTGGACGCGACAAGGCTGATGGCCTCCATGTGTCCGAAATCAATGTCCTCGCCCAGAAGGAACATGAAGAGCAGCTTGCACACGTACTTTTTCTTCTGATAGCCGTCCAGAGGCTTGTCGCCCTTGAACTTTGAGCGAATGTTGGCGAGCTCCTTGTTGATGCGCTTCTCCTCGGCCTCCTTGGACTTTGTCGCACGAATCTCGGCGATAAAGTTGTGCAGGCCTCGCATATCGTCCGGCATGGTTGCTAGAAAACGAAAGAGAGAGACAGAGAAAAGAAAAAAAAAAAAGCAAGCAAAACCTGATCTCGGTGAGCTTTTGACTTTTGTGAGTATCAATCGTAGCAGATTTGTTTAGCTTTTAGACGTCCAATTTCGATACTGTTGTTGCTATTTTGTCAACCACAGATTTTGCTTTTTTTTTTTTTTTTTTTTTTTTTGTTTCCTGTCATCGCAGCGCCATCACTTCTGCTCGTGCTTCCGTTCGCACGATCATCGGCGGCGTGTGGGGGGACACTCAACACCAAATGACCAGACATCCCCCTGACTGCCCCCCCCCCCAACCGAATCCCACAACGCTGCTCAATGCAACGCAGGAGAGCGAACAATTTGTGATCTCTCTTCTTTATTGTTGCAGACTCGTCTTCGTCTTCGTCGTCGTCGTCTTTCGCTTCGATGGTTGAGCGACTGATGAGTGCGTTTGTGGGAAATGCAGACATGCACGAAATACGCGAAATGTCGCGACTTTTGCTGCTGCTGCGCTGGCACAATCGAAACGCAATGGAAACGCAATGGAAAAAAAAAGAGCGTTTTGAAAAAATGAAATATAAAAAAAAAAAAAAAAGAAAAAAGGGAAAATTCACCTTTTTGTTTTGAATTTTTGACTGAACGTCGTTGAGAACGAAAAACAACCCTCCTGTTGAAGAATGTGTGGATTGAAAATAAGGAATCAGAAACAACAACAACAAAAGGGGGCGAGGAAGAGGGGGGGGGGGCAGAATTGAACGCGAAAAAAGGAGTTGAAAAAGCCACGAACAAACCAAAAACAAGGGTTCGAAGACTCTGAGACAGGAAGCTGGTAAGGGAATGGTGGTGATCATTGAAAAAAAAGTGACAAAACACCCCCAACAAACACAAACAAACAAAGCAACAAAGCAACAGACGGGGGCGGGGGGGGGGGAAATAATTACGATGCGACATGAAGTGCAACCTGCCGAGCGGTTGTGCGCAAAAGCGACTGAGGTTGAGCATCCAGCGTTTCGTCCATGGGGTCATCGCTGACCGTGCTGCAGACACTTTCGTTGGACGGACTGCTCACGGAAGACGCATCGCTGACGGACACAGAGTCCTGCTGCAATTCATTCTCGCCAGCTGCCACAGCTTCGCACATTTGGTCGCCATTTTGACTGTCGCCGGCGGCGGGTGCGCGGGTCGTGTCCGACTGCGCAGAGCTAGAATTTGCAGCACGTGCGGTGCTGTTGCCATCGCCGCCATTGTCCTTGCCGTCAGCAGCATCCTTGCCCTCTGCTGCGGCGTCCTTGTCTTCGGCGTCCTTGTTGCCACCATCGTTGCCGCCCGACGAGCCACTGCCGCTGCTTCCGCTAATTTCCACCAGGGTCGCCTCGGAATTGTCCAACAGGCCTTGCTTCATCGAGTCGAGCGTGGACTCCAAAAAGGTTCGCAAATCCTCGAGCGTGATGACGGTGCGGCCGGCCTGCTCGTTAATGTGGCGCGCTGCAGAGATCAAGACCGAGCGGTATGGCATGAGGGTGCGCAGGAGCTCGGAGGTGAGCGAGGGACCAATGGCGACGGTGACACGGTCGAGATCGCGCCGCGGGTTGTTGCTCCTGGTGCTGATTCCCGCGCCACCGAGCGACTGCGCAGCCATGGCAGCCGCAGCCGCTGCAGCCGAGCTCATGTTGTTCAGCCGCGACGAAGCCGATCGCGGTGGCAGGTAGGAGCCGCCATGGAGGAGGCGATCGCGGCCCACAAACGTTGCCATCGTCGCTGCGTTTCGCGCCTCCTGAGTGACAGCAGCGGCCGCCGCTGCGTTCGTAGTCGACGCGCTTCCAGCCAGACCACTGCCGGCCGAGCTGACCGCGACGGCAGCAGCATGGGCAGCAGCGTGTTGTGCCGCCAGCATGGACGCCTTGGACGGACGCCCCACGGGACGGTTGGACGGGATGTAGTGGCGAGAGCCGCCATTCCCGCCACTCGCCGCGCTGCCGCCCCCGCTGCTCGCTCCGCCGCCACTGGTGCGGGAGCGCTTGACGCCATAGTCCTCGTCGTCGTCCGGGTCGTTGCCATCCCCGCGGCGGCGACGGGAGGCAGACACAGCTTGCGCAGAGGCGGATGCAGCCGACGCAGCAGAGTTTGCAGGCATGCCCGATCGCGCTGGGCGCTGGTGCTGCTGCTGCTGCTGCTGCCGGTGCTGCTGCTGCTGTTGCTGTTGCTGCTGCTGGGTGCGGTACTGCGGCTGCTGCTGCGGATGGTGCCTGTTGTGCGAGTGATGGTGGCCTGCAGCCGCCGAGTCTGCTCGCGACCCTGCTCCTCCCGCTGCTGCTGCTCCTCCTGCTGCTGCTGCGCCTCCGGAAGAGGCAGGGGAGGCAGACGCGGTGGCAATGCCTGCGACGCCGCGGCGCTTTGCCTGCTGGTCAATGACGGCCTTCTCGCTGGCCGGCGTGTTGACGGGCATCTGCCAGATCATGCCATTGTTCTTGATGAAGAGCCGCGGGCGCGTGCGGATGGTGCGCAGGTACGGGTTGATGTGGTAGAGCTCCTTCAGGTACTGCCGGAACTCGGCCAGCGGGACCTCGTACGGCTGATCCGCGCTCGTCAGGGCGTCTGCGCGGTAAAAGCCTTCGGGTCCGTTGTTGCGCTCGGCAGCCGTCTCGAACTTGATGTCGCCGGCAGCGTTGTACAGGCCGTCGTTGCTCATTGCTGTGCTTCGGAATGAGGTCGAGGGAGAAAGATAGAGAGAGAGAGAGAGAGAGATAGAGAGAGGGAGAGAGAGAGGGACAGCGAAAAAGAGAACTGACGAGCGTTTCCTTTTTCTATTCTCCTGAGTGTGGGATCATCGTATTGCGGATGGAGGTGCTCAGAGAATAGAATAGATGAAGAGGGTGGGGGGGTATTTGCGTGGGTGGAAGCGGGACGAAGGAACAAAAGAAGTGGACGAAGAGAGCAGATGGATTGGCTTCACTTTGCTTCTTTGGCTTGGGAGTAAGGAGCAAGGGAAATCAGAGTCAGGGAGTACGCTGGACCAGAGATTGTTACTCTTTGCCTCGCTGGACGGGGACGGGGACGGCGTGGCTGATGGTGAGGAATCCCTTCATCGCTGTTCTCGACGCTTTTTTTCTCTCTCTCTCTCTCTCTCTCTCTCTCTCTCTCTCTCTCTCTCTCTCTCTCTCTCTCTCTCTCTCTCTCTCTCTCTCTCTCTCTCTCTCTCTCTCTCTCTCTCTCTCTCTCTCTCTCTCTCTCTCTCTCTCTCTCTCTCTCTCTCTCTCTCTCTCTCTCTCTCTCTCTCTCTCTCTCTCTCTCTCTCTCTCTCTCTCTCTCTCTCTCTCTTTCAGAATCAATCCGTTATTTTTTTCGCTTACGACCCCCCGTCTGAGTTTTTCGTTTCGCAGTCTGAGTTTTTCATTTCGCAGAGTTGCCACCCTAATCAACGGCATTTGGCGTCTTAAAAAGAGAGAATCCAAGAGACAGAGAGAGAGAGAGAGCGTGGTGCGGTGTGGGACGTTAACAGCACGCAGCAAGGGCGAAACAAAACAACAACAAACACAAATCCAAATGGAGGGTGAGACAGCTGCAGCAGAAGCGGGGAACGCGGCCATGAAGGCAGCCGACAGCCATCACGCCCAGGAACACGGCGCAGGCACGACGACGACGAGCAGCACCAGCACCAGCACCCACAGCAGCGGCGCGGCAGTGGCGGCACCGGCAGCTGGGAGTGACGACGGAACAAGTAGCAACGGGTCGTCCGACGTCGCAGCCCTCCATCGTGAGTCGTTCTCTCCTCTTCTCCACCCCCCACCTCATTCAGCCAGACACCCACCCCCACACTCCCACTCATTGACAGATGGATGGATGCGCGGGTGGGCATTGGGGGGTTGCACACAGCAGCCAATCCCACCCACGGCAGCGGCTCTTTTTTTTTTTTTTTTTTTATTTTTTATTTTTTTTTATTTTATTTTATTTTATTTTTTATTTCTTTTTCACATCCCCGCCTCTGTCGCTTCAACGCTCCAATCGCCCCCCAGTCAACGCACCACCGCGTGCCCCCCCCATCCTCGTTCGTTTTGACGTGTCGCCGCTACTGTCCGCGATTGTTGATGCAAGGGCATCGCGATCGACCAGCTGTCGGTCGTTGTCATCCCCCGATTGCTCACCCATTTCTTTGACAAGCTGCGCATTCGCCGTTGTCGACCGGTGCTTTTGCGCGTTTCGCTGACCTCCACAAACACTCCCAACGCGAGTGGAACGACGGCGAGAACACTCTTTGCTGGTGGATTGCGAGGATCTGGTCGCGAAAACTCACACGAGACAAAAAAAAAACCAAAAAACCAAAAAAACCAAAAAATCCAATAGAAAATCAATAGAAAATAATAATAATAATAATAATCAGAAAATAATAATAAAAAAATAAAAAGAGATGGGAAGTGTTCTGCAAGTCATCCCAAAAAGCGAGTGCGTGGCGATCCATTGCAGACCTTCGATGTGGATTGTGTGTGTGTGTGTGTGTGGTGGGGTGGTGGATGCTGGAGCGAGTTTGCCGGATGGAAGGAGAGGGGAGTCATCACGCCCGTGGTGGTGGTGGTGCTGGTGGTCGCCCCGTTCCACCCCTTCGCTGCCCTCCCCCCCTCACCACGCTCTCTCCGGACTCGTTCTGGTTCTGAAGCAGAGGAATGGGGGAAGCACTTTGCGTCATTCCACTTGTCATGCATGCACACTGCAAGCTCGCTCACTTTACCTGCTCTGTACGTCCCCGCTTTTCTTTCTTCTTCCTTTTTTTCAAACCGCAGCCAACAAGCGGATGCGACTCGACTCGACGACGGCCACTGACAGCGGATTGAGCATGCCCACACTAGCAATGCCAGCGCCGATGCAGATGCCGATGCAGATGCCCCTGATGATGATGGCTGCTGGGACAACGACGACCCCAAATGGCTTCCACCACCCCACAGCAGCTGGATCGCCGACCGTCGTGCACCTGGCAGCACCCAACGCATACCCGCACCCGCACCTGCACTCACCAATGCAGTTCCATCAGCAGCACTCGAGCATTGCCGTGCAGAGCCCAAATGGCACCCTTCACAACAGTCACAACAGTCACAACAACGGCACACTCCCGCCGCTCCCGCCGCGATCCGCGGACGCAGGAACTCCGCGAGCCTTCTTTGGAAATATGGACGGACCCCTGTCCGCCCCGCTCTACCCAGTCCCCACGGCGACAAGCACGGCCACGCCGGGTCCCTACCCGCACCAGGGCGAGATCACTGCTGCTACTGCCGCCAGTGGCTCGCCGTTTGGCCGGCAACGGACCTTTTCAGAAACCAGCCTGGTTGGCCAGCCCATTACACCGCCTGCTATTCGTTCCTCTGGAGGACACGGCCCGCCCGGAACGCCCGGGTTTGCGCACTCGCCGCTGGTCCAGCCGTCGGCCATGTCTCCGACATCCGTGCACGCGCTCGGCGGCACGCCAAAAACCGTCACGTTCGCGTCTCCGAGCGTCGACTCGTCCTACGCCTCGAACGCAGACCCCATCAAGCTCAGCGAGCTCAAACAAAAGCGACGACGCCTGTCCATCAGCGAGCCGTCCAAACGCGTCCCGGACTTTTTGCGGGCGGCTGCAGCATCTGCGGCCACTGCTGAGGCAACATCGCCATCCACGTCTCCTCCTCCTCCTCCTCCTCCATCTGCCACCGCTGCCTCCGCTGCCGTGGAAGACGACGCCGCTACCACCACCACCACCACCACCACCGCCACCGCCGTTGCAACGACAGCCCCGACAAAACCCGCCGCTGAGAGTGCTTCTGCGGATGGCACGTCCCTCGCGCCCATCGTGCCTGCTCCCCGCCCCGCTTCCGCACCCACAGCTCTCGCTTTCTCGAGCGACGAAGCCGACCAGCCTCCGTCGTCTGCCGAGTCCTCTGCACCCAGCAGCGCACTCGCAGTGGACGCAAAGCGCGATGGCCTTTTTGCGCCTGCCACCCAGACAACGCACGAGTCCGCCTCACCCATCCCGATTGCGAGCTCGCTGGAGCCCGGCCCAGAAGCCATTCCAGCATCCCACGCTGGGACGGGTGCATCACCAGTCATTCCTCTGCTTGCACCACCACCAAGCATCACCCCTGGCAGCGTCACATCGCCGGGCTCGATTGTCGTCCCAATGATTGTCATCAAGGACGAAGCGGGCACCACCACTCAAGGCGATCTGTACGACTACAAGCCGTTGTCCGCGATGGCGTCTCCGTATTCCGAACACGCGGCGTGTGAAGCCTCCATGTTTGCGCGTTCGCCCAGCGAATTGGAGAATATTCTCGTGCTGAACGTCACCGAGCGGTGGCCTGATGCAGGTCTGACCTTTCCGCGCATTCGTCACTGGGCCCTCGTCACTCCGTGGAGTGGTTCGCGCGGCGGCACTCACAGCGCGAGCTCCGCCCTTTCTCGCGCAGGCTCTGCGAATGAACTGGGCGCGCCAAGTCAACTAGACCATTCCGAGCCTGGAGCGCGATCGCCGAGCCTGAGTGCTCGGTCCCCGTCCTCCTCCAGTGCCGCAAAGCTTGAGCCGCCGTCTCCATCTGGCGGGGCGACTCTCAGCAGCCCGCGAGACACTCCCTCGGCCGCCATGCGCCGTCGCCAGTCTGGCGTTGGCACGGGAGGCCAGCAGCAACAGGTTGCCAACAACGCAGCGGCCGGCGCGACGGACGCGACTCTGCTCGCTGCGTCGGATTCTGCCTCAGCCCCAGCGCAGCCACAGGCACCTGCGGAGCACGGAGGGGTGCCTGTCAACAACTCTGCTCACCCCAGTGCCAGCAGTGCTGATAGCCAACCCCCGCCGCCGCAGAGCATCCGCACGTGTCGCAGCAGCAGCAAATGTTCCACATGCATTACATGAAGGACGGGCGAGCGAGCGATATGGCTGGTGTGCCAACTGCTCCTGGAGCGAAAACTCGCAAAACCAAAAAGCAGCAGCAGCAGCAACAGCAACAGCAGCAGCAACAACAACAACAGCAACAACAGCAGCAACAACAGCAGCAACAGCAGCAACAACAGCAACAACAATTACAGCATCAACATCAACAACCAAACATCCATTTTGCGCCGCATCCGAATCAGCAGCACATGCAGTATCAGCAGCAATTTCCGCCACAGAACCAAGGATTTATGGACCAACAACAACTCATGTTGCAGCACCAGCACCAGCTTCAGCACCCCGATCAGCAACAACTCCAGTACCAGCAAATGATGATGCAACAGCAGCAACAGCAGCAGCAACAGCAGCAGCAACATCCCGAACAGCCGCTCCACCAGCAAATGATGCAGCAACAGCAGCAAATGTTTGCGCAGATGAATTACGGCAACAACGCGTATGCACCCCCGCAGACCATCACGCTGCTGGATTTGCCCACGTACCAGTTCATCGACGTGTACGGCCATACTCAAACAGTCTACGGCATTCCGCCAAACCCCGTTCCGTACGGCTACACGGGGCCAGACCACGTCCCTCCCATGACCAATGGTGTGGCCCACGCGCACCTCGGCTACAATGCCGAAATTGGGCACATGTACTCGATCGAACCGCCGCAAATGACAATGATGTACGAGCCAGCGCCAATTTCGAGCGGTCTGGAATTGCAAATCGGTCAGCGCATCGAGGCCTTTGATGCAGAGGGTGCTTGGCACGTTGCTCGTGTGCGCAGGCGAGACGTCGAGGACGCGACCGTCTCAAAGATTGTTCCTCCTGGTTCGTTTGTGCTGGTTCATTACGAGGGGTATGGCCCCGAGTTTGATGAATGGCTGCGAGTTGGCGCGCTTCGTCATGTTATGACAGCCCTGCACTTTGGACCCGATGGTCCCGAGGATGGTCAAAAGTGGATGTTGTCAAGGCAGCCGGTATGGATGTGATTGCGTTTTTTGTCTGTGTTCCTTTTGTGCAATTACTTGTTATTCTCTGACTCTGACTTTTTTGTTTGTTATTTCGAATGGGATTTTTTTTTGTTTCTGACAGTCCTCAAGGAAGGTCATAAGAGCAGAACAGCCCTCATTTACGACCGCGGCATGCTGTCTCATCGCTGTTCTTGTGATAGCAAGCGACATGTGCATCCCGAGCAACCAGATCGTCTTGCGCGAATCCTGCGAGCGATGGATTCCGAAGGTTGGTTTTGAGACTGGTTTGAGCAAGGCGAATCCTCAGTTTGGAGTGTGGAAATGCCGTGGTGCTCATCTGTCACCTCTTGGTCCCAGGCTTCCTGGATCGGTGCGCAAGGCCGTTCTCGCGAGAGGCCGCAACGGATGAGCTTGCCCAAGTTCACCAGCTTGCTCATGTCGAGCACTACGGCTTTATTGGAAGCGCGCCACCGGATTTGGAGACGATGGAATGCGGTGGCAAAGGTGTCGCATGCGATACCGTCTTCAACAGCGCCACCACTGGTCGTGCCGCGCGCCTTTCCTCTGGCTGCTTGCTGCAGCTGACATCGCTTGTCATTCAAAACGAAATTGTGAATGGCTTTGCCGTCATTCGTCCACCGGGACATCACGCCGAGGCCAACGAAGCCATGTACGTCAATGCATTCTTTGCAGCAGAAAAGTGTTTTTGCGGGGTTTTGGGCCTGACAATGGGGTTGTCAACTACATTTTCAGTCTCTCATTCACTCACATCTTTGTTTGTCTTGTCTCTGTTGCTTGCTAGGGGCTTTTCATTCTTTAATAACGTGAGCATTGCGGCCGCGGCCGCGAAAGCGCACGGCATGAAACGCATTCTCATTGTTGACTGGGACATCCACCATGGCAATGGAACTCAAAACATCTTTTACAACGATCCCTCCGTGCTGTATCTGAGCCTGCACCGGCACGACGACGGCAACTTTTACCCGTACACGGGCGACGCTGATGAGTGCGGCGCGGGCGAGGGTGTGGGTAAAAATGTCAACATCCCATGGCGTGGCAACGGCGCCATGGGCAACAACGAGTACCTGGCCGCATTCTACTATGTCGTGATGCCGATTGCGCGCCAGTTCAATCCCGAGCTTGTCTTTATCTCGGCTGGCTTTGACGCAGCTGAAGGCGACCTCATTGGCAACTACAAGGTTACACCAGCGGGTAAGTGGGTGTGGAGAAGAATCGGTTTGTTCTTGAGTGGGGTTTTGGCGTGTTGTGTCCTGACAGTTCATTCTCTCATTTCACACTTTTTGTTTCCTTGCAGGCTTTGCGCGCATGACTGCTTGGCTCAAGGAACTCGCTGGCGGCAAAGTGATTCTTGCCCTGGAGGGCGGGTATGATCTAAACTCGTTATCGACATGCGCAACAGCGTGCATTCGGGTGTTGTTGGGCGAACAGCCTCCGCCGATCCCGCCGAGTAGCAATCAATACGACACGCGAAATTCCAACCAGCCATCCTCCGCCGCCATCACGCTGCTGAAGCGCGTCATCAACATCCAACGCGAACATTGGTCTGAGCTGCGCATGCCAAGCTCGTTCGACCTTCCATACGAGCTGTATGAGAACACCTCCTCCGCCATGCCCAAGTCTCCTCGAGGGTCGCTTGGTCCCCGAACACGTCGCGGAGTCCATCCGCGAGACCTCGATTAATACGGGAGGATGGGGCTTTTTGTCTGCTTTAGTAATTTTTTTTTGGTTGAGGATGTTTGTGAATTTCTTTTGATGGCTATTACGAAGCGGGGGCTTTGTTTGGTTGTCCAGTCGAACGAGTGGAGCGTGAAGGTCTGGCTTGTAACCGAATACAATGGTTTAGCTTGTTCAGACAGCTTGCCCTGCTGATTGACAGCGTTGTTAGCAACGACATTCTCATCCAACCCCCAGCAAGTAACCGAATACAAAGAAATTATCAACCCTCCTCCTGGCGACTTGTACTGCACCCATCCACCCTCGCCAGCATCCTAGGTCCTTTCGAACCAGACCAACCAGCCATGTATGCGATAAGTGGCATCCCAAGAACGGCCTACTTTACGAGCCAGCTGCAGGTGGTGGAATGCATTGCGTTCTGAGACGGAAATCGTTTATTGGTTGAAGAGGTTGGGTGGCTTACTCACACAAAAAACTGTATCACTGCTCTCTGGGCTTGATCGACTTTGTCGGGCTTACCTTTTCTAGGAGGCTTTCGTCAATGTCAAGTTTCGCAAGCATACTGTTTCTGGCTTCGGCTTTGTCGAAGACCTTTTCCACATCGGACAAGTCGATCAGCACCGCATACAACGTGTCGTCGCCCATGATACGGTAGATACCGACGTGACGCCAGCGCACGTCTTTGTGTCGGTAGCCAAGCGAAGCCATGTGTTCAACTGCACGCGCGGCTGCAACCAGAATGGGACGACGTTCCTCATCCTCGCAAAGCCGGACATCCCCGACCATCTTGACATATGGCATGTAAATGGCATCATCAACGCTGTGGGTCTCGAGGAAAGGATTTGCAATTAGCGTGTTTTTGTGGCGGGATCCCCAGATCTCGCGCCAAAGCGCCGCCTCTCCTGTTGCGGACAATGACGATGTGACGCGCGGATTGCGCACCTTCAGGACACAGACACCGTGGTTCAGTTTGGTGTACGGGCTCGCAAGCCATGCATGGCCGTCACGTCCGCGACCGAGGTCAACAAAGCAGTAAACGTTGGTCGGCTTTGGGCCTCCAAAAATGTACCCAGATCGAACGACCTTGTTGGAGAAGGTGTTGAAGTCCAACTGAACGCGGCCATGCGTTCTGGTCTGTGTAAGCTGGTTGTTACTGTAGAGTAGGCACGAGGAGCTTTCACCGAAATGAGGGTGGAAGCGCAGTTGCGACAGGTGATAGGCCTTGAAAATGACGTTCTGCAACACGTTGACGAGGTCGGGATCGTTCCACTTGAACACGCGCGTGCGGATGAGGCGGCGCGTCGCTTCGCCTTGTTGAAACACCTTCGCTGAAGTTGCTGCTGGGTTGTGCACGTTGCCAAACGTGGGGACAACTTTGAGCGATGGCCACTGCGCGTCTGTCGTGACGGTTGCTCGTCTCTCGAGTTCAAGAATGATCTTCTTGAACTCGCCGACGTCCGAAACAGTCGCGCACTCGGTCGTGCAGGAGGGAGTGTCTTGAAGGTGTTGTTCCTGGTCATCGGCGAGCCAGTAGACTGCCCACTCGTGGTACGTCGTGAGGATGCCAAAGTACGGCACCATGCAAAAGTCCTCGTGAGGCGAGCGCAGGTAGTCGTACAGCTGGCCTTGCAGGTGCCCGAGGGTTGTATTGTGCTTGACAGCATCCGAATCGGGGTTGTTGTCCGACACCTCGCGGGGCTCCAAATCCCCACCTTTGCACTCATACATGCCTTTGACCCGGTGGGTCGTCGGGCACTTGACTTCAACCACGAGTAGCGGCTGTCCGTTCATGGTTGTGATGACAAAATTCGGTCGGATGGCAGGTGCCGAAGCGGCAGTCGCAGGGCCCGACGCTTGCTTGCCCTTCTTTTGGCTCATGAAAGATGGAGCAGGCGACGAAGAGGCGGATGAAGGATCAGCAGATGCCGGTTGCCTGCCTTTCCCTGCGCGAACGGCAGCAGCGTCTGACGGAAGAGCGTCCGATGTAGCAGCGGATGAAGGAGTATCAGATGAGGCAGCGTCGTCAGCTGTTGTTGTCGAAGGATGAGGCCATTCTGCCCGCATTTTGATAGGTAAACCAAGACTCAAATTGATGGTTTTCAGAGTCGAGTGCACGTCAAGATGCACAGATGCCTCAGAGTTCGCATGGCCACACTCTGCAAATGTCGGCCGCTCGGCAAGGTTGAGCTCAAAGCACCCAAATGGTTCGGCGGCCTGCTCACACGTGGCTGGTTTATGGTCCTTGCTTGCATGTGGATGCATTAACTTGGCCGCAATCATTGGTTGGAGTGACTCGGCCAGGCGGGCTTTAAGGAGGGCTGTAACGGAGGGAGAAGCGGCAAATCAACAGGTTAGTTTTTGGACTTCTCAGCTGTTTTTGGCGCCTTTTTTTCTTCTTCCTTTTTTTTTTTCTTTTTTTGTTAAAAAAAATGTCTTGGCCAAGCGCGAGTTCGTACCTTCAACCTCCTTGCGGTAGGTTTTGACGGGTCTCTGAATGGAATCGAGACAAAACTGGGCTGACATCGGGGTCAGGGTGGGAAACATGGTCAACGCGTAGTCGATATAGTCGTTCACCACTCCAACCGCGGTGTAAAGCGGCTTGACCTTCTCGACGACGCCCTCGACATCTGTCTTCACCTCCTTGAGTGAGAGGTTGGCCACAGCTTTAGCCAGCTCATCGTACTTGCGCATGACATCCGCAGGGTCGAGCGGCGGGGGTGCAGGCTCGGCAGGGCCCAGTGCAAGCGAGAAAGACTCGAAGCGTTTCAAGAAGTCGTCCTCCTCGGAGGCAGCAGACGAGTCAGACGGAGATAAGCCAGCCGCTGCAGCTGCGGGGTGTGCCGAGTTGGAACTGGAGGCCATCTGGAGGGAGAAGAGGGAAAATGAGTAAAAAAAAAAAAAAACGAAGAACAAAACGAGAAAACAAAAAATGCGAAACAACACCGATTGAAACAAGCTCGAAACGAAACTGCAGAAATCCTTGGAGATGAACGCGAGCAGCATGGTAGAAATTCAAAGTTGTTGATGCGCCTCCTGGTGAGAAAGAAAGAGCGCAAGGAATCCTGCCCTCATTTCCGCAGTGACGTAGATCTACCGAATGACACGCACAAATCAAAGAAGGTAAGAAAGCTCCTCAGACCCGGCATGAAACGAGAATATCGTAATTTAAGGGATAGATCTACAGTACAGACATCGCTGTCATTTATCGTGCCGGTCGCCGCCCACCTAGGGCGGGACCTGGGGATTGAAGCGAGGCGTGGGAGGAATTGCCGATCAGCTCGCGCTTGATGCTCCTTTTCACCAAAATCACCTCACGATGCACCCTGCCATGACGAATATGCCCACTCGACCCAATGGCCATGATTGTCGTCACGTCTTCTCAGCTGCTCATTCATCATTTTTACCCTTTTTTTTTTTTTTTTTTTTTTTTTTTTTTTTGGTTATGTTCCGTTTTTCCAAACCGCGGCCAGTCGAGCTCGACAGCAGCGACGACTCTGCCGCCCGGACGACGGCCACCGGCGGCAGCGTCACAGCCAGCACCAGCATTAGCACAGCCGCACCAGGAGGCGGCAGGGCGAGCGAGGCCGGGCACGGTCGAGGTGGAGCTGCAGGCCGTGGAGGAGCGACAAGGCAATTTGCTGCACACACATCGTCGACCGTCAGCACGGACAGCAGCAGCAGTAGTAGTCGAGACAAGTCAGCAGCAGCAGCAGCAGCAGCAGGAGCAGCAGCAGGCGGTGGTGGTCGGGCTGCGGGTCGGAAGGACGACGGCAATGGAGCAGTAGTGCCAGCTGGTATTGGTCGGAGCTGGAATCAGAGCGTCAACAACAACAACAACAACAGCAACAAGCCAGCGACCAGTAGTAGCACATCGCAAGCCAAGACCGCTACTGCTACGAATACGGCTGCAACAACTGCCACAACTACCACGAACACGACCACTGCGACAGTACCGCCAAGTACGAGCAGTCAGTCGACCAAAGTGATGCAGTCGTCGTCGTCGGCCAAAGCTGCCAAGTCGTCCAAATCTGGCGCGTATTCCACTGTATGGCACATTACGCTGCCACCAGAGGACGAATCAACAACCACCAAGACCAGCACTGCAGCAGTAATGCCGACGACAACTGGAACCACGGATACCGCTGCGAGCACGACTCCGCCGAGCAGCAAGGGCAGCAGCAATGGTAACCAACCTGGTAACGGTACCAAGATTGCTACCCAAGCGACCAGCACGAAATCTACCACGACGACGACGACTACTCCTACTACTACTACTACTACTACTACTACTAATGCTGCTGCTAATCCTACTGGTGCAATTGTACCGGCGAATGGAAGCCAGAAGACTGCAGACCGGAGCACCAAACCCATCCCGCCTCGGCCGCACCCCGTCAAGCCAAGCATTGCCGACCGCATTCGAGTCTTTGGCGGACTCGCTCCCTCTGAAAGTTCCAACACTAGCAACTCTACTACCGTTAAAAGCCATGCTGCAGACCAGATTAATGACGGTGGTGATCAAGATGTCATGGATGTGCTGCGAGCGCCGTTACATTCCCCATTGCAACGGTCGCGCTCGGACGAGTCTGCTCTCGGAAGCGAGCAAAGTAGCGCGCTATCAAGCCCCGAGCTCAGCAATAGCGTCAGCAAAGCTCTATATCGGCCGCCAGCACCGTTGCCAGCGGAGACCGTCGCGTCGCCTGTGGCCAACAACATCAACAACCACAATCACGCGTTCGGGCCAAAAGCTGTTTCGGCAGCAGCGTCCTATCCAATGATGCGTCCAGTAGCATCATTTTCACCTGTAGACGACACGAGCTCTGTCGCCGCCACCGCGCCCACGACTCCGGTTGCGCGCAACAGTGATCCGGACGCGCTGCTCGGCGCACGCCCAAGCGCTCGGAGCGGGTTGAAAAAATCATACTCGCTCATGTCAAAGCGCTCGACGCGGCTCTACGATTCCATGCGAATGCGCGCGAGCCGCCTGCCTGGAATCGTCTTTATCGACCACGACACTCTGCGCTCGACATACTCGTACGTGTCGCCATCACCCTCGGCGCTCCAACAGCTTGGTCAGGGTATCAATTCTCGCGAAGCCCTGCGCACATCGGCCTACATGTATCTCGCGTCATCGCCCAGCTTGAGTCGAACGACATCGATCAGCAGGCAACACGCTACCAGCGAGGACGCAACTTCCCTTGCATCGGGGTATGCCATGTTAAATGGGGCAGATGACGCTGGCTCTGCAAGACCAATGTCTATGCTATCACGCCGCAGTATTGCATCGGGCTACGCAGTGCTCGGCACGGACACGGACTCGCTTTCGGACGGGCTGCCAATCTCAGAGTGCTTTTATGCCCTTCCCACCTCGCCCCAGACGCGAGTTCCGCCTTGTTTCCTGTCTGGCTCGCTGACTTCCCGCGATCTCATCACCTTTTCCACCACGCTTGGCTCTGGCAATTTCGGTGTCGTGATGCGGGGTGAAATTCCTGCCTCGATTCTCACGGTTGCCCAAAGACGTCGCATGTCTCGATCGCAGTCACCGGCGATGCAAGCATCACCTGGATCGCCTGGCTCTCCTGTGTCCCCAAATGCACCGACGGGTTCTGCCGTTGCAAAGAGGCACCCGTTCCTGCACGAGGGTCTCATCGAGCTCAGCATTGCAGAAGCTCTCAAAGATGACGATGACGAGGAGGACAAAGAGGACGACAACGACCCGAGCGATCCCGACGACCCCATGGACACGCTGCGCTCGTCCGCGAGCAGCATCCCGCGCGGGTCGTTCTCGTCTGTTCAACATGCGGACGATACCCTCAGTCTCGAGTTGAAGGCCACGACGGTGCAGGTCGCTGTCAAAATCCTCAAGGAAGGCGCGGACGACAAAAGCAAAGATGACTTTGCCGAGGAGGCTGCCGCCATGGCCAAGTTTGGTCACCCGAACATTGTCCGCGTTCTTGCCTATTTTGCGGAATGCGAGCCCTATCTTCTCGTGCTCGAGTTCCTCGAGTACGGCGACGTTCGAGACCTCATGCAGCAATGCTGGGGCGACGAAGCAAACACCTCTGCGTTGCTGCCAGTGCGGGACGCCGAGTTTGTGCACATTCTCTCGCAAATCGCATCGGCCATGGCCTACCTGGCGTCGCTCCGTTTTGTTCACCGCGATCTCGCTGCGCGCAACTGTCTCGTTGGAGGTGGCTTGACGGTCAAAATCTCCGACTTTGGCTTGTCGCGTGCCCTTGACGAAGACAGCGACTATTATCTCGTCAAGACCCGCGGTGCACTGCCTGTGAAGGTGAGCCATTCAAAAAACGGGTTAAAATTTCGTTGCGAGCAAGGGCCGGGAAGGGATGGTGCGGGGCGTCCGAGTTGACCTTGATTGTTTTGGTTGTTTGTTTTTTCTACACGTGAAACAGTGGATGGCCCCCGAGTCACTCAAGTTGAAACGATTCAGCACTGCTACCGATGTTTACGGAATGTGAGTTTTTTTTGGTTGAAAGGTTTTTTTTTTTTTTTTTTTTTTTTTTTTTTTTTTTTTTTTCGTTTTGTCACGCAACTTGCTCACCAACAACATTCGTCATATCGTTCTAGGGGCGTAACCATGTGGGAAATCTACTCGTATGGTGCTGCGCCATTCAAAGACATTCCCCCGTTTGAAGTCATCGACCTTGTTGACAAGGGCAAGCGTCTCGATCAACCCGCCGCTTGTAGCCTTCAAATGTAAGAGTATTGCTGGAACGCTCGTGTAACGTCCCGACGCTGTGGTTGATGCTCATGGTATGGCCTCTTTGACACAGCTACTCCCTCATGCTCAAGTGCTGGGAGGCCGATCCAACACTCAGACCGTCCTTCGACGACATTGGGCTGTTCCTTCGCGGAACGCAGACAGCCGGGGCGGCCAGTGAGATCCGCGATCTCGGCAAGCTTTTAGCTGACATCAAGGCGCAGTACCAACTGGAATCCGGAGGAACGCAATAGCCAGCTCGTAGTATTTTTTGATTTCATTTTTTTTATTCGTTCAAAAAACAACCTCTCTTCAAATTCCATCCCTTGTTGCCCCCCCCACACACACACACACACAGTAAATCACATAAAGCTGACATTCATCTCGTTCGGATTGGTAGAGTGTAGTTGAAAGGACGCGGTGCTCGTTGGACTATGAGCGGCTTGGGTGTGAACCACTTTCTGACCAAACCGAACTCGCGGAGTCGCTCGAACCGACCCCGGCGCATTCTTTGAGCCAAACGAGCTGCTAGAACGAAGGATACTGGCGGGTGCTTTGACTTCTGTGGCGTGAAACAAATCAAAGAAGAAAAGGAAAAAAGGAAAAAAAAAAAAGAGAACGACAGAAACAAACAAACAAAAAAAAAAAATACAAATAAAAAAGGCAGCGCAAGGTGCGTTGAAATGAGTCAAACTCCCTGGAAACAATCGTCTTGCACTGTTACAGAAACGTACCAGATGGTCGATACGCTGGTTGGGGACGAGCAGCCGGGGTAGACGGGAAGAGAAAGCTGGTGGAGCCGTGGTCTTCCACGTCTTCATCGTTCGTGTTCAGATCCAACGTGACATCTGCATCACTAAACATGCGGCTTTGAGCGCCAGCCCAGATCCCGTTATTATGATGAGTGATCAACGATTCGTTCAGAGATTGTGCCTTCAGAATGTTGTTTTCTCGAGGAGAGCCGATGGGAAGCAACGATACATCCAGCAACGATCGAGCTGCAGCAGATGGGTGGGCGCGCACCGACGAGGAGCTAGAGAACATGGCCTCGGAGCGTGCGGGTGACGATTGCTTGGCGGTACGAGCTGGATGTTCAAAGTACTGCGTGGAAGTCGTCGGAGGTAGAGACGAGTTGAAGTTGGCAGGGATGGCGGTGCTTCGCCCAGGAGAGGAACTTGCAAAAGACATATCCAGCAATGTTCTGGCGGGAGGAGCTTGTCGGGGTGAAGCAGCAACGACATTCGATTGGCGCAACGTTGAGCGCGAGGTGGTCGTGGACGCTGCTTGCTGCGGCTGGGACGACTGGAATCTGAGCAAACCGGGTGTGGCAAACAGCTGCTGTCGGATTCCGTTGACGTTTTCGTCTTCCATCGAGCCAGCGGATTGGTCGAGGTTGTTGAGTGAGACCTGGTTCTGGTTCTGGTTCTGGTGCAGCGAGGAGAAGGAGGAAGAGTTTGCCGTTCCCAGTGCAGGCGCGAGCGACGCTGCAGGATTCCGTTTGGCTGCCGCCCACGAAAGCAACTCAGCTTCGACGGTTTGGAGCCGTGATGCAACATCATCGGATACAAAGGCATCCTCCTGCTCGTCTTCTTCCTCCTCCTGCTCTTCCTCTTCCTCGTCCTGCACCTCCAGCATACTTCCGTGGAGCAAATCCTCCGCGGCATCGAGTTCTTCGTCGTCGTAATGAATTTCAGGCATGATGCTCATGTCGTTCAGGTTTGTCGCGGCCATGGGCGAGCGATGCGCGTCCCCCGAGCCCCACGCTCCGGGCGATCGATGCGACATTGCTGACTGCGGCGTTGACGACGCTGCTGCTATGGGAGAGACATCTGGCTCGGGGAGAAGCTGCAGCACGGTTGAGCGCACATCGTCCCCGCGAAGTTCCATCTCAACCATGTCGTCCAGACCCGCTCCAGGCAGAAGATCGTGCTCGACGATACTGTCGGCAGAGAATTTGAAGGAGAATGGAGCCGCACGCGATGATGCAGATGATGATGATGCAAGGCCTGATGCAAAAAGTGGCGTTTGAGAGGACTGCGCGAGCGGCGTTTGCTGTCGCGAGCTTGCAAACATTCCAGGTCGCTCTGGAGTCTGCTCTGCTGCTGCAGACATGGACAAATCATCCTCTTGTGGCAGGATGGAAAAGTTGAGCGGTGCAAATACGTGATGCTGTTCCTGCGCGCCCTCGTCGGCCAAGTCTTCCTCGTCAGGATCAGCCTCATCCAGTCCGGCCTGGTCAGTATCAACCTCGTCCTCGCTGCCGTCGTGAACCGCTGTTGGACCAAAAGAAAGATTTGGGGTGCTGGAAGTGGTTGAACGAAGAGCGGGCTGCGACAACAGGGAGGTTTGGACTTTTCCAACGCCAATCGGCGACGGTTTGCTGCTGCTGCTGCTGTTGCTGCTGCTGCGACCGCCAAGATTCTGCGTGAGGCTGCTGCTCATATCATTCTGAAAACTAGGTCGCTGCACACGTGCGCCGGGGGTTTTCGGAGACAATTTCAACTGGTTTGAGCGTCGGTGAGTTGGTGGTGCAGCGGGAGTCGTGACAGAAGGTTTGAGCGCGACGGCCGTAGCTCTTCTACAGGTCGAGAAACACAAAAGCACCATTGCACCGTGAGCCATTTAATTTGCACGCTCCAACAAAAACCTCGCCCAGCCACCTGCTGAAACTGCAGTACTGACTTTGATGGAGGTGTGCGGTCTGGCAGCAAACCGTGCGGAAGTCGTTGGACACTGCTTTCTCGGAGTCGATCCAGCTCGCTCGAGGCGTCCGTTCTCAGCTGCTGCGCGTTGGCGAGGTGAGCCGAGCCGATCTTGTTGAGGGTTGCGAGCGTCGACAGGGTCGTTTGCAAGTTTGGCATCAGCGAGTCCTTGGTCCCAGACGCTGCACGAGCCCGCTTGGCAGCCGCCAGCAAGTCGGCCAGATACAAGTTCCAAACCTTGACCAAGCTCACCAGGTTGACATTGTGGCCAGAATCGACGACTGTGTCCAACGAGCCCTGCGAATTGACGCGAGACAAAAAGCACAATAGCACAGTTATTCGTGGTTGGTTCATTGCGTGTGTGGCGATGCGTCACAAAAAGACATGCGTACATTTTGGATGTGCGGGCGCACCAAGCTGGCCAGCCGTTCGTCCATTGTACACGGCAGGTCGCGGCTGTCAAGCGAGTTGGAATTGGCCGTACCGCTAACAATCGTTTGAAGCATGCCTGGAAGGTCAAGAAAATTGAGCGACCGCGAAAAAAACAAACAAACAAAACAACCAACAGATTCGTACCTCGATCGCTCGCAATCTGAGCCGTCGCTGTATCAAATTTGGACCAGAATTCACGCACAGACGCGAGCTCTTGCTGGCGCTCAAACGATGCCATATTTGTTTGGTCGATTTGCGCGGCAGCAAGTGTCATTCGTCGATCTCGTCGCGAAGCTCGGACTTGAGCAAGTAGCTTTTCCTTTTGAAGATGGAATTTGTCATCAGCCGTAATCTAGTATCAGTACCTCTCTAGCTGTGTCATCCACCTGTGTGTCAAAACTAAGCGTGATTTTGCTTACTTTCTCAGTCGTTAACGCTCCAAGCTGCTGGCTCAGTTCGTCAACATAGTCGCGGCAACCCTGCTGCGCACGAGCACTCGACTCGTGCTGGGTCTGGATGATTTCCATTTGTCGAGCAATGTGCAGCTGCAGTTTGCAAAGTCGAGTCAGCACAAAAAAGAGAAGAAAAGTTGTTTCAATCGGCAACCGGATTGTTGGGGCAACTGTCCAAACCTGCAATGCGCGTTCGGATGCTTCGAGGAGTGCCGGATTTTTCGGGTCCAATGGACGCACCACTGGTACTGTGAGTGGTCGTATTCGTAAGATTCGAGTGAGAGCCAAAGCGAAAAGCGACAAAGGGTCGAGCGGGTTTGGAACAAACCGTCGACCCAAACCCAAAAAACATGCCGTACCTTTGCCTTGGAGCCGTTGCTTGAGTACAAACGAGGAGAGCTTGAGCACGAGCCAGTAGAATCGCTCGCCTTGCGGGGCAAGCAGCAGCGACGGCGCGAGTCGTGGCAGCTGCGCGTCGGGATGCGCCTCGTCGATGCGCGTGAGCCAAGCCATGACGGCCTTGCGGAAGTCTTGCTCTTGCTGCTTGTCGCTCACGGGATAGCATCCACGGAAAGTCTGCAGCCAAATCAACCGCCAAATCAACAGAGGAGTCAACGTCACGGAAACAAACAGCATCGCAGCCATGCACGGGGTCGTAGAAGAGCAGCAACAAACACAAAAGGAGGGGGAATAGAAGAAAAAAGCGCGCCAAAATCAAAATCTGAAACAAAAGGTTCGAGTATCAGAGCGAGGCGAGGCGAGGCGAGGCGCCGACGCTGGACGCTGGGCTTTCTGGCAGTCTCAACAACAAGAGAGTCATAAACAGACAGCCAAAGCGACGGGTCGATGACGTGGGAGAGGAGAGTACGAGAGAGCGAGAGAAAGAGATGGAGAGGCTTGCCTGTGTGGCGAGCGGCTCGTTCAGGGCGCCAAAGACAAGGCGCAGGACAATCTCCATGCCTTTCTTGTTGGGAGTGTCAAACATGCCGCGATGGAAGGCGATGCGGTACTGGGACTCGAGCTGAGCGGCGTCCAGGCCCAGCAGAACGAGGTTGTTGAATGCCGTCGACTTGACTCGCTCGCTCCAGCCAGGCGAAGTCATTTTTCAAACAGATTGAGAACTAGCGCTTTACGCTCGGTTGCAGTCAACGAACACAAAAAGAAAAAAAAAATCAAAATAGTCGACTATAACAGCGAAAAAACGAGAACAAGTGGAATTTTGTTTGGACCAAAATGGATTTGAACTTTGAATTGGCAACGCTCATGAAGCAAAGCTTGGATGATGTGGAAAATTTCTTGCGAATGTAAAAAAGAAATGGGCAATGAATAGAACGATGGGAGTGGAAGAAGAATAGAAAAGAATCGGGGGGAAAAAAGCGCAGGAGCAATCCAACAGGGCGCTCAGTCGAAGGCAAACAGCTCCACTTGCAACAGTCACTCCCAAAGGGCTCGAAAGCCAAGGGTGCAACGTCGCAAGCGAAAAGCAGCAAGCCAAACAACCAAGACGCCTCTGCTGGAGTGCAGGCCTGCGGGGCTGGGCATACCGCCAAGTGGCAGCCCGCCCGAAAAGAATCCTTCATCAAAAGGAAAGCAAAAGCAAATGCACAAAGAAGAACAAAAGGGAAGGAAAGAAGAACAAAAGGGAAAGAAAGAGGAAAAGTGGCCCAATAGTGTCGCGAAAACACTGGTTGATTTTCCAAAGGAGGAAAACAAGCAACCCAATTTTTCAACCAATCTGACAAGACAAGTCGAGAAAAGGGGGAAAGGAGACAAAAAGCCAAAACAACAACAACAACAACAGCAAATCAAACCGTTGTGCGACAACACATACGAGCCATACCAGGATGTGGCGCAAGATGACGTTGATTTGGCCATCAGAAGCGACAGCAAAATCGGGCGAGAGGGTCAAAGTACAAGGTCAGCAAAATATAGACACTCATACACAACGCACGTCAACATCCGATTTTGGCGCAAAACACAAGCAGCGAGAGAGAGAGGGAAAGAGCAAGAGGGAGAGGGGCAATCCACACCGAGCATCGTCCGAGCGAATCTCAGTTCATCAGGAGCTCAAAGGTGCGAGAAAAGGCCATCATGAAGAGAGGCAGAGAGAGAGGGAGAGAGAGAGAAGTGGGGGGGGGAGAGAAAGGGAACGAGAGAGCAAGGCTTTACCTGAAAGCGCCAAGGGTGTTGAACGCTTCGAAACTCGAGACGGACTTGGCTCAGCACACCAGGGTGCAACAGCCAAGCCGTAGTCGCTGTAAGAGAATGCCGGAAAGATGAAACATCTTTGCTGAGGCAAAAACAAAAACAAGCAAGCTCGACAGTGGCAAAGAAAAAAATGGAGCGAGGAGGGATCAGGGAGGGTGGGGAAGAGAGAGAAAAGAGGGAAGCAGTCGCGCAAGGTCGAAGCGCAAAGCAACCAGTCCCAACTCAAAGGCCAGAGGAAGAGCACAAAGTGCAAAACAGCATCTAGTCAGCAGGGTGGCAGGAGTGCACAACCACAGCCACGTAGAGCGATAAAGAGCCAGAGAGATAGAGAAAGAGGGAGGAGAGAGAGAGAGAGGAGAGAGAGAGGAGAGAGAGAGGAGAGGTCAACAAAAGCATCAAGACATCATTCGCAGATAGAAACCGAGAGCTCGCAGCGCGAGATGCAGGAGTCGCCGGAATTGATGGCACCAGAAGCGCAGACCTGAGAGCGAGGAGAGAGAGAGAGAGAGAGAGAGAGAGAGAGAAGTATGAAGGGACATCTGATCGAGCGAGACCGACGTTGAGGCAATGCGACTCCGTAAATGCTGGCACCAAATTGACAGGGGAAGTTGACCTTGTCGCGGGAAACACGAAACACCAACCAGTCCGGACGGAAACAGCCGTTTTTGACCAAAAAAACTCAGCAAAAAACATGAAACCTTCTGGGTATCAGCTTGAAGCAAGGGGGGGGGGGGAACTCTCCAACGAACCATCCGAATGTATCTCGAGCAGCCAGGAATGTTAGAAGCGCCAAATTGTCGGAAGTTAAGAGTTGAAGGAGGACGCGCAGCCCGTTGCCCAACAAGGGTTAACCAAAAAGAGCCAAAGACGAAGCAGTCCAGTCCAGCCAGTGGTAGCAGCATGCACATAAAAGGCCCACGCAAGAGTCAAAGCCAAAAAAGCCGGCTACAAGAGCACAGCACAGGGGAGGGTACACGAGACAAGAAGGGAGGTCGGCCACAAGATGGGTGGTTTGAAAACAAACTCCAGGTTCGCGAGCCCTCGTAGATCAGTGTCGCCGGGAAGCGGACAAGTGGGTGGGTGAGAGATGAGTAGTTGGGGAGAGAGAGAGAGAGAAAAGAGAGCGAGAAGGGGGGGGGTTGTGAGAGCGAGCGAGCAGGGTGGACGCATGATGGTACAATACAATCGTATGCAAACTGTCCACGATGGTGACGAAAGAGGAGAGCAGTGAGGATGAGGTGAAAGGGGGCAGAGAAAAGCGGCAACAGTCACAAACGAGGGTCAGTAAAATGATTGCGGAGCGCTGCAATCAACTGTTCCTTCAAAGAAACAATTGACGGTCTCAAGAAAACGCAAACCCAGGATTGGAGTGCTCACCTCTGCAGAACGGGAGGGGCGGGAAACGACTTGAGGTCATGGTCGAAAGCTGCAAAGCGACAGAACGCTAAAGCACAGACAACCGAACATTGCATCAAGCAAAAAAAACACATCGCTGACATGGCCACAAAACCAGCTCACTACACGACATACGCTAGGCATGCACGTCTCGAGGAGAGGGGAGGAAGGCATCTGTGTCAAGGTGAGATGGCAAATGTGGAGAGAGAGAGAGAGAGAGAGAGAGAGAGAGAGAGAGAGAGAGAGAGAGAGAGAGAGAGAGAGAGAGAGAGAGAGAGAGAGAGAGAGAGAGAGAGAGAGAGAGAGAGAGAGAGAGAGAGAGAGAGAGAGAGAGAGAGAGAGAGAGAGAGAGAGAGATATGACGACGCGGAGCGCAAAAGTGCACATCACACAAGGTCGAGATAGACAGTGGAAAGTGACATCAAGAAAAGGGGAAAGGAGCGAGAAAGGGAGCATCAACTTCAAAGAAGGAGCAAACCAACTAGGTCGCAGACAACAAACCCAAACATGAATATCAATCCAGAAGAAGCGGAAGCCAAAAAAAGGGGGAGAAGAAACCCAGGTTCGCTCGACAGACAAATCGACAAATCGACCAGAGCCGAGATGCTGCTTTTTCGAGGAAGGGACTCGCGCGCATTTTTTTTTCATTCATTCTTCTTTGCTGTTCAAAGCGGCGGATTTCGCCCAGTGAAGCTCGCGACACTCGAACAAAAGGACAGGCCCGAAAAGCACGCCGAAGAGCGATGGAGTCCGCCAGACCGATCAGGAAAAAAGAAACGAAGCCCACAGTGGCACCTTGGTGAGGTTTTTAAAAAATCGGCACGATGCCAAGGTTGACGGTAGAGCAGCCCAGACAAATCCGCAGAAAAAACATCACGTCACCGTAACACAAAGAACTGCTTGGAGGCGCATGACTGGAGCAAGGCAAGCATTTGAGGGGTTTCTTGATCACCGATGGGACGGGAGGAAAACAGGGAAGCATGTCATTTTGACGGGGCATAGCCACTGGTAACGAAAACCAAGGAAACGAGGAGTGGTGATGGGGAAGCGAGAGAGAGAGAGAGAGAGAGAGAGAGAGAAGAGAGAGGAGGGGGGGGGGAGAGAGCGAGCGAGAGAAATCCAGTCCAAGACGAGGGAACGGGGACAAGCTCCTGTAAAAGCACACGGGCATTCGAAAAACGGCACGAACAACAAACGCCAGACGAAAACTCAGCAGCGAGAAAGGCAGAGCAGACCGTTGTTGCAAAAAAAAGGAGCTTGACGAGCGCACGAAAATGCAGAATGCACACGATCGAGGCTTGAAAGACCCAGACGTCAAAAAGACGGACTGACTGGTAGGAGGCAGGGAAGCAGGGAGGGAGAGTTGCGTGGAAGGGGGGAGAGAGAGCAAAGTCGCAGCCAAAGTCGAGGTCACACGGGCGTTGCAGACAGAAATACAAAGGTACCGGACAATCCTTGAATGCCAAGCCGTGGATTTGAAAGGGCGCCACCGAAATAAAAGAGAGACGGCCGATCACTACGGACTGGAAGAGGCGAGGAAGGCGGAGGAAAAAAAAAGGACACAACAAAAACACAAAACACAAAGAGGCGGTCGCGCACACACAGGTCACAGAGAACAGCCGCGCTGATTTTTTTTTCCCGAGAGCACATCATCGAACAAAAACGATACAGTCTGACCGAACAGGAATTCGTCGAATTGCATTGCGACGGAAGACACCGAGGATCACCGACCACAAGCAGCTCGACAGGTTCGGAAGGGTGCATCTCGAAGGCGACAGTATCGAGGAATCCCTTCCGAGACGAGCCAGCCACGAGCAGCGATGCCTGGAAAGGATGAGTGGAGGTGGATGTGGTCAAATAAGGGGAGGAGCGAGAGAGGGTGGAGGGAAGAACGGAATCGATGGACCAAAAAGCATGGAAACTTGCAGAACGGGTGGTTGCAGAACGCGCGCAAATAAAGAAAACGTCGCAAATAACAGCTTCCAAACGTCGACAAACCGGTTCCAAGAGGGCCGTCCAGCATGATGGGATTGAAACAAGATTCGGCGGGCAAAAAACATGTCCATTGCACGAATGCTCGATGGAGTTGCGAAACGATTGGCCAAGCAGCGTCCTGAAACACGACAGATGGAAGTAGGAGGAGGAGGAGGTTGTTGTTGCAGACGATCCGAAACTCGATCCTCAAACGTGACGAAAGGCCCAAACCGATCGATTGTCCAACCAAGAGGAAGAGTCAAAAAATATTACGAAAACACTGGCTGATCTTGCATTTTTTTGCTCAAAAGGTGCGCTGGCCGGGTTCAAGAGAAGTTCTCGTCGTCCATGCTGAGGTGCGGGGAATTCCAGCTCTGATCTGATGTTTCAACCAAGGTCGAAGTTGCCTTTTGCTCTTTTCGCCAATAGTTGCGCGGGTTTTTGATGACTTTTACAGAACTGCAGGAAGGGGGAGAGGGAGAAACGCTTGACGGTCGTCGGCCTGAATGCTGCTGCAGTGAACGTTGAAGCGTCGACTTTTTGAACGGGAGAGGGCTGGGGCTTCTGCGTCAAAAACTTTGAACTCCAACAGAAGAAGAAGGCAAGCCTGGCAAGCTGATGATGGGTGAAGATTGGGAGCTGGATGAGAGAGAGAGGGAAGGGAGGGAGAGAGGGAGAGAGAACCGCATGGAGTCCAACAATGCAAAACGTCAAAGCGACGAAAACAGACAACGGAAAACGCCGCCCGAGAACACGCCGTCATTGAGACTTGAAGCGACAGTCACACGCGGATACCCCGTGGAGAATTGGAGGGCATTGGAATCGGTGGGGGGGGGAAGAGAGAGAGAGAGAGAGAGGAAAGATAGAGGGTTGAAAAATCTGGCGGCAAAAAAAAAAACAAAGCAGGAAAAAAAAAAAAGCAAAAGGCGCGTGAGTTTTCTTGGCAGCGAGAACAAAGCAGAATGAAGAAGATGATGATGAAGGAAGAAGGAAGAGTGAAAAGAAGAAGGAAGAGTGGAAAGGAAGAGTGGGAAATTCAGATTCAAATTCAAAGAAAAAGAAGAAAAGGGGGGGGGGAAAAAAAAAAGTTTTTTTCAAAAAAACGTCACTTTTTCCAAGAAAGCGCCATTTTTTTTTTTTCCTGCGTCATTGCATCACTTTTTTGACAGAGAAACGCGATGCAATCATGACAAGAGTGAAGAAATGAGCGACAGTCAGCGTCAGTGTCATGACTCGTACGCGAAGAGAAGGAAACACGAAAAAGAAGAGAAGAGAAGAGAATGGAAGGAAGAGAAAAAAGCGAATGGAAAAAAAAAAAGCGAACAGGACCGAAAAACAAAAAGTCACAAGGCGAAGGGGCCAGTGCGAGATGGCGCGGTGTGTGTGTGCCACAGGGGAGAGTGGAAGAAGAAGGAGAAGAAGAAGGAGGAAGAAAAAGGCGCTCAAATGGCAGAGGAAGAAGAGGAAGAAGACAAAGAAGACGAGAGAAAAAAAAGAACAGCAAAAGAAAAAGAAAAAGAAAGAAAAAAGAAGAAGAAAAGAAAAAAAATACCAAACCTGCAAAAACACTCCAAAGAAAACCAAAAAAAAAAAAAGAAAGAAAAAGACTGAGCATTTTTTAAATTTGGAAATCGAAAATGAGAACAAACTCAGACTCGCGAATTGAAAAGTCTATTCGTTTGCTGACTTGCTCTGGCACCAAAAAAGCTTGCCGAATCGAACATCAAAAACACGCAGCCATCGCAGTGAAAATGCAAAACAAAACACCAGGAACGACGCGTAATCGACGTTC